GATTTAGTATTCAATGCTGATTGTAAAACAAAGGTAAAAAACATGGAAAAAATTGCAGTTTCTCATTAAACTCGATTCTTTTCAGACCAGATGAAATATATCTTTGATATTTATTTCCAGCAAATGAAAGTGCATCCTACCATGTAGTATGTTATGATAAATTGATAATCAAATTAAAGAAGCATACTCCTTGCAGTCTAATGAGGATCTAGTGCTTTGCATGGAATTGCCCATTTGCACAAAAGAATTTTTTTTAAGATATAAATTTTCTTGGCCATATTGATTTACTTGTACAGTGACAGTCTGAAGTCTACAATCTGATGAGTATTCAAGATAAACAGTTAAAACTGATACCTTAGTAGTAAATTTAATAGTATTCATATAGTAAACATAATTTTACTGCAGTGGGTTATTTATTCTTATTCAATATATGGATCTATATCATCATAAATTTTCTGATACTGATAAAATCGCTGTTCAGGAAACGTAACTTGCTAAAAACCACTCCGTTATTATTAAATATATGTATAGGGGGAAGAACTGTATTATGTAAAAAGTGTCTAGGTTATAAAAAAAAGCCAAGATGTATTTAATAAACACGTCCTGAGGGTAGCCTTTTCGAATGATAAACAGACTCAGATTATTTACTTTTCCCCTCAGTGACCTTAAACTTGTCCAGATTACCTTGGATCAAGGTCCTAACACAGCCTTAGCTAAAAACAAATTGTCAAGAATCAGCTTCCAATATGTCTCTATTAGTGAGTTATGGACCGATAGGAATTACATATTATTCTTAATGTAATCTAATGACCTTGGGTTAATGTCATTGCACACACTCAGGTCATAAGTAATCTTTGTGCGAAGTATGAATGTTTCTCCCTAAGAAAGTTATGGACATGAATTTTACAATTTTCTGCCAGAGACCTTGAGTTCCATACACATGTGTGTCCTTGGTTAAGGTCATCATGACAAACCCTCTGTCTTAAGCCATCTTTCTGTCATGTATCATCTTGCAATATTTTTCCATTAGAGAGTAACAGGTCAAACATGAATTATATGCTATTTTTGCAAGTGAACTTAAAGTTGCCCAAATGGCCTTGGATCAATGTCATGACATACTCTAGGATCATAAGCAACCTTTGTGTCAATTATAAGCTTTCAATGTTTCTCCATTATGAGACATGGCCAGGATAGGAATCTATCATTTGTTAAACATGACCTTGTGTTTGATCAAATGACCATGGGTCAAAGGTCATATCAAACCCTCATGTTAAAAGTAATATTTATGCTTTATACCAACTTCCAATATTTGTTCATTTGAAAGTTACACAAATTTTACAGTTTTGTCAGTGACTTTGAACTTGCCTAAATGACCTTGGGTTCATTTGATGACATATTCTTGGATCAAGCAATTTTTGTGTCAACTATTAACTTCCAATGTTCTTCTGAAGTTATGGCCTGAATATAATTGCACTGACAGAATAAAGGGCTGGTTAATTTTTAGCTCTACTGGTCAGAGACCAGAAGAGCTTATGCGATAGTAAGGTGTCCGGCGTCCATCCGTCTGTCTGTCCGTCTGTCTGTAAACAATTTTTCAAAACGCTACTCCTCCTACAGTTTTGGTCCAATTTCAATATAACTTGGCACACAAGTAGGCTACACTAAGATACATAATTAAGTGCATCGGTTTTTGATTTCGATGGACGGTGTTTCCTTGGTTACTAAAAATAGAAATTTCTGTGAAATTCCTTTAAAATGCTACTCCTCCTACAGTTTTGGTCCGATTTCAATATAACTTGGCACACAAGTAGACTACACTAAGATACATAATCTAGTGCATCGGTTTTTGATTTCGATGGACAGTGTTGCCATGGTTACTAAAAATAGAAATTTCTGTGAAATTCCTTTAAAACGCTTCTCCTCCTACAGTTTTAGTCTGATTTCAATATAACTTGGCACATAAGTAGACTACATCAAGATACATAATTTAGTGCATCAGTTTTCGATTTCGATGGATGGTGTTGCCATGGTTACTAAAAATAGAAATTTCTGTGAAATTCCTTTAAAACGCTACTCCTCCTACAGTTTTGGTCTGATTGCAATATAACTAATTTAGTGCATCGGTTTTTGATTTCAAAGACGGTGTTGCCATGGTTACTAAAAATAGAAATTTCTGTGAAATTCCTTTAAAACCCTACTCCTCCTACAGTTTTAGTCTGATTTCAATATAACTTGGCACATAAGTAGACTACATCAAGATACATAATTTAGTACATCGGTTTTTGATTTCGATGGACGGTGTTGCCATGGTTACTAAAAATAGAAATTTCTGTGAAATTCCTTTAAAACGCTACTCCTCCTACAGTTTTGGTCTGATTGCAATATAACTTGGCACACAAGTAGACTACACTAAGATACATAATTTAGTGCATCGGTTTTTGATTTAGATGGACGGTGTTGCCATGGTTACTAAAAATAGAATTTTCTGTGAAATTCCTTTAAAATGCTACTCCTCCTACAGTTTTGGTCTGATTTCAATATAACTTGGCATACAAGTAGACTACACTTAGATACATAATTTACTTCATCGGTTTTCGATTTCGATGAATGGTGTTGCCATGGTTACTAAAAATAGAAATTTCTGTGAAATTCCTTTAAAACGCTACTCCTGCTACAGTTTTATTCTGCATTTAATATAATTAGGCATACAAGAAGACTATACTAAGATACATAATTTAATGCAACGGTTTTTGAATTCAATGAACAGTGTTGCCATGGTTACTTAAAATAGAAATTTTTGTGAAATTCCTGTAAAACGTTACTCCTCCTACAGTTTTGGTCTGATTTTAATCTAATTTGGCACACAATTAGAATACACTACGATACATGATATGTATATCTGGTATTTCTGTTTTGTTTATTTCGGTGAATGGTGTTGTCATGGTTACTAAAAATAGAAATTTCCGTAAAATACTTTCAAAACGCTACTCCTCCTACAGTTTTCATTTGATTTCAATATAACTTGGCACAGAAGTAGACTACATTAAGATACATAATTCTATTTATTGTTGCATGTTGCAAAGTTTCAAATCCAAGTGCTACTTTTCTTTTGTTATACGTACAGACCAGTAGAGCTACAGTCTCATCAGAGACTTCTGGTTTGAGTCAGATTATTTATTTTTATGAATATGACCAGGGACAGATTATTTTCCCCACAGGAAAAGTCTGACAAACCAAAAAAAGAAAGAAAATTGCCAAACTTCAAAACTCTCTTTTGTGGTGAGGGGTGGGGATTGGGTAAGATCCAGTTAAGGTCATATTATTTATTTTCTTGCCAGTGGAGGAGAGATTATTTATTTTAAAAATGTTCAAGGAGAGAATATTTATTTCCAAAATCTGCCAGCAACCCCCCAGCCCAAATTAAATGGCTTTCCCCTAACTTCTGTTTAGTGGATAAATTGAAAAATTGGGACATTATTGTTTCCCTTCTGCATGGCACACAATACAGGGCCACTTCGACAAGTAATAAAAAAAAAAACTGGGAATGCAATGCAGCCCAAGGGAATTTCCAGCAACCTAGAACACAAGTAGCTGCAGAACTGTAGCATTGTGGTTTTATATTTTATACATTAATAGTTTTCGAAACATTTTTTTTTTTTACATTAAAAATATATTTTTATAAGGAAAATACATTTTCAGCATACAAACAAAAAGGTGTCTACTGAAAAGGTGGAAAAACCCCAAATACAAAACTGCCCAAGTATAATCATTTTAATACTCAGATCCTGAACCTGGAGCAATAAGGTCAAGGTCATTAAACCATCCGCCAACAAATTCACAACAAGCTAGTTTATTGGTCTGTAGAGACAAATAGAAAGGGTTAGGAGGTGGATAAAATATACAGGTTGGTTATAGAATATGTCTAGAATTAGGGAATGAAAGGTCGTTGATTGACCAATGCTGGAAAATTGTACTTTATTTACATTACAGGATCTGTAGCATTATGGTCAAAGACTAAAATATAAAACCATAATGCTACAGTTCTGCAGCTAGAACACTAGCTATGACATGTATGAGCTCTCCAGATTTGAATCCACTGGACTTTTAAATTAAACACATGTAGAATTTAACCTAGTCCATACAAAAAAAAAATTGGCATTTTATTTCTGTGACAAATCTCAGAAAGTCTAAAAAACATAAGGAGACATTTTCCATACAGGAGATTTTTATCATATGGAAAAAACTGTCAACGGGGATAACTCAGACTAAACATGTCATCTGAAAATTATATAGGCTATTCAATATTCATTCCTTTTTAGGTTTTGAACTTACTTGTCACCCATAATATAAAAGTCAGTGTGACTGCACGAAGTGATGAAATACCGATGAGAATGAAATATGTAGAGAGTGAATAGAATTTCAGTATGATGTAATCAATTGGTAAATGAAGCTAATAAATCTGATGATTAGTGCTGTGGCCAATACAGAATAAGTTTTATTTATTCAAAAGAATAATTTTGCTAGAATAATGTGAAACAGGAGAGGAAAAAAATTGATGGATCAGATTGGGATTCAAACCCAGGCCCCCTGAATTTCCAGTCAAGTGCTCTACCAACTGAGCTAAGTGGCCACCAGCTATTGAACCCATCTGACCACCACATTCCTCCCTCCTTAAAGGTCTTCGGCCCCCAAAGGCACCAACCCTGGCTCTTTCCTGGCAAGTCTTGCACCTGTCACTTCCAAGACATGGCACGGCACCAAATGTAATGGGAGAGGAGAAAAATGAGATGGATCAGACTGGGATTCCAACCCAGGCCCCCTGAATCTCCAGTCAGGTGCTCTACCAACTGAGCTATCTGGTCACCAGCAATCGTTTCTAAATTATAAAATCCAAATCACCCATTCTCGAAAAATTTTTGATTCTTCACAGAAATGGGTGATGGCCATTAGTAGTGGTGTAATGGAGATACACTTTTTAAAGAATTGACATATACACCTGCTTGGAGATTTAAAATTTATTACACTATAAATACACTAACAAAACATTGCACTGAGTATCACAGTAATATAGAGGTTAAATGAGACACTGGTGACTTTGTCTGTATAGTAAGATTTCCTGTCCAGCATAATGCCAGTACAGAAACGCCCCCACAACAATCACATGCCACCACTGATGACTAGATCCAATATAATCAAAGGTACCTACAAATAAAAAAGGGAGTAATCAAGGAAATTCAAATCAACAGCAATTTAATAAGTAATCTAACACAGACTAAGATTTTCTTAATTACCTGGTAAAAATCTTTCTGGAAATTTGCTTAAATAAAACACTAAGGCTAAAATTCCAGTAAAATATATGGTCATCACTTTTGGAACAAACATCTGAAAAAGGAAATATATTACATTTAGTATGTAGATTAATACTACAGTGTATTTTAACATTTTAAAGATTGAGACATTCTGATAATTCATATTTCCTTCATTCTATTTTTTTTTAAAGATTTTTTCTAAATTCAGGACAAAAATGTTTAATTTACCCATCAAATTAATTTTAATAAAAAAAATATATAGTATTTATATATCACAGCCACTGCATATTAAAGGATAACCTGTATCATATACAGTCAAACCTCGTTATCTTGAACTCCATGGGACTGAGAAAAAACTTTGAGATATCCAAGAATTCAAGATATCAAGGGTAAAATACTAAAGGAATATGTTGTTGGAACTTCCAAATCACTTTGACATATCCATGGTATTCGAGATATCAGTGTTTGAGATACCGACGTTTAACTGCACATGTACATGGTACATGGTACATATATTTTTCCAGCCCTAATCATGAATTTTGAATCTTTCTGAGAATGAAGAAGTTGTAATATTAAAAAGAAGGTAAAACTATCATGCTAATGATAAATTATTGCACTATTGATTGCAATATACCATATTCTGTGATCTATTTTCATTCTTACAGCATGGGATCAGAAAAATCTGAGAATGCCCTAACCTGTACTATTTCAGCTTGTAGTCCTCCATTAAGATAAATCCAATGTATTGTGGGTATAACACCATACCCAACCAGAAACACATAGATGAGGATTCTATACCTAAACCAGCCATGTGTGAAGAACTTTTGATGGAGCTGTATCACTATCGTGCTTACTGTTAGAATGGTGATGATAATAAAATAAATGTCTCTCCACACCTGAAACAATGCAAAATAATAGAACATTTCAAGTTCCAATTCTTCATAAACATTATTTTTTAAAAATAACTCTGTGATCATGATTTAGAGATGTGATAACTAAGTTAAAAAGCTATTAACCATGATAAACAGTTTAAACTGGAATTAGTAAATAATAATAACCAGTATTTTGTATCCATTTAAAGGCTTCTGTTCAAATGGTTAATAAGTAACTCTATTACCGTACATTAACTGGCGTATTAAAAATTTAGCGCAATCAAGGGTAATGGAGTTGTTGGCCTAATCATGAATTAGCGCTACACATATCCGTGCTGTGTATTGTATTAATGATTTCTTAGCAGTATTTATGAATTAGCGCATCGTTGTCCGCGCCAAAGGCGCTAAACTATGAAGCCCGCTTTTTCAAGTACACATACACTACAGTATTTTATCTCTAATCAAGTATATATTCACTGTCAATTGGACAGGAAGAAATTGCTTGATTAATCTTTTCCGGATATTCTATCTCTATGATGTTAGTTGTTGTACTAAATTATATCCATATTCCATTTACTGGTAGGATTAATATTGTGTACTTTTGTTAATCTGCAAATCTTAGATATTCATTTCATGAAACTTTTGATGACTTACAGACAAACAATAAAATGCATAATGAACTGCTGGTAAATAGCAGCCAATGACCCCCAGTGATATCCCTGTAAGATCCACTGCTAACCATCGACGACTGGCTCGCTCTGAGTGGCAGCAGAACATGTGAAAACCAACAGAACACAGCATGCATATCTACAAAACAAGTACAAGAAATTTTCATCAACCGATTAGAAGTATCTTTGAATGACTATACACATAAATTAATTTATTTACAGTATTTTTCAGAAGAGGAGAAACTTCGTTATGATACAGAAACTGCAAATCAATAGCTACAGAAAGACAAACAGTTAAGTTTTAACTTATATTACTGGTAATTTATTTGGTAGCACAGTAAATCAAGCATAACCACCACTGGCTGGTAGTATAATTGCTGCAGTCTTACCTGGTAGCATAGTAAACCAAGCGTAACCACAACATAATCAGATAAGAAACTGTTGATTCTAGGTAGAATTATCAGATTGTCATACAGCATCAATAACAGAAACATAAGGAAACCTAGCAGATGTGTCCAGATGTTTAGAGTCTCATTGCTCCAAACAAATATACTGAAAAATGACAGAACAGATATCTATTAGGAAGATTTTGCAATAAGTGAAAATAAACTGTTTTAATATGCGTTGTCAAAAATTTTGCATTTATAAAAAATTTAGGATTTTATAAATAATTTTAAATATATCCGAGTGCATAACACAATTCATTATGATTATACATACCTTTTCAAACATAGACTAAATGGAAGCATCACCCTGTAACCTTGTGTAACATAAGGGTTTCCTTGTAGGAAATCTGGAATGTCTGTATATTTGTAGAGTTGTATTTCTCTGTCCGACACATCACAGATATTGCTAGAGCATGCATTAATGTTGCCGTCTATTTCTATATCCAGGATGTGGTAAGAATTCGCGCTTTTTATGGTACCCTGTCTGTTTTTCACATGCTCCACATTTCCAATACGACCCATCATGAATGACATTCGATATGTCCTTATTAAAACGCCGAATGGTCGGCATGTGCTTGCAATGTGTACGAACAAGCACCTATCTAAAAAACAAAACTGAAAACAATCATAGTAACGGAAGTCGACGCCTATAACTTTTCGCCTCCTGTTGCTAGAGAGTGACGATAGCGGGAGTTATAAATTATTGTAGAAGGATTTGTTTGTTGTCTAAACTCTTGGAGGCATATTTGTTGAAGATGTACAATATTAAGCTTATCATTTCATACTCTATACAGCTTTAGGTGACAACTATTTCATTCGGGAGGGGGGGGGGGAGGCACAGACTTTGGAAATGACAAATCTCTGTCCTCAAAAATTTTAAAAATAAATAATTATTAATCTGTCCTCGATTGATAAGGAAATAAGTAATATGTCCTTGCCTGATCCTACTACCCACCCCCATCTCCACCCATCACCCAACTTGGGTGAATGGTGGAGATTGGGAGGGGGGGAGACAAATAAACAAAATTGGCAATTTCCATCAAGTTTTTTTTTTTACTTGTCAAACTTTGTTCAGTGAGAAGAAAAGAAATAATCTGTCCCCAATCATCTTGGAAATAATAATCTGTCCTTTACCTGTTCACTGGTATGAAAATAGATATAAACTGACCCGACAAAATTTGCCCCCCCCCCCGGCGCCCTATCAAATGGTCGACACGGTTAATCTGATTAAAATCAGCTGTTCTGATACGCTACCGCTTACGAACTTTTGCTATATTTATCAAATATGATGATAGAATTCATGATATCAGAACAGCTGATTTTAATCAGATTGTCGACACGGTCCCCTTAGGCTGAGAAGTGGATGAGCATTCGATTCGTATAATTATCCACTAATCAATACAGACCATAAAGTAAAGACTTCAAAAAATATAGTAGATACCTTCAACCTATATGATATTCGAAAGTTATCATCTGGAAAACATTTTGTGCATTGTATGAAATTCCGACCTTGACCTTTTAACTAAAAATTAATAGAAGATCTTCTTTAAGTCACTAGGAGTTACGATATATAAAATCATTTAAAAAGCTCTAGGAGAACTTACGTTATACTATTTTTTACAACATATAAATGTCTGATCTTTACCTTTGACATTTTGACCTCAACATCAATAGGGGTCTTTTTAAGTCTAAAAGAAGTTGTGATATCGTGTCTAGGATATAGTCCGGAAACAAAAATGTTACACACAGAGAGAATATATGATTTTCTGACCCGTTGACCTTAAAATTGATAAGAGTTTTCTTTGCGCCACAGAGTTGCAATATTAAATTTTATTGAAAGAAGCTCAACAGAGAGTTATCATTAGGAAACTGTTACTTGCAATGTATGGATTTCTGACCTAGCTGCAGAACTGTAGCTCTCCGGTTGAGAAAATTCGGACAGATAAAGTTTCTCAACCAGAGAGCTGCAGCTATTTCTGGCCTTGACCTTTGGACTTGAGAATCTTTGGGGGTCTTTTTTAGGCCAAATGGAGTTGTGATTCAAAAATTCATTGCTAAGGCTGAAAGGCTTTATAAGATATCATTTGGAAACGAAAGTGTTTATACAAATAAGGTGTATGGATTTCTTACCTTCACCATTGACCTCAAAATCAATAGCGATCTTCTTTCGGCCAAAGGGAGTTGTGATATCAAATTAAATTGAAAAAACCTTGACCTTTGGACCTTAAATTCAATAGAGGTCTTCTTGAGGTCATAAGGAGTTGTGATATAAATTTCATTGTGAAAGCTCAACGGCTTTTTAAGACATCGTCTGGAAAAAAAGTATTACACATAGACAGAATGTATGAATTTATGACCTTGACCTTTGGACCTTAAAATCAATAGGGATCTTCTTTAGACCATAAAGAGATGTGATATAAAACTTTTTGAGATATTGTTCGGAATCAGCAGTGTTATACAGAAAGAATGACAGACCGACAGACACAAATTAATATCCCCCACTTTCAGTGAGAACGGGGGACAAAAATTGACAAGAGGCCAATGGCCACATCGATCACCTGAGCACATTGACTAGAAAAAAAGCAGAAATTAGTTTAGTATTGAAAAGGTTAAATCATATGTGATCACCCCCCCCCCCCCTCTCCCCCGGGATCGAAATGGTAGGGGGCTTGATTTATTCACACTTGAGTCTACACCAACTGAGTATTCACACTTGAATCTACACCAACTGAGGATGCTTTCGTGTTTCTTTGACTAATCATGGCTTTAGATTTTTTTCTATATGTTTGATCTTCTATTGTAGCCCCGCCCTACCCCCAACCGACATGATTTGAATAAATTTGAATATACCTTGCCTGAGGATGCTTCTGAATTAATATAACTAATCATGGATTTGCTGACTTTAACAATTTATCATATGTACATGTATTCTCATGTAAAATTTGATCATCAATTAAGGCCCCATCCTACCCCTGGGATCATGATTTTTACAATCTTGAATGTAAACTACCTGAGGATGCTTCCATATAAATATGTCTAATCATTCCTTTACTGTTCTTGAGAAGAAGATTTTTAAAGATTTTTCATATGTATACCTACGTAAAAATTTGATCTCCCACTGAGGCCCCACCCTAGCTCTAGGGGCTCTGATATAAATAAACTTGAATCTATATCACCTGAGGATGCTTCCATATAAATATCACTAATCATGGCTTTGCTGTTCTTGAGAAGATGTTTAGATATTTTTCCAATATATTTCTATGTAAAATTTTGTTCGCTCATTCTGACCCCATCCTAGCCCCGTGGGTCATGATTTGAACAAAGTTGAATCTACACTATCTGAGGGTGCTTTCACATAAATATGACCAATCATGGCTTTCCTGTCTTAGAGAAGAAGATTTTTAAATATTTTTCCTATATATTTCTATGTAAAATAGAAGAAGATTTTTAAATATTTTTCCTATATATTTCTATGTAAAATAGAAGAAGATTTTTAAATATTTTTCCTATATATTTTTATGTAAAACTTTGTTCGCTCATCCTGACCCCACCTTAGCTCCGGGGGTCATGATTTGAACAAATCTGAATCCACACTACCTTAGGATGCTTCCAAATAAAAATTACCAATCATGGTTGTTCTTGAGAAGATGATTGTTAAAGATGTTTCCTATATATTTCTATGTAAAATTTTGATCGCCCATTGTGCCCTCAAGGGTCATGATTTGAACAAACTTGAATCTACATCATGTCAGGAAATTTTCACTTAAGTTTCATCTATTCTGGCCCAGTGGTTCTTGAGAATAAGATTTTTAAATACCCCCACCCAATTTTCACTATTTCTTAGTTATCTCCCCTTGGAATAGGGTGTGGTCCTTCTTTAGAACAAACTTGAATCCCCTTTACCCAAGCATACTCTATGCCAAGTTTGGTTGAAATTGGTTTAGTGGCTATTGAGAAGAAGACGAAACTGTGAAAAGTTAATTAGACGACAGACAACGGACAAATTTTGATCAGAAAAGCTCACTATAGCCTTCGGCTCAGGTTAGTTAAAGGTGTTAATTGTATTGCCAGTCCGTGCTCAGTGATGTGTGCAGAGTTTAACAAATTGAACACACCCGTGAAACGTAAACTGCTTTTGTAAACAGGACACGAGCTCTGTTATTGTTAATGTTTACGTTTCACGGGGTGTATTCAATTTGTTAAACTCTGTACACATCAATGAGCACAGACTGACAATATGAGTTGGTTTTGCGTTCTCAAATTTTTACTGTGAATTTTCTGGATTATAGTTTTAATATTTTTCAATAATACACAACAAAATTTCTACTTTTCTTAAGTACTAAAGATAACGTAAACTTTGTGAAAGTGCAAGCATGTGTCAATCAAACGCGTCCCGAAATTCGTATAGTTTCAATAATTTCCAGATAAAATAAGTTTTATTACAATTCCGTGTGAAATGCTATAGCAACATATAAGTCATGATATTATACAGAAAATTTGAGAAAATATTATCTTCATATCTGTGTCTAAGCCCCTTTAAAAGTGACATACCTTAAAGTCATATTGACTAAAGGAACAAAAATTTCATTGCAAAACCTCAAAGAGAGGGGTCACAAGTTCTTACATTGTGTATATGTGTGTGCAACACTTTCGTTTCCAGTTATCTTAAAAAGCGTCTGAGATTTTACAATAAAATTTTATTTCACTACGGCCTAAAAAAGACGTCCATTGATTTTGAGGTCGAAAGATCAAGGTCAGAAATTCATAGTGACTTAAAGAACCCTCCCCCCCTCCCCCCCCCAATGATTTTCAGGTCAAAAGATCAAGGTAAAAAATCCTTACAGTCCAGAAAAAAAAGTTTCCAGATGAGCCTTTTCTATGAAATTTTATATCATAACCCCAAATGACTTAAAGAAGATTTCTGATGATTTGTTAGGTCATAAGTCAAGGTGAAAAATTAAGAACTTGCATAAAATGGTTTCCTGTCGATAACTCTTCTTCTCTGAAAGGTTTTGCGATGAAATTTTATACCTTTATGGTAGTCAATATGATATAAATATAAAGACTCCTATTGATTTTGAGGTCAAAAGGTCAAAGTTTGAGGTGCCTTCAGAAATTTCAACTACATAAACCACACCGACATTCAGGTTCAAGACTAAATATTTGCCCTCATTGGAATTCTGTATGATTGTTCCCCGAGGAGGAAGTTGTGGGAAAACATACTAGCCAAAAATAATGAAATTCACGTTCCCTTGGTCTGAACCTGATCTGAACCATATTAGGATTGCATTATTGCTTTATATACTAATTAGCTTTGTCCTTGAAATGTGCAGCTGTAGTAATCAATTAAGACTTTGTTCAAAATTGTAAAAATATATCACATATGGCCTTAGGCACCAGCTAGTATAGGCTTACACATAGAAATATATATAAGAGAAAATTACATCTTTCTTTAAACTCCAGAAACTTTCAAATTGTATTATATGCATACTTCAGTGACTCAGTACCTAAAATAACATTTATATCCCTATCACAATGCAATTGAAATTAGAAATTTACATATGCAAGTTCAAAGCAAGAAAAAATATAAAATTACTGACTCATACAATTGTCAAGGCCAGGTAGTGTGAATTTGATGCAACATCTTATGAATCAAGATCAAGGGAAGAAAAAGCAAGTTTTTAATCATGAAGAGCTTGTACATGACACATTTCTTGTATTTTGAGGGTTACGTCAATTTACCAAGGGAAATGTACACCCAATCGGGCTTCTTTATTCAATTAAATGAAATATGGCATATTCCTCGAGACTTGCATGTCTGGCCACCAAAGGCCTAAAATCATACTGAAAATATTTACCATGACAATACCAGCATGTCTATCCCAAATTTTAAATCGGAGCACTATCTAACCATAAAAGACGAGTAACATTCTAGCAGATTTATTTGTATCCATAAAAGTATGTACATTTCTCAACATATGACAAATGGATGGAACAATGAAAAAAAAATCAAAATCATTAAAATTACAGCAGTGAACAGAAGAAACAAAGGATTAAATATCACAGTTTGATTACGACTACTGTATTATAAGAAATAAATTAGCGTTACAATAGGGTATTGCTGAAACTAAAAAAACGAAACAGCAGGATCTTGCCCAATTTATTGTTCAAGTTATTGCTTGAGATACAGAATGAACTTTAACAGGATAATTTCGAAAAAAAAAACATCATAAAATCTTTTACGTATCTCTGCAATTCATTTATTGTTCAAGCCATTGCTTGAGATGCAGAAAAAATTTAACATTGATTCTAAACCAAATTCAAAAAAGAGAATCCACCAAAAAAAAAAAAAAAAGATTTCCTGTGATCTGTACCTGTCAGGAGATTAACCACAGAGTAATATTTAACTTTCACACTTAACTTGCTTCAGTTACACAACATTTATCATTCCAAGAATACTGAACACAATTGACCTTTTCTTAAATATGAAAAACATTTGAAGTTTTCTTAATGATGAAATAAATGTTATAAAAAAATTACAAAGAGGAATATCTCCTTTTCTTGAATTTAAAGAATGCCGATAACTCTATTATAAATACTCCTGTAATAGCTGTAAAAAAAAAGAAAGAACAGTAACAGAGAACTCAAGAATGGGAATTTGGGAAACAATCACTTCCACCAATAAAAGTTATAGCACCTACAATGCATTATGCAGTCTTGCTACAGATGAACTAAAGTCTGTTTACCCCAGCATTTGATTTGCCCATTAATCAAGGCTCTTATTGTTATACAATGTAAAAATTTCAACTAAACTTGACAGAACCTTCTGCTATGGGAAGAAAGAAATATTATTACAAAATCTCTGACATAGCATAAGCAAAAATTTATAAGCTCCAAAAAATGCATAGATTACCTTCAACATCGCTAATATAGGATAACACTGAGAGTGTAACTAGAACAGAAAGCAAAAGAATGATAAAATATCAATATTAAATCTAAGTAAAAAGTAACAAAAAAGAAGTAAAGGTACCACAGAATCTCAGTGTACCCCGAAGAAAAGATAACAATAATTATACAATGTAAGTGGAATATATCACAAATCTAATGGAACAACCTTATATTTAACAATAAATAAAAACAGATCCTCCATTATCAAACAGCATCTATCTTCTTTTTTGAACTAAATGGTTCATTTGTTGCTAACTTCCTCTGCTTCCGAGGCCATGTAAAAGTGTCATAACCACCGGAGCTTACTTTTAATGGCTCAGTAGATGCTTTCGTTACTGACATTGGGGAGTTTTCTTTTGAGAATGCTGGGTGTCGTATACTTGCAATATTGAGATCTCTAACACTGGCAGTCTGAGAGGAAAAGGAGTCCATTGACTCTGCTAGTTCATCATCATTAAAACTCATATTGGAAAACCCAGATTCCATGTAATCTTTTGGGCTTTTCCTTCCTTTGGATTTTGATTTGGAGAGTTCACTTTCAAAACTGTCATCAGATGAGTCATCCATGGTGATAAGATGGTCACCAGGTTGAGGGCTGGCAGTGGAGAATTGCCTATCATCCCTGTCAATGGTCAACTCTTCTAACTGCTGGTACAATTTATCTCCAGATGTCCGGGAAGGGAGGGGTCTGTTGGGCTTGGAGGGAGTTATGGAACCCATTGACCCAAAGGAATGAGATTTTGGTATACTGGTCTTTGATGGGGTAGATCTTTTCGAGATTTCTTGCACTGGTTTTGCAGGTTCTGTAGGTGGTATTGCCATATCCATGATGTTAATGGACTCTTTTGTTGATCTAGTCTTCTTCAATTTGGGTTTGAATGGAACAGACTGGAATGGATCATCGGTTGTCAGTGAATGATACTGTACAGAGGAGCCGCCCTTAACACTGGAATGACTGGATTTTGTGTACATGGGATCCGCTGTAAATAAAGTGTCCGGAGAGGCCTTCTCCCCATCAGGAGACATTCCTACAGAAGACGAGCCAGATAAAATGCGCGAGTTTGATTTTCTTGGAAGAGTCGCATATGGAATACTTGCAGCTAAATCCTTGCTCACATCCACTTTTTTCTTGTCTTCATTTGTTTGTAATAAAGGACTTGAACCCCCTCCTACAGAATGATGTGTTTTAGACTTTGGTAGGAAGTTAGGATGAAATGGAGCTTTAGCAAATGGATCACACTCTTTCATGGAAGATTTTGTGGATAAAACATTATTTGTTGTAGATTTTTTCTTTGAAAACCTTTTCCTGAATGGAGCAGCAGTAAATGGGTCACTTTTTTCCTTGTCGTTAACCGTTGGAGACATTGCAGGACTAAGTCCTACTTGCGGGGACACAGTACTGTTGCTACTTCCTTCATGACTGTCATCACTGTCATGTTCATGTGAGAATCCAATCTCCACACTGCCATGAAAGTGAGGCGGTCTAAAGTCATCCTCCAGCTCATCATCATCCAGAAGAGGTCTTACTCCGTACTCATGTCCCATAATCCTGTCTGTAGGCAATTGGCCTTGTCCTGGAACTGAAGTCGCATTGCTCTGAGTCTGTTCATTTTCAATGTTCCACTCCCCTTCCTTGCGCTTAGATGTCACAGGAACAGGCCGACTCCCATATTCATCATCCAGCTCCTGATAGCTAAAATCTTTCTTTGTGTTCTGAACTTGATTGATGGGATGATCATCCTCAGCATAAGAGGAACTTGATTCGTGTTCCTTGTGCTTTGATTCAGCAGATTCCCTCACAGCTGATGGTTTCTCTTCTTTATCCTCGTCTGTGTCAACAAACTTCTGGTAACGAGAGCCCAGACTCAGTGCAGCCTTCATCAATGTTGCAGGGAAGAACTGATTACCAGAGTTGTCCACATGATCTTCCATCTTCTTTGTTTGATCATCTTCATCTATGAAATATAATACCAATGGTAAGTTTCAACTTGATAAATTACTAATAATAATTAATTCCAAACCTCATTTGTTTTTTCCTCCAAAAAGGAAACTTTAAAATAGTTAAAGAATGTTTCTTTAGTATTTTTCAAATGAAGAAAACTTAGTTTTGAAAGTCACGTCATATCATGCTGGTAGTGACGGCATGCATCATACCTTGTGCAGAGCTACAAGATTTAATATTCCTCTGACACTACATGAAAATGTTGACCATTTTCTTGTACCCACTGGGAAATATAAACCATTATAATATACCCAGGTCTGCCTTCTAAACGTCCATTGGAAAAACGTCAATTCATAATGAGAATGCATTACCAGAGCTCGTAAATAAATGAATACTGTTAAAAAGCAACCTCAGAAAAACTTTTCTTTCAAAACTTTATCTTTGAAATTGAGGACATTTTACCCACCCACCCCCTTCATTTTGTGCCTGTAGAAAACAGAGAATATTTAAGGGAGATGTGCAAAACATCATAATCTGAAGGTTCTCATAACTGGTTAGAAAATGTGGCAGTTAAGTCAAATCTAAGTGTAGCACCACATGCTTTGTCTTACACACCACACAATGTGTTCTGAATACAATTACTAAAGGTGCAATATGTAGTCCTGAATAAACAAAGTATTTCATGTACATTATTCTGACCAATTTATATACATGTATTCAGGATGCATTGATCTTGTTCCCATGACCACTTGTAAAATAAACAAATAGCCCACTCAACCATCACCAAAGTTTGTCAGCAGTTTTGAAAACAAAAGGAAAAGATAACATTTTTTCCTGATTTATTATAAACAAATCCTCAATAATAAAAAAAACACAATAGTGTATCTTTTCAATGACAAAATATTTCTTGCACATATTCATTGCACTGTCCTGTAAGATCAAATGCTATTCACCTTGTTTCAAAACTGCTGACAAAATTCACCGTTTATGAATGAATTCTTTTCGTAAAAAATTATTTTGTAATAAATTCCATGAAGTAAGCTTTTTGAAACCAGATACATTCCTCAACAACCTTAACAAATACCCAATTTTGAAACAAGGTTTTTCATACAGTTTATACAACTAACAGATAAAACATCTCAAAACCTGATTAAAAGGTATTCTTCACTTATTATAAACTGCCACACAGTGCATTTTCAATACATACATGTACATAAAATCTGTAACTCCATGTAATAAAATTCTCTTGGGTTTCCTAGAATCTGGTTTCAAAGCTTAAAAATGTCCAAAATGCCATTTTTGACAAAAAAATTAAAACATACATTGCATCATAAATTACATGCCACATCTTTAAAAAGTCAATTTCTGAGATTTCCACACCACCCACAAGTACACATACACCCACACATAAAACATGCTTGACTAGAATTGCCGCAAGTCTGGTAGTCAGTTATTAAACAACAAAAATATGAAACAAAATGAAAAATGAGCCATTTTTGTGTCAAACTAAAATGAATTAAAAGTTGAAAAGAGAAAGTAAATGACCTATCATGGATTCAATGTAAAAGAATGAATTAAAACAGCACTTTTTTGTGATAAACGTAAAGAATGGATTACAAAGACATTGTAAAATCAATGACTCAAGTATGTACAATTAAATCATTAAGTCATGCTCGCTTTAAGATTGCAGTCTGACAACTGAATGAGACAGGCATTGATGGGACAAGATAGCAAAAGAACATCAACCTCACTATGGCAAGTTTTTTTCAAAAAAATATATCACAAGATACTCCAACTTTCAAAAGTAATACCACAAGTAAAAATGTTGTCATCAACTTGTCAAAATAATACTTTGTTATGGATCATGTAAAGGTACATTTAAGCCAACCTGCATAAAAGACAAACCCTGATTACCTATTCACAGTAATAACTATCTTCATATTTAACTATCCCTCTTTAAAGCTATTATTCCCATTATTATTACCTATACTGTACATGTGCATTCTTCTAAAACCTTACCATATACATGTAAATACTAAGTTTACAGGTCTAATTTCTCACTACTAAACCAGCTGTACAAGTATAGCATGAAAAGATTTCATTAAACATTTTTTTCCTACATTAAAAAAAAAAGTTTTAAAGTGCAGTCAATTTGTTCAAGTATGTCATACTTTAAAAACTTAATTTATTTAGCTTTGTCGAGTAGGAAGAAGAAACGCATTGTAAACTACATAGTCTTTGGTCTGTAACTTGTACCAGATTACATGTTTACACCTCCTCCACAAGAGGAGAACAACACACACCCTGCGGCCTCCATGAAGGAAGGGAGTACCTCCGCTTATGTCTGTGTTCTGGAATAATTCAAAACAGGAACTGAACGTTAAGGGGGCACCAAAGTCATCAGAGAAAAACAGGTTCAGACCTGTTTACTCCAATAACAAACCAACAAAGAGGGGGTGAAGGACAGAGAGTCCTAACAAGCCTACACAGGAAGTCTGAGCTGATTGGCTCTGGTGCATGCTGGGAATCCTACATGTGACCTTTACCTCCTGACTGGGAACTGTTGGCACTTCTATGGGGTTCACTACCAGAGCTGCTGCCATGCCTTACATGACCTGTAGTACAAAATGGAGCTCAGCCAAAATCATGCAATGCATGCAAAAAACAACAGAAAATGCTCTAATACACTATATTATGCTCAAGTAATAGCAACTCCATAAACAGGTCTGGACGATTTCCAAATATGGAAGTCAAGAACGATAACCGTGAATTGCTATAAATACACAGAATAAACAAGGTGCTAATCCTTCTGACCAATCAGATAACGGCATTTAGACGAATCCATGAGAAAGTAAATAAAACACGTGGTTTTAAAGTTTTTTGCTCAAAAGATTTTTTTAGACCAAACTTTTTGTGAACTTTATGCATATTTAGGAATAATATAATATATTTGACAATTCTACCGTGAACAAACATGACTTGAAAGCTTAATATAAATTCTAAGTGGGATTAAAAATCTGTCTCTACGAGGTAGCAATCCAAAAAGTTTAACTTGTGTTAAGAAATTTGATATAAATACGGCAGATTTTCAGTTTTTAGAGCCTGACATGAAAAAGTTTTCGTATGGGAATAACAGTCTTAATTATTTCCTGAGTGTTTATTACGAAATCGTCCATGCATTTCTGATATGCGAGATACATGTAAGATATGGTGATAAAAAGCATTCATGTACATTCCCTTTTCTCCATCTTATGTCCATTTAGAGTGTATATGACATGGTATTCGGCGCTTATGAAACCCGTGTTATTTTAAAAGTACATGTAGTCTATATACGATGAATACTTGTGTGCAGTACGTAGAGCTATACACATGGAAGCTACGCGTTATCGATGACAATCGGACGCCTAAGCAAAATTATATTTACCAACATAAACGTATGTTCGTATTTGTTATAATTGTACTTGATAATAGCTTGTCAGTGTGATCTATTCCTCCGTAATTAAACGATCGCATAGTTACATGCATTAATTTTTTTTTCTTTTCCGAGATGAAAATGTCAGGTTTGTTCACGGTAAATATGTGGGGAATACCTTATTCGCCCAAACTTTTCATCTTACTTCTAAAGATTTTTTGTCAAAAAAATCTTTTTGAGGACAAAAACAAAAGCACGTGTTCTCTTTTTGTTCCTTTGAAATATGTTTTGGGGTGTGTAAAAATGCTATTGTCTGATTGGGCAGAGAAATATTTACATGTATATGATGTATATTTATAGTAACTTTCAGTTATCGTTCTTTACCTCCATATTTGGAAATCGTCCAGACCTGATAAAAGAAAGAAAATTAATTTAAAAGAAAGAGGAAAAGATATAACATAGGTGAGTTTGATCTAAAATGCAGTTGATTACATGGAGCATTTATCTCTTGCTTAGTAAGGGAGAAATAGTTTTTCTTAGATAATAAAGTCATTAAAAGTTTATTACAGGTCATCACTGTATTTTATATCATTCATCCTGAACAAGAGAAAACTTCTTTTACAAAATGTACATAAATATTTTTAGCTAATTGAAGTAGAGGGATTTTTAGCATATTATTCTGTTGAAATTGGGTAAAGCACAAAACTGCAAAATAATTACTATGGGACAAAATAAATATCAAAGACTCTCATGCAAATAAAAACAAAATGCTAAGGAAAGTATTTTGGAATTACTTTATCCAGGACTGAGCTAATCAACTCATTGACAAATGTATACAGCTTTGAATTTGCTTAAGTTTATTGGAGACAAATCTTTTTAAAATAAGTTCTAGATCAACCTGTTCTAAATCGTCAACTTTCTGTCCCTTTTGTTGATTATTAATCATGGAGATTAATTTGAATACACTGAAAAGTTTATCCTGCCATGAAACTAAAAACCGCAGCAAATATAGAGTTGTATACAATTTTTCCTACAATGTATTTAAATTTCCATTGGAAAAAAAAATTCAAAGTGTGAACTGTACATATGTAGATGAATATAACATAAAGAAAATTAGAACATTTTGTCAATCTTAATATTCATATAAACTACTTGCCAAATAAATACTGGTATTTAAAATAATAAAAAAAATCAAAATCTAGACAAGCATATACACCATGGACACCTTCAAAAAATAAAGAAACAAGTATTAATATCAAAGGCTGATTTGAGATATATACCTGGTTTTTTAAAGGGTGCTTTTTCAAATGGATCAGAAGAATCCGACCCTGACATGACTAGGTCTTCTCTACTCTTGACATTTGATATACCTAGAATGAAGGATTGGAAGCTTATTCATCAAACATAACTCAAAAGAATGAACACATCCAAAACACCAAGTCTGTCACTTTAAATGACCACTGTTAAAGTTTCTGCAAATGTTCACTGCAATACTGCTGATTAAAGTATCAATGATCATTTGCTTGAAATTCCCTTTGACTACAAATACCACCCCTTACTGCTGTTAGATCCTCTCCTCAGTTTGTCAAACTCTTTTCCAAATAATTCCTCTTCTGTATCTACTCCAAAGTTGTCATCGAATGGATTCCACTCTGCTATATCTGCTGATACAGCTCGTGTCATACCTGGAGACCTTCAGTAAAATAAGCACAGGTATCAGAAAATATAACTAGAAAACTGACCAGTCAGCAAGGGCCCCCCTGAGGGGTAGAAATATAAGGGTGCAGCTTACAGAATGAGAATTTTACTTGATTACAAAAATTTAAAAATATATGAAGAAGAATATGCAACAACAAATGTATTTATAAAATTTCAAGATAATTCCTAAATATCCAACAACCTGTAAATAGTATTTACATAAGGCAGTAAAATCATCATATCTATAATAACTCAATTAAATGTATATTTTAACAAGAAACAGTATTTAAATATTTTTCACCTCAAAAAAGTTTTCATTTTCTTATACGACCCCCCATCCAGCCCCAATGAAATCCTTTACAGTTTGAGTATGATCCCCTGAGACTTACCTTGGAGGAGAGTGTATGGGGGTGGTGGAGGCTGATTTACACTTATTGTGCTGAGGAGCAGGCAGGAAATTCCTATTGGAGTGATATGCCCTACACAATACAGTGAGAGTGACCAATAGAATCAGCATATTTAAGATTTCACATCAATCACAATTTCTTTTTTGTAAATCTGCCAAAGTACATCAATTACACTGAAGGAAGAACTTTTCTTTCAAAGCATTTTGTTTAACCTACATATTTATAGAAATATATCATTTCTTTAAATTCATATTCCCTTTTTTTTAAAAAAAAAAAACCCTAACTTTTATAGGGATAATTCAATTAAAATTATTTAAGCATATATTCAAATTTTTGGCAAAAATTTCACAGAATTCTTTTTTGTACTGGTAAAATGATTCATGAATCACAAATATGAGACTGAATTGTTTGACGTACTTGAAAGCACTGCCCTTGCCTCCCATGGTGAGGTAGGCTGTGTCACTAACATTACGCTTGTGTGTTTTGTGAGGCTTTGGGGAACATGGAGGAGGTGTTATGGAGATCAGGGGTTGTGAATCAGTCTGAAATAACCACAAGTTGTCAAGTTTAGAGCAAATTTTGAACATCATCAACATTCAGTTTTCCCTAAAATTCAAAAACATGAATCAATAAAAAAAGTAATTTAGTTAACATATTTAAGAATTTTCACTTACATGTACGAACATAAAGTACATAATGAATATATGATCAATTTCATAAAATTTAAGTTTGTGCAAGTAGCTTATACAGTGGTACAGATGTGAATGAACTTACATTTTCTTTTGTTTCACTTCTTGGTTTGGAATGTGGCACAGTGGGTTTTTTAAATACATCATTTCTAATAGAATTATTTTGTACATTAGTGGAGTCTTGTAGCTGCACATAATGTTCCCTTCTTTGCTTCTGAGCCTCATTTTCCTGACTAGAATAAGGGGGGTACATCTGAGAATTACTTGTGGAGTGTGTAATATGGCTTTGGGGGACTGCCTGCTGGGACACACGACTCTGAGCAGGCGTGGGTTGTGTCACATTAGCTGGATTCTGCTGCTGATAATACAGCTGCTGTTGTTGTGCATAGTTCATTTGTTGTGGAGGGTACATCATTCTCTGTTGTTGAGGGTGAACCACTCCTTGTTGTTGAGGGTGCACCACTCTTTGTTGCTGAGAGGACACCACTCCTTGTGGTTGAGAACGCACCACCCCTTGTTGCATCACTCCCTGTTGTTGAGGGGGCATCATTCCCTGTTGTTGCGGGGGTACCAATCCCTGTTGTTGAGGGGGCACAACTCCTTGTTGCTGGGACATGTAGTTAGTTTGTGACATTGGACCACTTGGAGGTTGATATTGGCCAGGATGATTTCCCTGAAACTGATTCACAGTAGGGGCCTGGTACACATTTTGTTGCTGACCTGGGAAGTACTGAGGCCTGGGTCCCCCTGACACAGTTGAGCTTGCCTGTTGTGGAGGTATTTGCTGAACTGGTGCAGGGTTCCTATAGGCTTGCTGTGGTACAGTACCTTTCATTGGTTCTGTAATACAAAGTAAATGAAGTGACCTTTAGCACTTTTGTAATTAATGCCAAAGAAACCTTTTGAACTTTTTTAATTAATGTCAATGAAAAACTGTTAGAGGTAACTAACAAAATTAAAAAAGAAATATTGTATCTTTGCTACTAATCAAATGGAATGGAAATTTAACTCGATAAAATATTAATAAAACATTTTCTTTGTTTACACATCAAATATATTGACTTAAGATAATGTGGCCTATTCTAAGAATAAGCAGTTAAGACACCGGTCAAGGAGCATCTTTTATTCAATCCCTTTTAAATAATAAACATCCTTAACAGATGTCATTATAATGAAAAATAATAAACAGCTATACTCTTCCTATTACTGATAATCTGACCTGCTTTATTTGGTTGCATGGGAGGGGTTGGGTTTGTAGGCGTTGGACGTTTTCTTGGCACTACAGATGTTTGTATGGGTAAGTTCAGGGAATTGGTCTGTGGCATTGCTTGACCTTTAGGTCGTGACCTTGGGGTTACAGTTGTGCTCTCAATTGGCTGGACAGGGGTATTTCTATAAGTAAAAGTTGAAATGAGAGTTCACACTCATACATGTACATATATATACATCAACAAATATAAGAAATTAATGACAAAGGAAAGAGTCCTGAATGTTTGTAGTAAAGCTTCATTACTTTGAAGATGAAGTTTTGACTTGTCTGGATTCTGATTCTGTTAGAGGAACTGGTAATCTACTTAGATCTGGCAAAGGTGCACCCTAAAAAATATGGTAAACTGTTTATCAATCTCATAATCCAATACCAGCTGTAATGATTTTTCAAGACCTTCAACATGATAAAATGGATTCTGCATTTCATTGATAGTTTTATTACAGTTAAATATATAAAGAGCACACATAATTTGGCTAAAGAGGTAAAAAAAAAAGGAATCTGTAAATCCACAGACAAGCTCACAGTATCAGTATTGTTAAATTAAAAGACAGCTTACATTCATGTTAGGGACTGGGCAATCTCTGTGGGACATACTAAATGCCAGCCAGGACACCTGATATATATCTGGACGCTTTTCTGGGTCAACCTCCAATATATATGCTACAAAACAAATTTTACTTTTATTACCTCACTTTGAGAACTGCACTTCAATTTCTCTCGTAAATATATACTTAGAAGTTAAAAATAAAATAAGCATCTATAGGTGCAGATAATTCCCAAAATTCTCATAAAAACATCATTTTTATTTTGCATTCATTGTTGTAAGAATTCAAATAAATCATAATTTAAATCTGTATGACAATAAATCATAGTAAAAATCCATATGACTTACCAATAAGAGAATGCATCATCTTTGAGTATCGTGAATCATCAGGAATAGTGAAATTTCCACTCTGGACAGCTAAGGTACTTTCACCAAATGGCAAAGTGAAGAAACACAACTTGTAGAGTAAACAACCAAGAGCCTGTCAAAAAATATGTACATAGTGAACAGTTCAACAAAAAGTTAGTATTTTTAAATATACCTTTTAAATAAAAGCATTATTTTTTTTTTTTTATTGATTTATCACAGATCAGTTATACCATTACAAGATAGCAGTTTATATTTTTATTGATATAAACTGCACCGACTCCTGAATACTTCTGATGATAATTCCCAGTCTTTTTTTTTAATTTTTTAATTAGACTCTGAATACTAACCCAGATATCACTTTTTATGGTAATTGGTTTTCCTCCGTATAAATCAACCATTTCTGGAGCTCTGTAGGAAACTGTGGTGTACCTTTAAATAATTCAGTAGGAAATAGAGATCGACTTACAATACAGGTATATATGAAAATGTTTGATTGAAAAACAAGGCCAACATTTTTTTATATTCTGTTTTACGGGAGCGCCGACCCTAATTTGGGCTAAAATGAAATAAAAATAAAAGCCCCCAATTCAAGTTTTATTTTTATTTCTCCCGCCGATAGTTTATTTATAGTCACTGAAAAAATAAAAGAAATAACCTTTTTACGAGCCTTTCAAAATGCGATTTGTCATTGGCTGAGGTAAATAGATTCATCCAATCACAGTATTCGAAGCGTGAAGAGTCACTGCACAGCATAGCGCCAAAATGTCAGAATCGGAGGGTTTCACATGTTTTTAAATAGTCAGTTTAAAAAGTGACGTGTCAGTGTTATATATTAGAAAAAGTATAAATTTTAATGACAGATTGAATGAAATAGATGAATCAGTGATCTTGATCAAATGTCATGCGGAGGGCCACGTGGAAATCGAGGTTCTGTCAACCGCTTGTTTTGAAAGGTTTTGAGTACGTATTATCTTTGACAATTGCTTCAATACATTGAAATACGTCTTGAAGATTTTTTTTAAACTTAATTTTAAGACAGAAATGTTTTCTTTTACAAGTAACGACAGAACACTACAACAATCTAGAACTGGTAGAAAGTGGCGTGACTGAGGAAATTCGAGTCACAACTTTCACTCGTTTTATGACAAATATTGGAATTCAGAATTATCTACGAAAATATATCAGTATATATGCTTGATTGACACAAGACATTATTTCCTTTTTTATCGCTTTATGGAATTTTACGTGCTATGTAACAAATTAATATACATTGATGGATCAGCGTATTCATATCAGCTGATGTAGTGTATTAATCCGAGATTCCTCTGACTCTAACCGCTGCTTTTATATTTTGAAAATATAAAAGCAGGGGTAAGAGTCAGAGGAATCACGGATTAGTAGTGTATATGTATAGCTCTTGTTTAGTAAAACAACTTTTTTTTACCACTAGGGAAAAGTATTGTTGTAAATGATACTCCCTTACAAATATTATTTCAATTCAAGACCTGGTTCCTTTTTTCATTCAAAAGTTGTGGATTAGAACCATTTTCAACAATTAAATTTTTAAATTCTGCAGTAAACAGAATATTGTCATAGGTATTTTACATGTGTATACTATGGGAAAGATGTGTATTTTCTACAATTATTTTGAAAGTTAGCATGCTCAGCACTGTATTTTCTCCATAACTTTGCCAGAACTAGTCCCAGATCCTTAGATCTTGTAATTTGCTGAATAATTTACTGAATACTGAAAAATAAAAGATTCTGAAAAGTTTATGAGGGGTGTGACAGAAGTCCTATAGGTTTACTGTGGTGACAATATGATATTTGACAACTGAGAGAAGACTATAGATTTGTATGTTTGATTTGCATTAATGTTAGAGACTGCAAGCTTTATACTAGAAATGCACCCCTGCCCCAAATATCTAAGAGAAAGTTAAATTTAAAATAGTTCATTGATCCATTAACAGTACCAATTCTGTGTTTTGTGTACATAAGTTTTTCAAATAACACTGTTTTTCTAACAAATTAAGGTCATACAAAAAAAATTCCAACCTTAATTTAAAATAAAAATAGTTCAATGATCCATTAACAGTACCAATTCTGTGTTTGTGTACATAAGTTTTTCAAATAACACAGTTTTTTTAACAAATTAAGGTCATACAAAAAAAAAATCCAACCTTAATTAAAAATAAAAATTTTTATTGCATTTTTTCATTTTATTTTTATTTTTCTGACCGACTGCTTAAATTTCGAGCTTTTATTTTTATTTCGACCCCCGACTCAAATTTTTGAAAAAAATTCTCGTAAAACAGAAAATAAAAAAATGTTGGCCCAAACATGTATTGTTTCAGTTGGAATGAATATAATTTTAGTATATCACAACGGCAGGTATCAGAGAGTTAACAGAAGGGATCTGAATCTTACTACAGGTATCAAAGAGTTAACAGAAGGGATCTGAATCTTACTACAGGTATCAGGGAGTTTAGAGAAGGGATCTGAATCTTACCACAGGTATCAGAGAGTTAACAGAAGGGATCTGAATCTTACTACAGGTATCAAAGAGTTAACAGAAGGGATCTGAATCTTACTACAGGTATCAGGGAGTTTACAGAAGGGATCTGAATCTTACCACAGGTATCAGAGAGTTAACAGAAGGGATCTGAATCTTACTTTCTGATTTCCTCTTCAATCTGCTGGACATTTTGTTGACCAGGTACAACAGCTTTCGCAGTTGCACTCCCAAAATCACACAGTACATAATGTCCACTGTCAGACACCAAAATATTCTCAACCTGAAAACAATATTACAAATTTGTTATCAACAACCTTTCCATACAATTCTTAATAGGTTTAAAAACTTTATCTTTTACTGTAGAACAAGAAAAATAAGTGCATTTATATTTAAAAACAGGGTTGTGCATAAGACCTGGGGGCCAGGGAATTTCCCCGGCCTATAATGACATAATCCTCTGGTTATTCAACCCTCACTAGGGGAGGAAGACACCCTTCTACTTTTAAAAGTCCCCCTTCTATTTCAATTCTTTGAGACAAAACTTAAGAGCAAATCTACAGTATATAAATTTTACTTAAATGCATGTGCTTCTGTCAAATACAAAATTTGATCTTTTTGCTCCTATCTATTGTATTATAATGCAAGTAATGACACTCTAAAGTGCCTTAAATTTAACCTGAACACAACATTCTATACACAACAGAGTATTAAATTGAAATAGAAAAATGGAATACCAACTGAAGAATATCTACATACATGTACACCTAGAAGGATAAAAAAGCCAATGTTAACTAGTAAATCCGCTTGCTTAATGAAATGTATCTACATATATTGAAATAGGTTCATATTTTCAAAAAATGTTAACCTTATGAAAGTTCCTCCCTCTTTCCAATTTTCTATGTGACTCTGACACTTACATGTATATGAGCAAATAGTTTTTATCCACTGTCTCATGATTAAACTGTCTGTGTCACTGTACGTGGGCTTCATATTTTAGCAGCTTTGGAGCTACTGACATTGAACTAATTCATAATTACCGAGGGAAAAAAAATGGATACAATATCTGAGCTTTAACGATCAATCTGTCATTTTGAAAGGCTTTGAACATCAATTCCATTTCTTCTATGCAATTACATGCAACATTTGTTTTAATGTAACCCATATGTATTACTGGTGTCTTACCTTTTAATCTCTGTGTATCATTAAGGTCTTACCTTCAAATCTCGGTGTATTATTGGGGTCTGACAGTGATGTAACCTGGCCACTGCCTCACATACATCACAAAATATCCTCAGAACCTCTTTTTCTGAAAAGCCTGAGTTTATTTTTTCATTCATCTGTTGTATCACATGATCTGTTTAAAAAAAACCATAATAAAACAGGTCATTAATATTTTCACATGATTTAGTAAAAGAACAATGAATAGAGGATATATTTGATAAGTAACACTTAACCCAATGATTCAAGATTACTTAGTAGGGCTGTCACGGTTCCAAAATTTTTCGGGTCGGGTCGGTTCTGTAAATTTTCGGTTCGGTTTCGGGTTTTCAGTTCGGTTATTTACATCTATTTTAAACCTTAATTTCATGAATTTAACTTGAAAAATCTTTATTTGTTAAATTAAATTTACATAGAAAACAAGTCTTAACCATGCGAACGTCTAGACATCGGTGTGTAGAACTACTTGGCCTACTATTAGCCACAACCTGACCATTCCTGCTCGTTTTGATAATTATCTAATACTTTCACGACAAGCGTTTTGTCATGGAATGAAGTAGAGTTCAGTTGTGATGTTTATTCATCACTGTTATTGTCATCATTCCTTTGATTTCAATGCCATTTTTTATATTGAACAGACTCTAATATATAAACCAGACCCGAACCGAAATTCGGAAAAATGGAACCGAAACCGAACCGAACAACTTGGACCGCGGTTTCATGGTTATTTCAGGTACTCGTGACAGCCCTAATACTTAGACAATGTATTTATTTAAATTACAAAACTTGTAACAAAATTCCTTGTATGTTAGGCTCATTATTATGATTGCATTTTAGAGGAACTTGGATTTAATTTCACAAGTGTAAATATCACAATTCCTTTTCAAGGAAGAGAATCCTCAGGTAATCAAAGATTACAAAGCTCACCTCAACAAATGTTATCTTAAGGCAAAGTCTCACACCAAACAAATGTTCTGGTATTATGCATCCCTAGATACAAAATCTATACAAGTTTGGTCCAGGTAGGATCTTTAGATACATGAAAATGGACCTGGTCCAAAAACTTCAACTGTTCAATCACCTGTCCACTCACCTAGAAGATGTAGGTCAGATCCAGCATCCAAAGCAATTTTGTAATGTGCATCCCAAGATGCATCATCCATGCATGTTTGGTCATCATAGGGCTTATAGTTACTTGAGCATGAACCTGTTTCAATAAATGTAAATCAGATCCAGCATCTGAAGCATGTATGGTACTGTTCATCCCTAGCTGCATCATCCATGCAAGTTTGGTCAAGGTAGGTACTTAGGAATGACACCTCCTTCTAAAACTTAACCGGGACACCAATGCAGACACAGAAACCAACACAGGGGTATAGCATAAGCAACTTTGTCGGGGTGAGCTAATAAGAATTTAGGCCATACTAAATTTTACAAATCATTACTTTTAGTTTATATGATTTTGATTTTCTCTCTATACTAACTCACCTCTGCAGTACTGCATCAACAACATCACCTCATATACTTTGTTAGGTGCCATAGAAATGCTAGAGTCCACATAGCTGATGATGTTCTTATGACCACTAAGTGTTTTCTGAAAGGGAAAAGGTGGAATTAAAAAAGATTAAATTTTAATAGCCAGTTTTATTTTGAACATATAGGTATTAAGTACATTTACATCAACTTCTGTTCAATTTTTCCTTATATAAAGGTAAGAATGAAAAATAACTCTTTTTATATACCCTGAAAACTTTCACATATAGCGAAGATAAACCCCAGGGTATAACATGTGCTATCCACCCCTCAGAAAATTTACTTTCAACTGACAACTTCTGATTCCAATTTTGATTTCCTGCAATATGAGTGGTTAGTGACTTCTCCAACACTGGAAGAGTTCCAAAAAGCTTTACCCTGAGGTATAAAATGTGCTCTACAACCCTCAGAAATAATAATATACATCAGTATAATAAAGTGCTTCTGCCTCATAAATCTAAATTTTAGATTCTCATCCTACTGTACAGCAGGAAATTAACTCGCGGAGTTAATATTCGCTATATTTGTGGAAATAAAAATTCCGCGAATTCAACATACAGTGAATAATTCTTCAAAAATTGATAAGGATAAATCGAAATATTACCGATATCTGTGATTAGATTCGTTAACTCTATTTGTGTTTCCTTGCAAACATAAAAGCAGTAACACTTAATTCAGCCACCCAGTAGAGGTGCGATGTTATTATCTATGAAACATGTATTGTAATATTTCACTCGTGCATATCACTCGGTCTTATTATCTTTAATCAAGGCACTTACGTAGTAAACATAACACTGTTACACATTAATTCAATTTTTAGCCGGGCTTATTGCTCAAAGAGCAATTGCCGGCTATTGTCAGCCTGTTCAATGCAGGAAGTGTTGACCCCATAGTCGCCAAAATAAAGTTACGTGTAAAAATATAGTACTTACTCTCAACCACATTTGAGATAATACAAATGCTAAATAAAGCAACAAAAATGAAACGAAGTTTTATCTATACAAATAAACATCAGTAGTAATGACTTTGAAAACTTCAGTCCAAAGTCAAACACCATAGTTCATCTGCGTAATGTTTTTTAATAGTCAATGTTGTCGTAGCCTAGTTCTCTACAAAGACGGAGAAAAGCAGGAGAGGGAACCAGATACATTCGGCGGTGCCATGTTAACTCTGACCCTGATAAATTCGGACTGTGGTTTAGGTCCCAAAAACTAATTGGTTTATCATTTATTTTGATATTTTAAAATAAATTTTTCATAAGATTTTTAACAATTATTTTCAAATAAGATGTCATTGAACCCTTATTTTTATTATTATTATTATTTTAATAATTATTTGTACATATTCTTCCAATGTCTGCAGAGATCATTATTTAGCTGTTAATACAATGTACAGCTATGGCTCATGTAAAAAAAAAAATCAGCTTTGTAAATAAGCCCGGCTCTCTGTACTCCTGAGTACTTTGATATTAACAGTTCAACATTTTGACTATCGGTACTGACAACTGATTTAGATTCAGGGGGATATAAATATACTGCCGTAAATACTACTCTGTACTCTACTCAAAACATACCTATGAACGAACACCTGCCAAGGGGGTTCATTTTTTTTACATGAATGTTTTGGATACTACTTGAAATCACTTGAATAAATCACTCGAGTATATACTCATATGTATTTCAAAAATATTTAATAAAAAGAAAGAAAGAAAGAAGAAAATTTATCTGAATGTGTAACCTGTAAATCGTACATTTTTTCTTCTAATCGGGATCAGTATGGTGTTTCTTTCTATTTAATCGGTTCAGAATCGACTCAATACACAAGGAAAATATTTGCAGTGCTGACAAAAGTTTTTGCATAATTTTTCCTTTCCGCGAATTCAATCGACCGTGATTTGCTGCAAGTTCAACAAATCGCGATCTTTTCCGACCACGATTTTAACCTGCTGTATAGTAATTTGCTTAAAAATTGGGGTGGATGAATTTTATTTTGTATTCTCTCAATCTAATTAAAATTAGATGTTCCGAATCCGCTACCGCTTCTCAAACATCTAACAACATCCCATTAGGGGTCACGTCAGAGCGACCTTTCGATTATGAATAAACATAAAAGTTTTGGCCAATCAGATTCAACCTTCTGTATACGATTCTAAAATTAGTTCCACGGCTACATCTTAACATTACTGATGCTCAGTAGACTGTCTTACGTTGAATTAAAGTAATTTTGGTATAAATTGAACGTATAATCCGCCAATTTGGCATTCTTACCTAAATAATGCAAACGAAAATGCACAAACTACATGTATACGTCTATATATCCCGCACGTCACATTCATATTTAGCACGGTCTTTACCATGCATATTTTGTTTACTACGAAACCCCTCGGGCATTTAGGTTTGGCAGTAAAAAAAGAAACGCATCCGAACTATAAGCCAAGATTTCAGAGACGGCAATTTCATTGGGTAATCGAAAGGTCGCTCTGACGTGACCCCTAATGGGATGTTGTTAGATGTTTGAGAAGCGGTAGCGGATTCGGAACATCTAATTTTAATTAGATTGGTATTCTCTAAAATATCTACATAACGTTCTTCTATAATATTTTCGCATTGTTAATGCCATTAGGAATAGATTTTCTTGTTTATTCTTTAAAATATCTAAAATGTTATACTTTTTCTGCTAGTGACCTTGAACTTGGTGGAATGACTTTAGCTCAAGGTCATGACACACCATTGGGTCACATGCAATCTCTGTAACAAGTATGAGCTTCTAGAGATTCTCCATTACAAAGTTATATCCTGGATTAGATTGCACAGACAGACAGATGGTCGGACAGATGGACAAGGCAATTCCTATATACCCCCCAAACTTCTTTTGCTGGGTGTATTATGAGGCACAGATCACAGTGTTGTGGCTAATCTGGTAGTCACAACTTCTTATCATGCTTATTAATCGGCCTTTTTCCAAATACATACATTTAGTGTGAACAACAAATTCTTGTGTTTTGTATAAAAATATCACAGATTTCCTCTGTCTTTACGACATCTATTTTTTCTTTCGAAAATATTCTATAGCTTTAGCTTCTAGCTGTTGAACAGTTCTTTTAGATTTATAATTTTTCTGTTGCACTTATTTCCACTAAAGTTTACAAACTATCTTTTATTTTAATACAAAATAAAGTAGAATTTCTAATTTCTACGAGATGTAACTTTTACCTTGGATTTTTGTCTTCTCTATCTTAGCATCTAAACATTTCAATTTTGTAATCATGAATAATGTTAACAAAGGAAATTGCAAGCTTTTGTCAAGATACTCTCCAATTTTCTCGCATCCCAACACATCCAAAACAGGCCATTGTGTGGTTATGATATATCATTTTAGAAGAAATCTGCACTAATTTTCCATGTGCCACTTCAAACGAATGGAGGAACAAAAAAATTAAAAGCTGCTATTTCATATTTTCTTTTGATTACTCTTGAAATTGTAGACTATTAAAATATTTTAATGTAAATTTAGATTTTAACTACAGTCTTAAAAAGTATAGTATTAATTTTTTTCTCTATATTCTTATTAAATATGCACAACTTTGGACAAGCAGTATTAATTCAAAAGAAAACTGAAGGGATGGGAGGTCATTTTTGATCTTGTAACTGTTTTGTTATATGCTCTTACTTTAAAATTCTTGCTAATGGTACCAATGTTCATCAAAACTTAATAAAACTGTTACTTGGCTTTTCTTCTGCCCTCTCAATACAGGCATAATTTTTTTTTTCTACATATCATAACTCTAAAACTCAAATTGACTGTGATAACATTAGTAAAATGTAATAAAAAAATTTTTGATAACAAAAAATCAAAATAAATAAAAAAAATGGCAGGACACTTTGAAATGGGCTTTTGGGGGATGAGAAATTAAAATATAATTTTATCTTGTCTTTTCTAATGGCTGTGAGTGGAAGAACTCTTTCATCAAACCCTTGACAAAGAGGTATTCCCCTCAGGCAAGTCCTCAGGGAATAATTCCTGTCACAGGTTTGTTAAAAAAGCTATCCCACTCACAGCTAGTGGATAAGTGTATCATATCAGAATTCCTTTGAGCTAAATTTTCTTCTACTTACAGCTATATGTATCTCTCTTTTGCAGACTGTCAGATCATGGTCATTGTTTACAAACAATCTTTTGAGTGCATAATGATTTCCATTCTGTGCTTTCACCAAGAATACTATTGCAAAACCACCTGGAGAATCAAAGAAATATTTTAATGATGAATTGTTTAATTTTTATTACAATTGAGTGTAGTTATCTGTATAACATACATTTAATATAAAACTGGGGAAATTGGATATGGTTATATCATCCCTAAGTGCATTTATGGCTTAAGTCCAGCAAGAAAAGAGAACTTAAAATTTACGTAGGCCCTAAATATACTAGTATATCAAAAAAGTATGTATAGCATAAACTTTTGTATAAGTGCAAAAATTAACAATAATTTTGTTGACTAAATATTGTGATGTCATTAAAGTTTTGGAAATCAGCAAATGAAATAGTCTATAAAGGTGAGAGATGTAGGTTGTGTAACCAATATGATCGCCCATTTTCATTGCCTTAAAAAATATACTGCACTTTTGTAAGAATGTTCATAAAAATCTGAAAGCTATTTAATTTACATTGAAAAAATGTTTAAAAACTTGACTAATTCAAATATTAATTTACGAAAGAATTACAGAAACAAAAAGCAGTAAAACCTTGGGGGTTGCCCCATAACTTCTTTTATGAGGTAGACACGCCCCCTTTCACTTCAATTTTGCTTATTATTGTACATGAAAGAGCTCTCACCCTCTGCTATGACATCCTCTACTGTAACTGTAAACCTCCCAACTGTGAAAACCTTGCCAATGTAAGGGTTCTGAGTCCCCGCTGAATCAATTTTGAAAGGGAACAGTTTCTTCATGTTATATTTTGGTCATCTCATTGTCAGACTGGATAACACCTTCTAATGTTTCACAATGATCTATGTCGTCAACCGCTAAAAAAACTAGAAAAATATCATCAGCAATTATGACAGTTTTTTGAAAAAAATTCTCACAGACTAGTATGGTATGTCGATGATTCACATTGTCACCTTCGCACCTGCCACCAAAAATATGGTGGAATTCTCGTTGTTAGTTATGTCACGTGATATAACCTCAATTACATTTTAATAAATATCACATAATGTCCATATAAAACGCACTGTAACCTTACCTTGTAACTAATTATGTTTTCTTTTAAATTTCGAATAAAGTCTTTTTACAAAAACACAATAAACATTCTTTCTTTGATGATCGTTTACAACAACATCTCACGAGATTTCGCATCAAGCATCATGGCGGACAAAGCGGGAGAAGCACCTTCTGAGCCCCAAATAGGAGTCGATAGCATGCAGAACAGGTACATTATGGACTTGAAACGTAATCAGATATAAGGAACACCAAAAGATATATCATTTCCTTGTTTTTGAAGAGTATCATATATCGGATATCTTATCTATTGTAGTTTAGATGACATTGTTTACAGTTGAAGTTACTTTCATTTTTTACTTTCAATTTGCATTCATGTTTAAAGAAGCGACAATTTTACAATATGTTACATTTTACTTGTATTGTAATTAGTAAGCTGTAAAATCAGGGACCTATATACTAACTTAGTATATAGGTCCCTGGTAAAATACAGCCTATACTCAGCACAAAATGGTCTGAATCTTCATGGAAAGATTAAAAGAAAAAAATTCAACATGCTAATTTTTGGCTTACCTGTGAGTTAGCCAAAAGCTCGTGTGCTTTTCTGATAAAAATTTGCCCTTTGTCTAATAAAAGTAAATAGGTAAAAGTAAAATATGATGAACGTAATAATACTCTATTTTTATATACAGAAATTGGGTAACTTCAAAATGAAGGAATAGTGATCGAGGTTGAGGTCATTTGAAAGGTAAATTTGAAAGTAAAAATAATGGCACAGTGGAATTGCTCTCACCAATATATATCTTAGTATATGAAGTTTGATTTTTTTTTCAAATGTGAAGGTCAAAGTGAAGGAAAGAACAAATTCATACAGAAGGTCAAGGTAAAAAAAATTATGACAGAGATTGCTCTTACCAATATATCTAACTGTATAAAAAGTTATGATTGAAATATCTTGAAAAATATGAAGTGATAGGGAAGGTCAAGGTCTGAAAAATTATGATACAGTTGAATAGCTCTCACTAATTTGTATTAGTATATGAAGTTTGATAAAAATATTATTTACAGTTTCTTTTTTTATTATGCTAGATGTAAAAAAAAATAGATCAAGGTCATATGGAAGGTCAAGGTCAGAAAATTTTGAAAATTTTGAGACAGTTAAATAGATCTTATCAATTCATATCTATAACTTTGAAGAAAATGTTTTGAACAGTTTAACATAATTGCAAATGAGGATTAGAGGACTCAAAATCATAGAAAAGAAAATGGAAAATTATGACATGGTGGAATAGTTCCCACTAATATGTATCAGTGAGTTTTGATTAAAAAAAATCTTCAATAATTGTTTTGAAACTGGGCTAAAGACATAATAGGGAATGATGAGGTCAAGGTTACAGAGAAGGTCAAGGTTAGAAAGGATTGACACATTTGAATAGCTCTCTCATTAATCTGTATCTTTGTGTTTGTACAGGGCTCAACACTTAAGACACTTCCAACCAACTCAGACTAGTAAAAGTTTAGTCCGGTCTAGATTATTTTGTTTCAAGGTAACCTGACTGGTTGTGTAAAAATTTCTTAGAGTTCAAATGAAGCCAAACTATTATTTCTGGATTTGTTCTTATTTATCAATGTGGTAAATCAGGTTTCACTTTTATTCAACCTGATGAAAAATAAAATAATCATGAATAGATTTGTTTTGGAAAACTCTACTTGTTTTATTGTACTAAAACAGTTTACCAATTTTGAGACATTAAAATAATACACTATTATTAGTATACATATCAAATTTCATTTCTTTTGCCACCATTTGATATTTTCATATATGCTAGCATTACCAAGTTATCCTTCCTGCTAAGTCATTTTATTTACAACTGTTGGAAGGAATACACTTTCTGATATTTTGTTGTAATGAACTCAATGGAATGAAGTTTATTCAATGATGTACATGTAATTATATATTTATTTTTGGCACCAAAACCAACTTACAATGACCATTGATTTGTTTACATTGACAATTCCTTATTCGACTGTGTTTTTTTATGTTAATATTCTTGTAATATTAATTGAATCATTCATGATCCAAGGTTATTAGGTGAGGTCTAGTGAAGTTGAGGTCAGATCTAGTGAAAATTTCAGGTACTACTATGAGTCAGTGAGACTGGTCTAGTTTGTTTTAAAAATACTGTTGAGCCTTGTTGAAATGAAAATATCATGAATTGTTTGTTTGAAACTAAGTTCAATGCAAAGTAAGGAACATTTGGGTCAAGGTCATAAGACATGTCAAGGTCAGAAAATTATGACACATTTGAATAGTTGCAACTAATATGGATCAGTTTGAGAAATTTTTTTAAAAATATATATTACAACAAAAGGTACCAAATAAGGAATGGTGAGGTTAAGGTCGAACAGAAGGTCAAATATGCTCTCACCAATATTTATCAGTGTATGAATTTTGGTTTCCAATCTTAAAACAGTTTCTTTGAAACTGACCTAAATGCAGAATATTATGGACAAACAAATGGATGGATGGAAGACAGACATGGCACACACTTTATGCCCCAGGCCATATTCATGGCAGGGCATAAAAATCTTTAAATTTCTTCATGAACAGCAGAGTCATTATTAGTCAAATATATTCATATGCAAGCATCCCTATGCATGTAGTTTAGATTCAAGTTTGTTCAGATCAGGGCTCTCAGATATAGGTTGAGGATACAATAAGGGATCAGAGTTTTACAAGAGAGTGTAGGCAAAAACACATTAAATCATACTAAAAAGCAAAACATACCTCTGTTATGTGGAATTTTTTTTTTGAAATTATAAGCCCTGAGGTTAGGGTTGGGCCAAAATCAGAGATTCAAATTTGAACAGGAAAAAAATCTTTTCTAGAACAACAGGGCCATGTTGATCGTTTTGATATTGAAGCACCCCAATGTTGTGTGGATTTCATTTTGATTAAGTCATAGCTCTCTTAGGGATAGATTTTGGTCTACCTTTTTGAGCCAACCTTTTTTAATGAAAGTGAAGAGGGTAATTAAAAAAAATACGCTGATGAAAAAAAGCAGGGTCTAGGTGACTGAGATGAGCATTGTAGCCCATGGGCCTCTTGTTTATTTTGCTATTATATCTTGGCAATATGCACCCTTTATTCCAAATATTGATATTTATGAAGAATGTATGTCTTCAATTTTCACCTGAGTATTTTATGCTTGATTTGACAAATACATGTATATATTTTGTGTAAATTATAGAATTATTGTGGCATTTTTTTCTGGTTAACCAGATATGAAGGAAAGTACATTTAGAGGCAAACAGCTTATTGCCTTTATTACTGTCTTATGACAGCATCTAGTTTATTCATAGGAGTGATATTTTATCAATTTACCAGGAAATTAATAAAAGTAATTATATGTATTGATTTGTAAACTTTTGATGTTCTCCTTGTCATAACACAGATGTCAATGGATTGTGGAAAAAAAATTATCATTTTGCACTAATGTGTTGCTCAGTTGTTCAGGAAAGGAGTCTGTTATGACACAACAAATGTCAAAAATTTATAATTTGGTGCTTAAATGGTGACAGATTACTTCTGAAGCTACAGTAAAACTCAGTTATAGCGAAGTCCTGGGGACCTGTGAATTTGCTTCGCTATATCCGTTATTCATTATATCGGTATAACAAATTCGTTCAAGTACAATTTGACTAAAGCCAGACCTCTATTTACGCTATATCCGTTATTCATTATATCGGTATAACAAAGTCGTTTAAGTACAATCTGACTAAAGCCAGACCTCTATTTATGCTATCGCATAGTGTAAATAGAGGTCTGGCATTAGTCAGATTGGTTCAAGTATATATAACAAATTCACAATATGCATCTTTTCTTTCAAGCATGACTACCAAATATGTTTTGGGAGGCATTAAGTACAAAATTTAACAGAGATGCTAGATATTTTTGATGATTGGAATTTCAAATCTAAATACTTGTGAAAAATAATGTCATTTAAATATTTTGAATTTTAAGATATTGAAAATTCGGTTTAAAAGATGGAATTTTTGTTATTTTTAACCACTACGGGACAGAAAATCAGTTTGCTATATCCGTAAATTTGTTATATCAGCGTTTGTTATAACCGTAATATTTTCCTAGGATTTGTTAAGAATTTCGCCGGGGAATCCAAAAAAAATTCGCCATATCCTTATTTGTACTAAACATGTTTTACTATATAAGCTCTACATTACTTGACTAATTCCCTCCCCCTTTTGAAAAATCACATTTCTGCCACAATTTTCATAATGTGTACAATGAGTATAAGGTCAGTTATGGAGAATGTGAAAGAAATAAATCCCCAACAACTATTGCCATTAAATTTAAGATACTGATTAAAAAAGCACTTCTCAACCAAACTAGAGATGATAGTTCTGACCATAATTGACAGATTCTATTGTGCTTAAAATAGTGGACTCCCAAAATCAATTTACTGAAAGTATACCAACTGCTTTCATTTACCCTGAAGCTATTTTTACTAGGGACGGGTATTGCCAAAAATTTCGTATTACGATATATCACAATTTTTCCCCAAAATATCACAATAATATCATGATATTTTTACAAGCAATTTTTACAATGATTTTAAATGAATATTCATAATTTTTCAGAAAAATATGCTGGAAAAACATAACTTCACTTTTTTCATTTTTTTTATTTACATAATTATATCAAGCAGTTTTGGATGCTAGGATGTCATTCTTTTATCGTTTTAAATTTTTTTTTTACATTTCCTGTAATTTTAATATGAAAGATTGAACAAATAAATGAATAATTTATGGAATTGATAACTATGTACTTAAATACTGGTATTTTAGTCTCTGTATCATGATACTTATCATGCAATTAAAAATCACAATATATTGGTATACCGATAAAACTGCACATCCCTAATTTTTACAGTATGAATGTTCTTAATTTTGCTCTAATCTTGTTGCATTGACAATAATTTAGTGCATATTTACATAGTCAGCATGTGTCTTCCATGCCAAAAATTAAATTAATCAATAAAATGGGACAATATCATTGAAACAAAGAAATTTCATATAAAGGTTTTTTTTTTATAATAAAAAATGTTAAAAATTATCATTATGCTAAAATGAGAGAAAAATATAATTGTTTGAAGGAAAACACTTGGCTTATTTGGTATTTATCACTCTTCGATACTTTTTATCATATTTTTGTTGCAAGTGCATGGTACTGTGCTGTATTGAATTATTGCTTTGTAAAATTGATGTTTGTAATTGTAGACATGATCCAGAAATAAAGGAAACAGGAAAACAAGATGGAGAAGGTAATGTAACAAATTAATTACATTTTAGTCCACTTAATTATATTTGTAGGATTTCAAAAGTCTTTTAATTAAACCAATCAGTAGAATAGAATTGCTTGTCATTGTTTTGCTATTCTTTGTTCAAGTAGAGCCCCACAATACTAATGTTTTCATGTCCATCTCCAAATTTGTTTTTTATGAATAATCTTTTTTGTCATAATGGTATAATGTCAGAGTGAAGGTTTTATTTCAGCAGATAAAAAGACATATTTTGGTATCAAGTTTACTTCTTTAAAAATTTGGACAGTTGGGAAATTTCCCACTTTATCAAACGGAAAGGACAAAGAGAGATAACTCCTGAAATATTATACTTTAAAAAAACTTCATTGAAAAGGGCTATTTATGAAAGCTGTAACTTTGGGATTAATTATGCAGCCTTCCATAGAGAATTCAGAGATTACTGTAGGTTTTTAAATATATTTGAGGAGTTTATTTTCTCCTTGTGATTGTGGATTATATGAGATGAAAACAAAAATCTATTCCCCGACACATCTATTCTTTGTCTTCTTTATTGTTTTGTCACATTAAAGAATACTCTTTATTTTGACTAACATACACTCACTGTTTTGAAGAGAATCATGCCATTATGCCTTTATTTTCTTTTTAATGTCTTTTTGAGGTTTTCCATAGCAAAACACAGACACTGCCATTCTTTCTATAACCTTGGGTTTTCCCACCTCTTATCTGCAACTTCTCCCATACCACTGAACAAAATTTAATTAGACTTTCACAGAATCTTTATAACATAGTGCCATTGTGCACCTCCTACTTTTCATTTCAGTCAGATAGATATTTGGAGTCTTCCACAGCAAAATTTAAAAATGACTTTGCCATTATACTCATATGGGAGGGTGTGTGTGCATCATTTTGTGAGAGCAGTGCTCACAGTACCTCTAGTTATTATTTGTGTGATTATAAAGATGATATACATTTTCTTATTGTGGTGACTACATATCTGTTGAAAATGATGTTATTTTCTTGCTAATCCATGTATTATGATGTCATGAACTGCAGCATTATTCCCAAATCCGGAAAATTCTTCAAAACTGACCGAAAGTTTAAGCTGTTTTTCAATATTTTGCATAGAGCCCAGCCTCTGATCCAAAATTTGCAGTTATATAATTAAGGACTGTGTCTGAATCTTATAAAAAATTGGATCAAAGGGTTGGCAGATATTTAAATCTTTGCTGAAGGTATTCTAAAACACCTGTTTTCTGCAAAAATCAGGAAAACTGCAATTTCACCATGTTCACAAAGCCCATTTTTTTATGCCTGGACTTTCAGCAGGAAACTTTGTTACAGAAAATGAAAGCACCAAGTATCTTCTTTTGTTGTTTGAAATGAGACATAGGGTCTTGATCAGTTATTTGGTATATGGACAGGACCATTTTATGCATAAATTGAACCTAGCTCATTTAAGTATTCCAAGAAAATTGGCCCAGACGAATCCAAAAGATTCCACAGTATTTCCCTTTAAGAAATAGTTATACATGTACAATTTTTCTGGCGATTGTATGACTGATTGATTGATTATATGTTGTTTAACCATTTGAGAATTTTTCACTCATATAGAGACGTCACCATATACTGGTGAAGGGCTTCAAATTTAGACCTGTACTTGGCACTCAGGGCCATTGAGCAGTGAGGGTTCTTTATCATGCCAATGCCTACCGTGACACGGGACCTCGGTTTTTAAGGTCTCATCCGAAAGACCCGTGACTTTCACTTCTAGTGCCGGGTGCTTGGTGAAGGAACAGTCACTACCTATATTTACATCTTGGGTTTGACGCTGCATGGCGAACAAGAATCGAACCCATGCCTGCTGATATTTCTGGAGATGATTAGTGTTAATTGTTTTTTTTTGTTAGGTGTGGAGGATACTATGTCTATTGATGAAGATGGAGCTGAATCAGACTGTTATTGGTGAGTATAGTGTTTAGTATAGTGTTTTTTAGTGGGAATTTTTTTTTATATGTAGTTATATAAGCTGGGTTGTTCTATGAAGCTAAAGCTTGGCTATGGTAATGGAGGAATATTGTATTTGCTTTGAAAATTTGAGTAATGTATTTTTAGTGACATTCATGTTGTGGGGGAATATGTTTCATGAATGAGAGAACTGTATTATAAGTGAAAGTGTTATGTAAAAAGTGTGGGAATGTCATGCTACATAAATGGAAATTTTGTGTTATTGCTAATAGTAATGTTATTGGGGGAATATTTTGTTACAGAAATGGTAGTTTTGCCTTCTTAGTGAGTTTTATATATAGTTTGGTGAATATTTTGTTACAGTTATGGGAGTCCTTTAGTATTGAAGAATACTGTAGATCACTAAATTTTCACTACACCTTATTTTTGTGAGATTGTTGTTTTAAATTAATATAAGCGAAACAAAATTTTTGCGAATTTTGGTTATTGCTCTTTATAATCTTTAATAGTAGAATCATACGCGAGAATGAAATTTTCACAAGCAGATGGTCTTGCATAATAACATGAAAATAAAGTCCTCGTGAATAAAAAGTGATTTAAAGTATTGGATTGTGATAGTAGAGTGATATGTCTGAAGGGGTATTTTGCTATCAGATTTTGATTGATTATGTGGGAGTATTTTGGTTTTGGAAATATGTACTATATTTCCTTTTCCTGTGGTTCCTGCTACATTATTGAATTGGGTAAAAGATTTTTTGTGTTTATATGAAATCTTTCACATTAATTTCTGACAATCTCAGTTGGGTAGGAATGGAGATTATGGAATGTAATTTGTTTCCTCTCAGATAGGACCAGTCATGTTTTATGCAGGAAATCCAGAAGAGGTAGAACACTGATCAGTTTTTCAGCTTGTAAATGCGTTTCATTTGTAATATGGAAAGCAAGTGGGTTTTTTCTCAATGTTTATCATTGGTTATGTACCACATTCTTATACAGAGAAGGAAGTATGTGTGACAGTCACTTATAAATGACAAATAAAAACAAAGAATTTTATTATCACATGTACACTTGACAATTTGTTTGAGGAAACTGTTCTTACTTTTTAGTGATAAAGGAAGAAATCTTGGGACTGTGGAAATTCAGTGTGGATTCTGTTATCGCTGGTTCCATCAGGAGTGTATAACCTGCCATTTAGGGTAATTATAATACTTCCCTCCCCCACCCACTCAACAGATATAAAACATTACCAAAGGCATGTTTGTACCAAAGCTATATCTCCCAATTAGTATTTGAAACTAATACAAAAAAAATGTAGTTTCCTTAATGTAAAGATTTTCTGCTTTTAATAGTTTCCCTCAGATTTTAGTATGTGTTGTCAATGACTGAAAGGTGGGAGGTGTCTGATTCATAAAAAAAAAAAAAATTTATAGTGCATTTTATAAATATTGCATGTATAGTAGAGGGTAACATTGAAAATTTTCACCCCAAGAAAACCATTGTTAAATCAAGGTGCAGCTGATGCTGAAAATGGTTTTCAGTGGCATGAAAATTTTTAATGTTACCCTCAACTACATGCAGTATTCATTATATAATACTGAATGTTAATGTTTCATACAAATTTACTAATAATAATGAAATGTGCCCACATAGATTCCACACAGTCAATATTTTTATGCCTTACTAATTGAAGATTTGGGGGCATATTGTTTTGCTCTGTCCATCCGTCTGTCTGTTTGTCCACAAAAACTTTAACCTTGCCCATAACTTTGAGCAATTGGAGCTAGGGGTTTCATATTTACATGTACATTCCTTGTGACCGGACCTTTCTTTGGGTACCAAATATTTGACCTCTTGACCTTGAAGTTTAACCCACTTTTGCAAAATTTTACCAACCTTTCACCTTAGCCTTAGCTTTTAAACAGTTGGTACCAGGGCTTTCATACTTTGCATGTATTTCTTGTGATAAGACCTTCTGTGGGTACAAATATTTTTAATCTTTTGACCTTGACCTTGGAGTTTTACCTACTTTTTAAAAACTTTAACCTTGGCCATATGTTTTGAATGGTTGGAGGTAGGACTTTTATATTTCACATATGTATTTCTTGTGATAAGTCCTTACCTTGGGTACCAACTATTTTGACCTTTTAAACCTTGATCTTGGAGTTTTACCTACTTTTGGAAAACTTTAATCTTGGCCATAACTTTTGAATGGCTTGTGCTAGGGCTTTTATTTCACATGTTTTCCTTGTGACAGGAACTTTCTTTGGGTACAGATAGTTTTGATTTTTTGACCTTGACCTTGGAGTTTGACCTACTTTTGAAAATCTTTAACTTTGGTGGTTTGTTTTGAATGGTTAGAGCTGTAGCTTTCTTATTTCAGGTGTATTTCTTGTGAGAAGACGTTCCCTTGGGTACCAACATTTTTTACCTTAACCTTGGAGTTGTCATCAAGTAATGTTGACTGTTGCTATGTTCTATCATGCTTGAGGGCACAGTTTCATCACTGTTTTTGAACAAATGTTTCTCGACAAATCAAATTCAACTAATTTACATGAAAGTATAATATTGTAATTTATATCCTTTGCAAACAAAGTTAGCTGGGAAGTATATAGGGTTCACCAAGCCTGTTTGTTTGTCCATCCATTTTCTAGTCTGGATCACAACTGTGAAACAGAGAAAAATGAAATCTTACACTAGGACTAAGTTAGTGACAAAAGAGTGCGTTATGACCCTAAATCAACATCACTGGACAATAGCAAGACCACTGGAATAAATTTGTTTTTCAAGCCAAAACCCTTTTAATGAATAAACATAAGAAACTCATACTCGGCACAAAGGTTCATTATTAGCAGAAAATGTGATATGAATCTAATCAAGGTCATTTGGTCAAGGTCTCAGGTATGCTTATTACCAGAGGTGCATACAAGAGGGGCTATGTAGCTTCTACACAGAGATGTGATCTTGAACGATATGCTAGCATAGCCACTTCATAGGGAGAGCTAGCATAAATGTTTTATGCTAGGTACCAAATCCAAGATGACCTCCTCAGTTTCCACCTCGTATAACTTGTCGATTGAGATACTTACAAAAAGTTGAGTTGTTTTCTCCATCTAAGCATGTTAAATGATTATTTATATATATATTTTAGCTTGAATTCAGCTTCCTTTGCTCCAAAAATTAATTATTACTGTGATATACCCAAAATCAAACACATAACAGCTAGGCAAGCTGTCCATTCAATAGAGCTAAATATCTATGACCTATCTGCTAAGTTAGCTCCTTTGCTCTTGTACACAGCCCAGGGGGTGTGTCATGAACCTGAGCCAAGGTCATTCAGACAAGGTCAGGACCTAGGGTTTGAATGTGTAAAATTCTTGTCAGTGTAATACTGTACTTTGGGATAAGGTCCCTTATGACCAGAGAGTGACCAGAGAGTGAGTTATGACCTGAACATTTTCATTTGGTCACATTCAAGGTCAGAGTATTAAAGATCAAGGTCACAGTTTTCAGAGTGTGTAAAATTTCTGTCCATAGCATAACTTTGTACTGCAGGAATAGTAAAAGCTCATACATGGCACAGTTCAAATCCTCCTGACTAGAGGGTGCCTTGTGACCATGAGACAAGGCCATATGAATGAGGTGGTTTTGAGAAAAAAAAATTGACAGCTGTGTCAGATACATACATTTTACTCAATTTTGGATTCTCAAAAATCTTACTTATCATGTTATACTCAAGTAAACATACTAGGAGAATGCATACTGCATAGAATAGCAGTGTATTAAAGTATATACAAGTAGTAATATTTCCAAGTTCTTATATGTTTTGAATGTGGCCTATGGGATAGAGAGAAGAGGGAGGGGTGTTTCATTAGGACAGTTCTAGTTTAACTTAAAAAATAAGGGTCAACATGAACATGATAATGATGATAGTAAATGTAATCTTTTATTTCAGAACAGTGATTCCTTTTATGACAAATTATCAATTCATCTGTAGAGGTTGCAGTCCTACTAGTTTAGAAAATTTCACAAAGAAAGTGTCAAGTAAGATATATACAGTATGCATTTATGAAGATCTTTTCTTAAAAGTTTACAATATGCATTACTTGTTTCTCAATTACAAATCATTTGTTCATTGAGCTTAAAGTTAAAATTATTCCTAGAAAACTTTTCTATTGAATTGACATATACATGTATGTTTTATTTATCAGATTCCAACATTTAATATGTATGTAAAAATTGAATAAAACAAAAATAATGCTTCATAGTTGTTTTGTTTTCCAGGTTTTTCCCAGATCTGTTTTACTGCCATAGCAAATCTCCTTCGAGAATCTCAGCTCAGTGGGGAAAACAGAGTCATGTTCTCCAGGGACAGGGTAAATACAGTCAAACCTAGCTATCTCAAACTTGAGTTATTCAAGTTTTATAGAGACAGGGTAAATACAGTCAAACCTAGCTATCTCAAACTTGAGTTATTCAAGTTTTATAGAGACAGGGTAAATACAGTCAAACCTAGCTATCTCAAACTTGAGTTATTCAAGTTTTATAGAGACAGGGTAAATACAGTCAAACCTAGCTATCTCAAACTTGAGTTATTCAAGTTTTATAGAGACAGGGTAAATACAGTCAAACCTAGCTATCTCAAACTTGAGTTATTCAAGTTTTATAGAGACAGGGTAAATACAGTCAAACCTAGCTATCTCAAACTTGAGTTATTCAAGTTTTATAGAGACAGGGTAAATACAGTCAAACCTAGCTATCTCAAACTTGAGTTATTCAAGTTTTATAGAGACAGGGTAAATACAGTCAAACCTAGTTATTTCAAACTTGAGATACCCAAGTTTTACAGAGACAGGGTAAATACAGTCAAACCTAGTTATTTCAAACTTGAGATAACCATGATCAGCTGTACTAAATCTTATGTTTTGTAATGACGCATGACATATCTGTGTACTTTGATTTACCTTACGGACAATGCTGCCTCGACTCGTAGATCTTAACTTGATTGTTAAACCTTAGCAAATTAGATTTAGATTAGACTTCAACATGTTTCATCAAATTCTGTTTTTACCTCTGTGTAATCTTTATATCAGTGATATATTGGATAATTTGTTTAATTATTTCAGGAGATAATTCCTTTTATTGACAAACAGTGGGAAAATCTGACCACTCAGGGCAGACGTACCAAACAAACATGGCACTCCACAGTCGCCAAAACTCTGGTAAGATTCTGGTAATACAGTAGACAGTATGATAATTTTTTAAAGTGGGTAATAAAGTCAAAAGTCTGCCAATGCTATATTGTTCTGTTGTATTGAACTCCAATCTTGTGATATTTTTCCAAGTCTAAGGAGACAGAGCTGTATACTTATAAAGAAGAAGTGTTGGGAGACCCTCATTTTGGCCTGACCACTCCTGTAAGTGATTTTATTGTCAGCTATTTATATTCACCTGAGCTGAAGGCTCAAGAGAGCATTTCTGATCAAAATTTGTCCGTCGTCTGTCATTGGCATCGTCGTTGTAAACTTTTCGCATTTTCAACCAATCTTGGCAGAAAACAATATTTGATGAAGGGGATTCAAATTTTGTTCAAGGGAAGGGCAATGACCCTTTCAAAGGGGAGATATGCAAGATAATATAAAAAAATATATGAGATAGGAAAGACTTTTAAATAACTTCTTTCCCTGAACTTCATGGTTATTTTAGTCACATGAATTCAGAATTCCCATGTATTGTGGATTCAAGTTTGGTTAAGCCATGGCCCTTTGAGTGCATTATAGAGAAAAAAAAATCTTTGACAAATTTGCTGAAGAACAGTATGGTCAAGGTAACTTATGTGAGGAGATTGGCCCATGGGCCTGTTAATATCTGCTAAATTGAGAGGTATGTGCTGAACATGTGTATAGATATGATAATGATCTATGTAAACTTTTTTCAGGATCTATACAAGGTTGGACCTTTCAGTGAAGTATTAAAACAAAGTGGTAGTAGTTTACCTTCTATTGGAAAAACAGGTGCCTTTGGGGATAGTGGTGAGTGTTACTGTGTTATGATAGAAGACAAGGAGTACCACATTCACAGATAGGCGGAAAAGACTGTGCTTCAATGATTTCAGTGTCAGTCTTTTTTAGCAATTTTGGCACAAAAAGAGGTCAACACTATAATAGGGCAAAAAATTGCACCCTTTTTTTTACACTGCTGAACTTGCTATAAAAACATCTAGTAGTCTTCATTTGCAAGCATCCTCATGTAGTTTAGATTCAAGTTTATTAAAATTATTGGCTGTTTCCATATTTTGTATTCAGATCACGACCTTTCATGATAAGGATGGGTCTGCAATTGGCCAAATAAGGTGTCAAAGTTTCATTTTCTAATAGATAGGAACAAAATTTTTAATTCCTTTCAAGAAAAGCGAGACTACAAGTTCAGAAGAGTATAGAATATGAGTTTAGACTTTAAAACCAAAAATAATTGAAGAATTTCTTATCGTACTGTTGGTTCAAATTTCCTAAATTTTTTGTGCTGTTTGTTATAAAGAGAAAACAAATTTCTGATGTAGGCCTTGCTGCTAATGCATGTACATAACTTTTTAAGAAGGATCTTTGTTATGTTAAATCATGATGTTGTAAACTCAAAAACATTCATAAATTGAATCCTTCATTTTTTGCAAACAAACTGTTTTTAACAGGAAAAGGAAGGGGATATAAAAGGAAAGCACCAGATACAGTTCAGCCTCCAGGAGTCAAACAAAAGAGAGGGTATGTAAACATACACAGAGTTAGTGTGTCAAAACTAAAATAAACCAAAGGATTTACTCCAAACTCCTGGAGTCAAACAAAAAGGGGGGATGTAAACCTAAAATCAGTTAGGGACATAGGATACTCAAAAACTTATGTTATAGAAATCTGTGAAATGGTTTGTGCAGGCTTAATTATTGCTAGTACATGTAGAAAAAGAAAATGAAATCCCTACAAAAAATACAGTTTTACTCTTATTTTACCATGTGTCAAATTGATTTGAACCTAAAAATGGCAAAAAACAAGAAGATTTTGAGTATGTCCTTAAAGCTAAGATAAACCAAAGGCTACAACTGAATACTTAAATGGAGTAGGGTAGCTAAAATCTCTGAACTGCATGTCTAAGAGGAATGTAGAATCATGCTTACTTTTATCATAGTGACCTTGGGCCTACAACAAAGTTGGCACCTCATGGCTACCCTCTAGAACATCCGTTTAACAAGGACGGGTACCGATACATCCTTGCAGAGTCAGATCCACATGCTCCTAACAGACAGGCATTTGATGAGAGTCTGGACTGGGCGGGAAAACCTATCCCAGGGTACCTCTACAGGACGTTCTTAGGATCTGATGTACTCTTAGCACTGAATGATAGAGGTACAATGCATGTGGTCATAGAGTTTGCATGAATAAATTCATCTACTGTAAACTATTGGGGATTTTAAATGAGATTTGATCCCTCAAAAGTAGCACACAGATTTCTACTTTTGCAATTTTAGGATTCCTTGTAATCTGCAAATGCGCAGAATGAGGTGGAATAATTTGCTTTTATAAATTTTGCATTTTTTAACTGGAAAATTCCACAAAAGCTGGACTCTTGCATATATTTCACATATTACTGTACTGTAGATAACCAAATTTTTGTGACACCTTATTTTCACGAGATAGTCATTCATTTTGTTATTCATAAGAGAGACAAAATTTTCACGACTTTTGAATTTTTTTATATAATCTTTTATAATAAAAATATATGTGCGAATTAAATTTTTCTGAGCATACAGTCTAGCTTAATTACGCGAAAGTAGAGTTCTTGTGAATAAAATGTGATTTACTGTACATAGTAAACTAGAAAGAAATGGGAAATACTGTGAATGTATGATATTCAGTGTGTACAATAATTGGTGGGAATTGATTTTTCAACAGGTTAGCTTAGATTTGATTTGATTTCTTGCATTTCTGAATTTATTTATTGATAAACCTATATGCATGCCAATTAGCCATGCACTACATTTAGTGGAGGCCAATTAGCCATGCACTACATTTAGTGGAGGCCAATTAGCCATGCACTACATTTAGTGGAGGCCAATTAGCCATGCACTACATTTAGTGGAGGCCAATTAGCCATGCACTACATTTAGTGGAGGCCAATTAGCCATGCACTACATTTAGTGGAGGCTGCTTTCCACCAAATATACTAAATAGAATACACAACCAAGTGTAATATGATTACAGTAACACTCTCTGTCCTTATATTTTTCATTTGACTCTAATTAAACACCAAATATTATTCAAATAAACATAAAAATATGTTTTAAAAAAAAGTTTTATGAAAGGATCATCTGAATTCTAAATGACTTTAAATATAGAATTATATAAAGATGCTTTTTTTCAGCTCCCCAGTTAAAGGTCTCTGATGACAGACTTAGTGTAACAGGAGAGAAAGGCTACAGCATGGTCCGGGCCACTCATGGTACACAAATTTATTGTTTGATAGAACTATTAATTTTTGGTATCGTGAGTCATTAAAGTGACCCTTTGTTACCTATTTTCATCCGTTGTCGTTCATCCTCTGTCTTGCATCATCCGTCATGTACGTGTATTTGTCATAAACTTTTGAACAATTTCAAGTTCTTCTCTTGTATGGCTGATCTATTTTAGGTATGTAGCATCTACTGGTAAAGGGGGACAAAAATTGTGAATTTCATGGTCTCTGGCCGCCTTTGGCCTGACAGGTGGGGCTAAATGATCAAAATTGATACAGTCTTCTAAAATCATCTTTAATCCTGGACATCAAGCAGTCAAACTGTTTGCATAATTATAATAAGCATTGAACCTTCTACCAAAATTGTGAAAATCATGGCCCCAGGATCAGGGGTTCTGGTGTTGGGGTTGGACTCTATTGATCATTTAATGAAAATGCATAAATTCTTTAAAAATCTGTATATTTAGAAGTCAAAGTAAGGGCATAGTTGATGAACATGGGTGCCTGTTCCAAAATTGTGAAATTCATGGCCTCTGAGTCAGGAGTCTCGGTGTTTGGGCAAAGCTCTATTGATCTAGATAAAATCTGTAATTCTTTGAAAATCTTCATCTCTGCTTGTGGGAACTAAGCAGACAAACTAAATGAATGGTTATGATGTGCTCTAGTGCTTGTTCCAAAATTGTCAAATTCATGTCCCCTGAGTTCCGTGTTCTGGTGGTAGGACAGGGCTTCATTGATCATATGGTGTAAATGAATTAATTCTTTGAAAATATACTTGTTCAGCAGACAAACTAAGTGCATGTTTATGATGAGCAAGGGTGCCTGTTTCAAAATTTTGAAATTCAAGGCCCCTGGGTGAGGGGTTCTGGTGCTAAGGTTGGGCTCTATCAATTATATACATGTAGATAAAATGCATTAATTCTTTGAAAATCTCTGCTTTTGGGCATCTAGAAGACAAACAGAGTAAAAAGTTGTAAGGAACAAAGGTGTTTTTACGAATTTGTGAAATTCTTGACCACTGGGTCAATGGTTTTAGTGCTGGGCATAGCTTCATTTATCATGTAGGGAAATTTATAAGCTACTTTTAGAGAAGTTACTCCCCTTTGTAGTTCACCTACATGTACACAAACTGATTTCAATAGCTATTTACAGCAGCAAAACAATTTGAGGACAAAGTTTTTGATAAAAAGATCAGTCTAATCAGTAATTATTTCTCAATAAATTGTTTATTCATTGTTGAGTGAACTTTATTTAAAAAAAAAAAAAAAAAAAAAAAAAAAAAAAAAAAAAAAAAACCTCAATAGATTTGTGTCTTTATAAATGTTGATTGAAATGAAATTGCTGGTAGTGACAAATCTTGTTTTCATGTCATGTTTCATTCAGTTGATCAATCATTGACTTGTATTTAGGGGTGAGAAGAGGGGCGTGGTATTTTGAGGTCAATATTGATGAGATGCCACAGGACTCGGCCACAAGAATAGGATGGTCACAATCACTAGGTAAATGTATTTTAACATACAGTATTTAAAGCTACTTCCATTGAAACATTTTTTAAAAATCAATTTCCTGTTCAGTCAGTGTTTCTTAAAACAATTAAATGACCAAATTTCTAGGTAACCTACAAGCCCCGACAGGGTATGATAAGTTTAGTTACTCCTTTCGATCACGGAGAGGAACAAGGTTCCACCAGAGTCGTGGGAAGCATTATTGTGACGGGGGATACACAGAGGGGGATGTTATGGGGTTCTTCATTCATCTTCCAGAGCCTGACAACCCCACCAAACTTTTACCAAATACATTCAAAGACAGGGTAAGTTCATGTCAGCTTTTCTAGCCTCATTTATGTCCCTACCACTTGCTTTCTCATGAGCAAAGAATTTGTGTAATGCTGGAGTTTTGAGTCCTTCTAACAAATATTTAAATCATTATTTTACTTTATAAAACATTATATTAATACAGTAAATCTCTTTTTGTATGAATACGGTTATAGCAAATTTACAGATATAGCAAAGTTTTTGAATCCCCAGTGAAATTCTCAACAATTCCTTGTAAAATTTTACAGTTATAACGATGAAATAAAGAATGTAGCGTACTGATTTTGTGTCCCCCAGAGGTTAAAAATAAAGAAATTTACATTGTTTATAACAGATTTTCAAAGATCTCAATTTTTAATCTTTGAGAGTTGAACTTGTGTCTATTATCCCTAGTCCATCATGCAGAAACTGGACAATAAATTTTTATGACTTCTGTGTGTCTGTGCCATTTAACTCAGAAATATACCCTACAATCACACAATTGTACAGTAGATGAACAAGTTCTGTGTCTTTAAAATACACATGATTTTCTTTTTGAACCCCTAAATTTAGGGAGTAAATACATGTAATACAAGAATGAAGTTCTTATGTAGCATTGTTAGCTCACCTGAGCTGAAAGCTCAAGTGAGCTTTTTTGATCACCCATTGTCTGTCGTCCGTCCGTCCGTCTGTCTGTCCGTCCGTCTGTAAACTTTTCACATTTTCAACTTCTTCTCAAGAACCACTGGGCCAATTTTAACCAAATTTGGTACAAAGTATCCTTGGGTGAAGGGGAGTTTAAATTGTTAAAATAAAGGGCCAAGTCCCCTTACAAGGGGAGATAATCAAAAAAAGACAAAAATAGGGTGGGGTCATTAAAAAATCTTCTTCTCAAGAACCACTGGGCCAAAAAAGCTGAAACTTATGTGGAAGCATCCTGGGATAGTGTAGATTTTAAATTGTTAAAATCGTGACCCCCGGGGGTAGGGCAGGGCCACAATAGGGAATCCAAGTTTTACATTGAAATATATAGGAAAAATCTTTAAAAATCTTCTTCTCAAGAACCATTGGGCCAAAAAAGCTGAAACTTATGTGGAAGCATCCTGGGATAGTGTAGATTTTAAATTGTTAAAATCATGACCCCCAGGGGTAGGGCGGGGCCACAATAGGGAATCCAAGTTTTACATTGAAATATATAGGAAAAATCTTCTTCTCAAGAACCACTAGGCCAGAAAAGCTGAAACTTACGTGGAAGCATCCTGGTGTAGTGTAGATTTTTAATTGTTAAAATCATGACCCCCGGGGGAAGGGCGGGGCCGCAATAGGGAATCCAAGTTTTACATTGAAATAAATAGGAAAAATTTTTAAAAATCTTCTTCTCAAGAACTACTTGGCCAGAAAAGCTGAAACTTATGTGGAAGCATCCTTGGGTAGTGGAGATTCTAAATTGTTAAAATCATGACCCCCAGGGGTAGGGCGGGGCCACAATAGGGAATCCAAGTTTTACATTGAAATATATAAGAAAAATCTTTAAAAATCTTCTTCTCAAGAACCATTAGGCAAGAAAAGCTGAAACTTATGTGGAAGTATCCTGGGGTAGTTTAAATTCTAAATTATACAAATCATGACCCCCGGGGATAGAGCAGGGCCACAATAGGGAATCCAAGTTTTACATTGAAATAAATAGGAAAAATCTTTTAAAATCTTCTTCTCAAGAACAACTGGGCCAGAAAAGCTGAAACTTATGTGGAAGCATCCTGGGATAGTGAAGATGCTAAATTATAAAAATCATGACCCCCGGGGGTAGGGCGGGGCCACAATAGGGAATCCAAGTTTTACATTGAAATATGTAAGAAAAATCTTGAAAAATCTTCTTCTCAAGCACAACTGGGCCAGAAAAACTGAAACTTATGTGGAAGCATCCTTGGGTAGTGTAGATACTAAATTGTAAAAATCATGACCCCTGGGGGTAGGGCGGGGCCACAATAGGGAATCCAATTTTACATTGAAATATGTAAGAAAAATCTTCTTCTCAAGAACAACTGGGCCAGAAAAACTGAAACTTATGTGGAAGCATCCTGGGATAGTGTAGATTTTTAATTGTTAAAATCATGACCCCCAGGGGTAGGGCAGGGCCACAATAAGTATTAGAAGGGGGGAAATCTGGTAAAGAACAGCATGGCCAAAGTTACTCAGGTGAGCGATGTGGCCCATGGGCCTCTTGTTTGTAGTACATTTTGAACTAATGTTAACTGTATAATTTCTCTTCATAAAATAATAAAAAGATACTTCCATTTTTTTTTTCTATAAACACGATAAAGTCAACTCCCAGGAGTACATTATGTACTTTGATCATTTGAGATGCATTTTCATATGACTGCATATCTTAGTTATGACATGCATTATGGTACTCAACCTTTCAAGAGTGGTTGTTTAATCTGTACACCCTTTAAATATCTGGTACTCTTAAACACATTGAAGTACTGATCATACAGCACCCAGTCTTTATCAAAGTACTAATGGTACTGACAGACTTCCCCGTCTCTTTAAAGATAGATAAACCCAACCTAAACAAATTACTGAGACTACAGCAGATAATTAAAGTAAGAATTTACCAATCTGTAGTCAGCTCAGCCAGGATTTATACTGATACATTATGACCTTTATCTCATCAACTGAATGTACTTATTTGTATCAATTTCTTTTCCTTGTCATCAAGTTTTGGGGTGTTGGAAATTTTAAAAACAAAATGAAAGTTTCAGCACAATTTATTATCATAATAAAATATTAGCAACATCTATTTTCTTTGGAATTGTAAGCTAAACCCATGGTTTGAAGAAAAAAAGCAAAGCAGTGTTAATAAAAAAATGATGTGTGGTAGTTGCATAATCTGTGAAAATTATCTATTGCACAATTGTTTGAGCGATTAACATTTACATCAATTAAACTAGCATTCATTTCATATAATAAAGCAATATTTGGCCTCTACAGACAGCAGACTTATCATTCAACATCATTTCATTTCTCAACAATCAAAAGCTAGAACTCAGCTACATCATATCACAATTCAAACAACTAGATAAACACTTTCATCTTGACAATGATTGTGACAGGACTTTTCATTTCATGCAACATGTTACACTCATGCTCTTGGCTCAGGAAGCATTTTCATAAACAAAATACATGTATATTCTTTGTACACTGCAGAATTACAGTACACAAATCACATATAGAAATTTTCCTTGAAGGTGAAAAGTGGAAGACTCTTCTTGGTTTAAAATAAAAAAGAATATTACACATTTAACCTGATAACACTGAGGTACATGTATACAGTATTATAGTATTGATTCACAATACATCAGTGAATGGTGTTGATATGGTGATTGATACAATCCAGGGGCAGATAACTCAGGCCTATCACAGATCTGTATTTAATGACCGACGACGTTTGTCTTTCTCATCATTTTCCTAGAAACACAAATAAAATAGTGTCCAGATAATTGATAACAGGCTACAAAACAGGAAATCTGTTAAATAGGAGTGGACTGAGATCAAAGACATTTATTGATGTACATAATAATAGAAAATATACCCACCTCTTGCTGTGCCTTTAATCTTTCATTCAAGGCTAAAACACAAAAATATTTTTCTGGTAAAATTAAAACTTAGTCCTTCTATAATCATTAGAAATTAAGAAAAGTTAGAATAGTGAAAGGATAAGTGTTAATTTGACCCACCTTTCATTAGTTTGTCATCTTCTAAAAATAAAGGAGAGGATTTCACTTTGTCAGCACGACTCTTTGTTTCTGCGAAAGATTTAAGCATATATGAACCGTCCACAGACATGAGGAAATTTTTAATCAAAATACATGTAATAAGTAAATATTGCACTTTTTTTAAATGTATTTTTTGTATCTGGATGCTACAGGGGTAAAGAGTTCCTTTTCTTTTATATAAAAAGTTTTAAGTTTGTTTACATATTCTATTTCTTGTGTTTCTTCTTTCAATGCCAATGAGAAAAATTGTTCCTTTCTGGGAGTTCTTTAAACTGTATACCGGGGTAGATTTTTTATAACATAGAAGAAAGACTAGAATTGTTGTTCTGAAGACTCACCTAGACTTGTTGGTGTAGTGGCAGTAGGAGAAGTCTTTTTGACAGTGGGATCAATTTGTGCAAATATATTTCCTCCTGTAGAAATGCCAGTACTGGCTTGTGAATCTGAATTCACTGTTTTATCTACTGTCTTTTTATCACTATTTGGTTTGGCAGGTTTTTCTTCAGGAGTTTTTGAGCCAGATCTATCAGGTGTCTTTGAGCGCTCTTTGTTTGGTGTTTTTGAACCTGCTTTTTCAGGAGTTTTTGAACCAGTTATGTCTGGTGTCTTTGAGCCAGCTTTTTCAGGGGTTTTTGAACCCGTTTTATCAGCAGGTTTTGAGTCTGATTTATTGGGAGTTTTCAAACCAGATTTTTCTGAGACAGTTTTTGAAGCACTTTTTTCTGAGTCTGATTTTTCAGGTGTTTTTGAACGAGACCTTTCTTTGGCCACGGGAGGGTTGGATTCACTAGGCTCTGGTGACAGTTTGGTTCTGTCTTTACTCTTACTACCTCCATTTTGTAGGAGACTATTATCTTTTGATAACAATGGTTCTTCTTCTTTATCCTCACCTATCTATAAATTGAAATAAAGTGATAAGTACAATTATTATAATAATTTCCAAAACAAGTTTGTGTCACAAGACACTTGACCTAACAAGGAGGTTAAAGTAATCTAAAATCTAATGACAATATACTGAAACTAGTAGTGATGAAAAAGAAACATGAATAGGAATATAAGGTGAATAATGCATCCCTCGAAAACAAATCAAATTTCTCTAGGACACACCAACTAATATTAACATAAAAATTGAAGGTGAAATTTTATTTATATTTCTTGGGGACAACTTATGGGAAAAGACAAAAATTTCAGTATGTGGAATACCATGAATATAAAGCTTCCATCTCCACAACAATCGACAGCATTGAACTTTTGAATATATGAAGAATTCAGGTATAATGATTGAATGCAGAGAAAAAGGAGAAAATTGAAATCTTTTTGGAAAAACTGCTAGAAATTTGGTAAGAATATTTGAAAGAAAGGAGGAAAGAGGGATCAAATAATTGGGAGAAAATGGACTGGTTTGGAAGCCATAACTTTATGTACACATAATTATATACATACATGAATAGGAGAAAATCATACACCGCTATAAAACATATCATCAAAATGAGAAAGCAATAAACAGTAAATCATGCCCTGTATGTCGTCTGCATGCCGACTTGTTTATATGTTTCACACTTACAACATCCAAACCTTCATCAAGCTAACAAAAAAAGTCAATGTCTCCTTCAGCTTAAACTGAATAGACTTCATAACATAAACTTATAATTGTGATTTGAATACTTAATGCATTGATATAACATTTCCTGAATGCATTTAAACATGTTTAATAACCTTAGCACAGCTATTTTTAGAATCATCACTTTTCACTTGTCAAGAATATTCTGTTTTAGAAGTTGATACATCATTCTTTGAAACTTTATTTATCAGCACTTTGTCAACTTACTAATTTGGCCATGGATTGTTGAGCATTTTTTCGCCTGAATGCCGCAGAAGAACGGTTTCTGTTTTTGGGTGGAGGGGCTTTCCGATACTGAAAGTGAAACTTCCAATTTTAACACCTTATCATTTCAGCTCTTAGCTGGAAATTCCAATGATTTTATCAAACTTTTAGAATTATTCTTGAATTCCATAAAGAATCTTAAACTAAATGCATGAAATAATCAAAATAGTAGTACATTTATGGAAGATAATGTGATTCTAAGTGGTATAACTTATTTGTCCTCTATAAGCACTAGCTGTAAAATTTATGAGAGATTGTTTCATTAATGTCTTCTTACTGATCTTAGAACTGCTGTTTCCCTTTTGATGGCCCCAAATTCTGAGTCGTCATCCTCCTCATCAGCTATCACGACATCAGGGTTATCTGGCTGTTTATAACTTCTGTAAAATACACCAGTACAATACAGTACCAAGATAGAAGGTCTTTATAACTTGTACAACAGGCATTGTTTGAAATTCATAAAGAATAACCGTCTTTTCCAAAACAAGTTCAAACTTATTAAACAATGGGTGAAGTGTCTCTCTTTGGCATACATATTCTGAATACATTAAATGCTTTGATCAGCTTTTAGACAGAAAAAATTCTTTTTCTTGTTTAGTTTTTACTGTACATTACAGATAATGCACAAATTTGCACAAAAAGTAATCCATAAACTATTTTAATTTTGCTTTTGGGACTGAAATATCTCATTATTCTGTGAACTGTATTACCCAGAATCTGAGTCTCCATCAGGGGAAGGGGTGATGGTTATTTTTGGTCGCATTGTAACCTCAGCATCTTCCTTTTCCTCATTTTGAGTCTCCTTTGGTTTAGGAAATCGAGGACTTTGACCCTGGTACAAAATAAACAGACATTGCCTTAAATATTTCTTCATGTATTTGTAGCAGTTCATCAAAAACATGTACCTGGTACATAAATGCAATTTTTGTCAATTGACTAAATAGTTTTCATCCTGTTTTTCTTAACCCCTTGAGTATTTTTATGATTGACAGTTAATGTGTGCACTTAGAAATTTTTGTGATTGAATATTTCTATGTGATGACTATGATGTCTAATGTTGACAAGGCATCATCATCACCCAAAACCTAATAATAGCAGATGATAGTCTCTGGAGAAATTACATGATGCACACAAAACCACACATGATCATCATCTGTACACCAAATATGTAACTGATTTAAAGTCTGTCTGGGGGATGTTAATAGAATTACCATTGGCATTCCCATAATGATCCCCTTGCCCTCAAAAGCCTTGAAAGCCTCACTCTGGGGTCGCTTTTTTGGGGTGGGGCCAGGCCTGAGGGGTGACTCTTTGCTGTCATCCTTCTTTTCAAAGGCTTTTAATTTGTCTTTAAATGAAAGCTTGTCATCTGTTTTCTCCTGTGAATCTTCCCTTAAAAAAACAAAACACAAAAATAGCATGCTTTAATCTGTTTATAGGGAATCAATACACATTAGGACTTCATTGCATGTGTAAATTGAGTGTTTTCATACATTGCATTATAAGTGAGTAAAACATGAGTCACTGCTCAATGCATGTTAGAAAATATACAGATACTGTATTTGTCCTAATAAGTGCCCAGGGTGCTCGGAAAATTGCAAATATCAAGCAGGTATTAGATTCACCTCAGATATATTAGGTGTAAGTAAAAAAAAAAAAGGGGGGGGATAAAATTAAAAACATAAAAATGTCTAAAAATTATTTTTATTTTTTTGAACCATTTTAAAATAGTCTTTAGTTGGTAGGTTAAATTTAACAGCAACTGAAATGAGATGTAAAGTATTTTACTGTGGAAAGTAATGCAGAATCGTTCATTAATATGTTCAAAATGACAGCTAGACATTTGGAAAGTCATACAAAAAATGACAGTATAAGATACAAGGAATGTAAATTATTAAAAACTGAAATTTTAAAGATAAATTGACTTATTTAAAACACAATGTTGATCTTCCAAAGGTGTGTATATCAATAAGAATCAGATACTGTGCATCTTATATGTAAACCTCTCACTTTTGTTTTGGATTATGTTTACAGGTAAATCAATACATTTTTTCCATCAAAAAATTTCATGTTTTAGGTACAGATATGTTTAGAAAGGTCATTTTATGAGATTTTTTCTACAAAATGAAAAAAATATACACATGCAGTGATTGGTTGAGTGTATGAGGAGGGGGGGGGGGCTTATTATTCACAATAGGGGCAGGGGTGCTAATTAGGGTGAATACATATATATGATTCTAGATTGCATTAGAAATCTTGGCTGTAGACATGGTAGATGGGATTCCTATGTCATGTTTATAATTAACAGTAATGGACACTTGGAATGGGCAGCAAATTTTAAGAGCACACATTAAATATGGATGAATTTGGAGATGAAATTAATTATGAATCAGTTTATCCTGCTGAAAGAGGTCAGATCTTAATAAATGATGAAGTTATGTACCAGTTAGGTTTAATTGATGACCAAAACATTTGCATTTATTTAAAGAGAAGTAGAATTTAGGAACATAAACTGTTAGAATTTGTGTGATGATGGGATGGGGAGGGAGATTCCATGTACCATTCATCCATAACTTACTCTGAACTAGTACTCTCTGCAGTATCAAAGTCACAGATATTATCCAGAGAAGAAATGTCCATTTTGTGTGAATGACTAGCAGTGTACTAGTGATTAGAGTTGGCTGGAGAAACAGTGTGTCTGGTGGTCATAAGGAATCCATTAGCTGTATAGACTTGGGGCAATGTGTTAGAACTAACGAATCACTTGTTAACAAATTAAACAAACCTGGGATTAGGAGGCTGAATTATCAGAGGGCATCTGGGGAGAGGGGTTACTACAAATGATATCAGTAATACTCTATTGTAATAAAAAAAATATGGTGAAGTATTCAAACTATGGAACAGGAAAATATTCACTATCTAATATAGTACTCATTGTAAAGTATGTGTATAAAAATGTACACAAAGTTTCCTCAAATTATGACAACAGTTTTCATTTTAATGTAGGATGTTTTTGTATGGCTAAATTGCTTTTCTAAATCTTGAGGAGTGCAATTGTGTTTTTTTCCCTTGTATTGTCACACTTTTGTTTCAAATTGTGAGAGTTCAAATTCTACTTAACATTTATGTACATTACTGGTTAACATGATTAAGAATGTTTGAAGCTGGATCATCGTTTCCTTGTTTTTTGTGAAGTGTTAGTATTTGTTTGGATGTCTTCCAACCTAACACTATTACCTTTTCTTTGCAAAATGTATGAACTTGTTAATGTAAATCAGATTGGCCTGCTACTAGCTCTACTAATTAACAAAGTTGCAATGTGTTTATGATCATCAGATGAATTAAATAAAATTGCAAACCTGTTGCATCAAGACATTTGGGATATAAACAGAATTTGAGGTCTGTTTTTCTGTTGTTATAGAGTGCTAAAGGTGTAGAGTTCTGTAAGCCAAATCAGAGTTATAGCTATATTGGATTTCTGTAATGTGTAGCACCAGAGTATTTGATGGGCCTGGAATGGCTCCCCTGACTGAGATCAATAGAGAGAGAGAGGTAGTTAATAGGAAGTTATGATACCTAACCATTCATCATTATGTGACAGGTGGAAAATCAATTTGTAGACTGTGTGACAAACTTATTGTTGTGACACCCCAAGGCTATTGTGCACTACACCGTCAACTATACTACTCATCTCTACTTATGTTTGGGCTATAAAACAGTATATATAACTTTTCTGTTTGCTTTTCAACAGATTTACTCAACAATTTGCTTCCCAGTTCAGAATTAGATTATGTAGTCTAGAAATGGCAAGTTTCAAGGATTTGTGACTAGAGAAGCTGACAACACTTAAATATTCTAATGTAACAAAACATTCCAAACTCACCCTTGTTTTTTGTCGTTTTGTTCTTTGGCTGGTTTTGATGCTTCCTCTTTGTTGACTTTTTCGTTGTTCTTGTTTTTGTCGTCGGCTGTTTTCTCTTCCTTATCATCTATTTCTGGGGATGAACTTCGCTTTCTTCTGCGACAACAGCACTGGAAGACTGCTACAAGGACAGACATGCTGAACAGAGCCACAAGGGTGCTCGCAATTGTCAACACCATTGTCGACCACGAACCTCCGTCAACGTCAACATCCGTTTGCTGAAGTGCTTCTCTCCGGGATAGAGAAAGGGATTCAGGCTTGCTTAATTTCACTGAACTATATTCAAAAATCACCTTAGCCTTTTCTCTTTCACTTTCTGTCTCATAATCCCTCAGAAATTTTTTGTTACTATTTTGTAAATTATTTGTATATCCAATTACTTTTCGAACCAAATCATTAGTGGGGTTAGGCTGAGTGTTCTGATCTGAATGAGCGACTTCCTGAATAAGGTAAAGAGTATTATTTTTACCAGCCTCAATGGTTTCTATGACAGGATGTGAAGCAGGCTTGAGAAATTCCTCCTCCTCGGGTTGACTAGCAGGTGTAGGAAAGCACCATGTCATTTCACAGCCCACCAACAACACACATAATATCCATATTTCCATGTTAGAACACATCTGAATCACTTCATACACGACATGAAGGCAAACTGCAAGTAACAGGAGAACATACAGGATTTTCCCAACCTGAGATACTACACATTACTCCTGATTGCTAAGGATGAAATAGTACACACTGACATAAACATTTCCTCAGGCAAAAAGGTCATTCAAGTGTGTACGTAAGACTCGCACCTAATCCTGCTATGTCTGCAAAAAATTCGCTCTATAATTAACACAAGGTTTGTTAATTTTACTGCGGCACAAGCATGTCATTCACATGCTTCCATTTAAAATCCTTGTTTGTCAATACAGAGAAATGGCTTGGTTCATCTGAAGTGACCTGGGAAAGACTACACTGATTGCAAATCAATAAATCTGCAACCTTCCCGTGCACAGGGCAGAACAGAATTACACAGATTAGTGAGACTGGTGTGATCCCTATACAGAGAATACACTGGCAGGGCTCGCACACAATGTTCACCAAACAGGTGCTCTGTAACACAAAAATATTCCTACTTCTCCTCACAACAAAGGCTGCACTGTGATAAATTCATATTTCTATGGGGGTTAAAAACAACAAAATATGTACACAAGAGATAAGGCTGATTCCCAGTACTGCTAATACCTAAGTTCAAAGGAATGTGTCAATGTGGCGGTGTGTGAGTCATTTCCTTCGATACCCATAGTGCACAATGTCATTATCTCTGCTAACTAGCTTAATTTAATAGCATAAGCTCCGTAATGTAATAAGTCAAATTGTGTCCTGAATTGAGCAATTTTCTTTACTGATGTCATTAACTTTTCAAGTCAGTCTAAGTGTTTGTAAAAGAAAGTATAATGTTAGTTCCAACAACACAGGAATTAAATGTAGTACTCTTCTATTCTTAATTTTAACAGTCTTTGTTTTTTGCAATGTGAATTCATGTGAATTATTTTCTATAAATAAAATGTTCAGTCAGTAATGAGTAATTACTGTCTTTGGTCATATATATTTAGTTATTACAAATGTCATGTCTGAAATTCAGTTGTTAAACTTTTGGGGGAAGTGGTTTAATTTCCTACACAGTACATCTTATGTGATATAGATCTTGCATTCATTTTCTCGGAATTAAATCAGCCAGACTTCAGGATAAAAACAATGCAAGTAGCAAGATTGTTGAGATGTTTTTCTGTTTGCTAATTAAACAAACTACTCAAGAAAAATAAAATTACCAGAAGCTATCTTATAAAAGAATCAGCAACAAAACAACTTACCAGTGATACCCTGACTTAAGATGAGTGCTACTTGTTATAAGACAAGGAAACACTTCAAACTATACAAGGAAGAAGACTGTTCATTAGCTGTGAAGATTATACTATAGGCATTGCTTTCTGACAACTGAATTGCAGCATGAAGAAAATGCTTTTATTATTTAGGCTGAATGATAATAAAAACAGATAGGGATAAGGAAGTAAAAAGCACCACAGGTGTACATACCCCATAAAGTTAAATGGTTAAGGAAAGTGTCATTAAATTTCCGCACTGGAATTTGTAAAATTTAAACAAAACTCTTTAAGATATTTGATCTTAGTATTTACATATACTATGAATGTATTTGATGTCAACTTTAGATATTTGTTTTTCTAATGTATTTCAGTTGCTAGCAATGAGGATGTTAACAGGGCAGTTTTAATATATAGAGAGATATCTAAAATAAAAATTTAGCCCTTTCATGAGGTCGATCCATATAGATATAATAGTCCTATGTTTAGCAAGATTTGGTATTTGTTTTTTTTTTAAGCACTGACTTGAGAAAATATAATAAAAAAATATTTATATGGATGCAGCAACTTCTTATTAGAGGGTTATGAACAGAGAAACTTTATTGAAGACAAATAAGTATATGTTGTCTGAAGTAATTTTTTAAAAAAATTAAATGTACTATTATAGTTCATATCTTTTCTCTTTAAAAAAAAAAAAAGCAAAAAGAGTAAATAATTCAAATATCATTCACTGATGTAATGTATGTTGACAGATCAGATATAATTACATTACCATCAGGTGAGGATACAAATTATTTCTTTAAATGAACTTAAGTAATAACATAATAAACTTATTGTAGGTTTGAGTGTACCTTTTGTCTTTGCAGCCATTGGTGAAGTTTAAAAGTCATCTTTATTATGAAGAAAAAGATCATGTTGCTGAAACTGAAAAGTCATTAAAACCACTGATAGGATCCCAGGTAAATATTCTCAGATAATGACTGGCCTCTATATACTTTGAAACCACTAATTGAATCTAAGGTAAAGATTCCCAGATAATGACTGGCCCTAATATACTCTAAAACCACTGATTGAATCTCAGGTAAATATTCTCAGATAATGACTGGCCCCCATATACTCGGAAACCAGGTAGAGATTCTCGGATAATGACTGTCCCCCATATACTTTGAAACCGCTGATTGAATCCGAGGTAGAGATTCTCAAATAATGACTGGCCCCCCATGTACTCTAAAACCACTGATGGAGTCCCAAGTAAAGAATCTCAGATAATGACTGGCCCCCATATACTCGGAAACCAGGTAGAGATTCTCAGATAATGGCTGTCCCCCATATACATGTACTTTGAAACCACTGATTGAATCTTAGGTAAAGATTCTCAGATAATGACTGGCCCCCCATGTACTCTAAAACCACTAATAGAGTCCCAAGTAAAGATTCTCAGATAATGACTGGCCCCCATACACTCTGAAACCACTGATTGAATCCCAGGTAAAGATTCTCAGATAATGACTGGCTAATATATACATGTACTCTAAAACCACTGATTGAATCCCAGGTAAATATTTCTGATAATGACTGGCCCCCATATACTCTGAAACCACTGATTGAATCCCAGGTAAAGATTCTCAGGAGCTCCTAATGTTTCATATGCCATCAACATGATTCTAGGTAAAGATTCTTTAACAGTTACAGGTCCCCGAATCTACAAATAGGATCCTAGTTTAAGATTTCTAGATAATTACCTGCCCCTAAAGAATGTAAAATAACATATGGAATCCACCATGAATTTTCTATAGACACTAATGGGTTCCAGGAATGTGCATGGTACATGTGTCAAGTCCTATCATCACTAAAGCTTATGAGTAAATTCTTATTAAAATAAGAACTTGCCTCATAGATCCTTTGAAAAATCATGTTCTTCATAAATATTGTACCCTTGAATTCCCTGTATCCATTATTGGATCCTATGAAATCTTGATAATAACTGGTCCCAAAAGTTCCTAAAACCAGGATCCATGATAAATTGTACGGTATTAGTAAGTGCCTTCAAGTCACTGCCACAAATGATTGGTCTGCAGGTAACATATCTAATAAGAACTGATCTTCTTGCTCATCTAATGGAGTATTGATCTTTGATACTTGTTGCTAATGGAATTGAGGTCAAAAAAAAAGCTCTTTACTTAAAAATGTTTCATTTCCTATAGAAGACTATTAATTATGCTGGTTGAATCACTAGAAAATTGCTGTACTCATAAATACTTCATGTTTTTACAAGACTTCAGTATTCATTAAATATTTTAACCTGGCACTTTGAATCTGGTTGTTTCAGATCATTATGTACAAAAATGGAGTATCACAGGGAATAGCCTATGAAGATGTCTTTGAAGGTGTATACTATCCTGCAGTCTCTCTCTACAAGAATGCCAAGGTTTGTAGGATCTCAGAAATATTGTCCTTAAAGGGTTTTTATCATGTATCTAAATTTCTTTAAAATGAAACAATATTATATTCTTGGAACATATAATTATCGTTTAATTAAGGTCGTAATTAGACAATAAAATGCCTGTAATATAAGGTTCTCATAGTAAAAATCTCAACTAATTAGATAAGGGTCATGTGGTACTGAAACGTCATAGGTGTCAATGGTCAATTAGAACTCGTAAAGCTTATCGTAAGAAAAAAATATATTGAATAGATTTTAAATAAATAGACTACACAATATGGCCGGTTGAAATTTTGACATCGGCCACATTTCTTTGGTTATGGATGGTCAATATTTTATGTATGAACGCCTAGCAGAGAGAAATAACCAGAAAATATGCCAACAATTGTAGAGGTCACCAAAGACAAGCCGTTGACAACTCGGGACTGACTAAACAGAACAAATTACTAAAGTTTAACTTCGTAAATATTTATAAATATAGGAATTTTAAATTCTCCTTCTTCCATTATTTCAATTATTTATATATAAATAAATCCAGAATATCTTCTGTCTGTTCCAGCAGTGAATATCATATACTAGAAGTGACACTTTTTCATTTACGAAGTTCAAAACATTCCTACTAGATCATGTGCGACCTTTAAAAATGCGTGTTGGAATTTTATTTTTTTTTTAAAGAAAGGTACCTTTTTCTCAAAATATTTTATAGTACAAAAAATTAGTGATCGGGTATAAACGATTGTTCTGAATGGAGATAAATGCCATCGCGTTTGAGGAAAAAGGCCACCCTTTCATCTCTCGAACAAGTCCAGGAAATGTGGAAAAAATCTTCCTAAAACCTTTCTTGTGCACATTTGTGCATCCTAAAGCCACAAATTATACCTTACTAGCTGTCAATTATCCAGTTATCACTTAATTATTATCTAACAGGTTTGATAGACACTACAAATGAACCCTTTTGTAAACACAATAAGTACTTCACTTGACCAGGGTTGACACCTATGACGTCAGAGCAATGGTGCGTAACATCGGCGATCAAAATATGCATATTGAGAAATTCAAACTTTGAATCGCTGAAACATCAAAAATATTAATTTCTTGGCAATATTCTTAGTATAATTGAGAGGCTTTGCTATATTTTTGCAGGTGACCATGAATTTTGGACCAGACTTCAAATGTCCCCCACAGGGCCTCAAGGACTTCAGACCGGTATGTCAGTTATTCAGACTCTCATATGAAAGATCTGTAATGCTGTTAACCTAGACAAATGATCTCAGTATGAAAAACTTTTAAATTTTAATTATTCTCCATAGCTATTGGATCTCTTATAGCAAAAACTGACCAGGAGTTTCTAAAGAGACTGTAGCTCTACTGGTTGATTAATATTAGTGTAAGAGAAAATTTTCACCTGGACTTGAAACACCTTTCTACTAATTTTTATGGACAGAATTATGTGTCTTGACCTGTAAGAGATGGTCATTAAGATAATTCGATTAGTTCCATGTTGTTTATTAAACATTTCTCTTTTCTACTAGTTAATATAACAAACATCATGCAGTGTGTCTTGTTTCCATTTTTGAATAACCATTCAGTTCTAGAGACATTTGCTGTGTTGTAAATTTCAGATGTCGGATGCTGCATCTCAAACAATGGTCGAGTATGCCCTCGCAGACATCATATACCACGTGGAAAATGAAGGAAAATTACCAGAATTCTGAACACAAACTTTGAACTCTGCAACATAATCTGTAAAGGAATTAATGAGAGTCTGAAGCAAGATGTCATTACGTAATGTCTTTATTTAAGGAGACTAAGGAAGCAGTCCCATCCAAGTGTGTGAAGCCTTACAACAAACTCGTATTCTAGGACTTCAGTGGATGCCCTTGATTTATGACTCTATGTTGTCCTTGTTCATAATTTAAAATAAATGTAAAATACAGAATTTCTTTTCATATTTTATTCATCAAAATGAATATCAATGACAATGACCTTATTAAAATGTTCATGTTCTGTTTTCCACATTATTGGAGTCCATTTCATTGTTAGAGTGTCTATGTACTAGAGTTGGCAGTGAGATTGCAAGCAAGAGGTTAAAGTCTTGCTGTTATTGAGTTTCTCTGTAAACTTTTTTGAGTTCACTAATTAATGCAGTTAAGATAGGATTACCACCATGTTGTTCAATCAGCTCCAATATTCTACAAAGATACAATCACTGCAGTGTAATGAGACTATCTGAACTAAAGGAACATAACTCTATGAGTGGATATTGAATACTTCATTAGGGGTGAAACGATACACCTCCTTCACGGTTCGATACGTATTGTATAATTTTGTCTCGGTTCGGTTATTTTCGATACGATACATTTTGATAGAAGGAAACAAATTCTACGTTGTTTTATGCTTTCTTTTTCTAAATCTAGTCACATATTTTACGAATTTTATTTGCAAATTGACTAGAAGAAATTGATTAAAATTATTTGACTGTCAAAAATTATTTTACAAGCTATCAGTCATCAAAAATTTACGTTTTCTATACTTATTTATTCTGAGTAACGTGTTATACCTTATGCCAAACCCGACTGAATAACGATCCCGACCGAAAAATGAACCGAACCGAAAATTAGAGATTTTGCACCGTGTATCAAACCGAGAAAAAATACCGCGGTGCATCGATACCGCGGTGAACCGTTTCACTCCTATACTTCATATAGCATATAATGAAAATATTTGAATAGTCTACCTGTTTTCTAATTCAATTAAAGTTTCTTTTGTATAATCAAATGATCCTAGTTTATGTAGACATTCTACACAGTATTTCTTCACATCAATGTCAGTTGTCCGCTGTCGTAGTATATCTAAATCAAAGCTAAGGAATTTATACTCACACTGATTAACAACTCAGGTGACCTAATAACTGGGAAGAAGGATCTACCATATATACAGACATGAATATTTTATTGTTTTGAGCCACTGGCAATTCTTTAACTGGGGGAGCTAACTCTTGCACGTGCATTTGGCAAAGGATACTAATGACCTGGTTATCTTCCTTACTGCTCCGTATGGCATGGATTATAGGAAAAGAAAATTTCCCCTCTGTCAGGTCTTCACAGTAGCTCTTGTTTGCTTCATACTGAAACATGCATTAATGTGGGCATTAATGAGGGCATGATGATGAAGTTATTTCTGTTAGCAAAGTAAATTAGGGTTTTAATTTATTGTCAAGGATATTTACCTCTTTGGAGTATAGATTAGCATAGTCATCTCTTATTTGGAAATACAGTCCTAAGGCATTTAATAAAGGAATAAAATCTCTGAAATTAGAAAACTGAGATTGAAACATCTGCTGCATACAATGAGTTTAATTTAAGCAGGAATGCCACACCAAAATTTCATTTAATAGATCTTTAAGAAATCCCTTTGAAACTATGGTTTCAGCAATGAAATACTGATATTAGCTTTTAATTATTTTTTACGAATTTTTTTGCATTTTTTCAGAGAAAAAGAAAAAAAATGTTTTATTTGCTAATAAGATGCTTTATGGTTTAAAATTTGCTATTAATAAATGCATAATGTGAATGTCTAATAAAATATGTTAATAAAGGCTTGATAGACATTTTAATTTTTTAGATAAAAAATTATTTATGTAAATAAATCACATAATTTGTGAATATTTTTTAAACCTTTGGTTAAAATCTTCATAAAACTAGTCACAACTAGGGTGAATATGTTAGTTAATCATATTTTAAAAAGAAATTGAAATTAAATTAAGAAATTTTAGGGAAAATAATTATTTTATTGTTTGGATCAATCCCGATCAAAATTAAACTGATCCCGATCAAAATTAACACAAAATAAGTAAAATAATAATTTACTGCCTTCTTTTTGTATTTACCACTTAGAAATCTATTTGATTATCAAGTTCAATTTCTTTTTAACCTGTATTACACCTAAACAAAATATTTTTCTTGTGAAAATGTTTTCTATTTCCAATTATTACAAAATTCTTTTTGGGATCAGTTTAATTTTGATCGGGATTGGCCAAAATTAAAAAAATTAATTTCTCTAAAATTTCACAATTTCATTTCAATTTCTTTTTAAAGTATGATTGCCTAACATATTCTCCCTAGTTGTGAATAGTTTTATGAAGATTTTAACCATAGGTTTAAAAAATATTCACAAATTCTGTGTTTTATTTTCATAAATAATTTTTTATTTAAAAAATTAAAATGTCTATCCAGCCTTTATTAACATATTTTATTTGACATTCATATTATGCATTTATTAACAGCCAATTTTTAACCCTAAAGCATCTTATTAGCAAATAAAACATTTTTTTTCATTTTCTATGAAAAATGTGAAAAAAATTCTTATTAAATAATTAAGAGCTAATATTGGCCTTTTAATGCTGAAACCACTACTTATCATGGATGTCTTAAAGGTCTATGAAATAAAACTGTGGTGTGGCATTCCTCCTTAATATGTGCTCCATATCTCAGACACACCAAATACCATATGTTAGTGTAGAGTCTTACTTTTTACATTCACTAAAGAGCTGCATCAATCCCACTGCTAAACCAAACAGTCCTCCTGTCTCTGAAAATAACACCAGTATCAGATGAGTGTCCACAGGACTTGACATATTCTAAACTAAAAAGTTTGATCTATGAAGAAACCAGTCCTAACATGCTTAACCTTGCATCTGTAGATACACAGATGAACAGGCAGTTACACAGATGAATGGATGACATGTTTATTTCAATATAGCCCCCCTACAACTTTATTGTTGTAGTTATAAAAAGTGTTAACCTATACATCATATTATATGATGGTTCAACTCAAAATGAAGCTAAATGTATCAAGTTTACATATTTACACCTTGCCTAGGAGTTCCTCTGCCATATGAAGCTTACTGAGTTGAGTGACCTTGACCTCTCTACTAAGTTGGGTGACCTTTAACATTTGATGTCACATTCTAGACCTTCTAAATGTCCCGTGTGGTTTGAAGAGGCATCACTATGACCCTAAAGAGATGGATGACCTTGACCATTATGACCTTACTGAATTGGGTGACCTTGATCATTACACCTCACTGAGTTTGATGACCTTGACCATTATGAATTTACCAAGTTGCATGATCTTGACCTTACTTTTGATGACCATGGCCTTGTACTCCTCCTCTGTAGGACACACTACAGCATCCCTCCAGTAGATGTCCATACCTTGTCCCCTGTGTAGCTCCAGAAGCTGGGCTGTAAAACAATTGTCAAACAAGGCATTAATATTTGGATATAAAGACTAGAGGTCCATGGGCCACAATGCTCACCTGAGTAATTTTAGGCCTGCTGTTCTTGAGGTTTTAAAATGATTTTTAATATTCCCCTGAAAAATTGTGACCCCATATTATGGCCCTACTCTAAGGGGTCTCTGTATGCACACACCATGGGGATGCTTCAATATCAATATAACATGGCCTTGCCGTTATGGAAAAGGAAACTCCTTTCTTAGATAAAAGCATTATGTAAAATTTGATTCTGATTTAGCTAACTCTTAACCCATGGTCCATAATTTGAAAAAAAAAAAAACTTCAGAAAATTTTTTAAAAAAATTTTCTTACAGAGTTCCATGCAAAACGTTGATCCTATATTATGGCGCCACCCTACTCCCTGGGGCCATGAGTTCAACAGTTTAGAATCTACACTACCTCAGGAAGCTTTCACAAGATTTATCTTTTCTTGTCGTTTGACTCTTCATCTTCGCTAGCCAAGGGTTTCTGATACACTACTCTCCTCATAAACCCTTGGCATACGGTGCTGACAAAAGACGGGATTGTTTTTGTCACGTGATCATGATTCTTACCAGGTACGCACAGATTGCGTCATCAACAGAAATAAAAAGCGTATTTAAAAAAATTTTGTTTTTAAAGAATAATTAACAAGAAGGTATTGAGTTATGTTAATTTGTTATTTAAACATGTAAAAATGCAGATCTACATCTTCAGTATAGATTCTTAATCACATATTTTGCACGTAGCTTTAGATATTGGATGACACCATATAGCTATTCATAGAATGGCATGCTATCTTACGGATCATTGTTTACTTGCGTTTTACATTACCGATATTAAAGAGTCAAGATATATCCCGAATGCAAATATCGTCATTTACAAAAAACAATTGCTGATTGGTCGAACGATGTCGATCAACTCCAATCACAACTTGAGAAAAAAATCCCAACTTTTTTTAACACCGTATGCCAAGGGCTTATGAGGAGAGTAGCGTATCAGAAACCCTTGGCTATCAAAGATGTTGACTCTTGAGAAGAAAAGTTTTAAGGATTTTTTATTTGCATTACAATGTAAAAATTTTATCCCTTGTTGTGCCCCACCCATTTCCCAGGGGCCATGATTTGAACAATTTAGAATCTAAATTATGTCTGGAAGCTTTCAAATAAGTTTCAGCTTTCATGTCCAGTGGTTCTTGAGAAGAAGATTTTTAAAGATTTTTCCTATACATGTATACTTCAATGTAAAACTTTGATCCCCTATTGTGGCCCCATTCTACTCCCTGGGTTCATGATTTGAACAATTTAAAATCTACATTAGGTCTGAAAGCTTTCATATAAGGTTCATCTTTTCTGGTTTAGTGGTTCTTGCAAAGAAGATTTTTCCTTTATAGTTCAAAGTAAAACTTTTATCCCCTATTGTGGCCTCAACCTACCCTTGGGGGCCATGATTTGAACAATTTAGAATCTACTTGGGAAAGCTCCCACATAAGTTTCACCTTTTTTGACCCAGCATTTCTTGAGATTCTTCTTTAATGACCCCACATTATTTTTGCATTTTCTTAATTATCTCCCCTTGGAAGAGTGCTTGGCCCTTCAAATGAACAATTTACTCCAGGATGCTTTGTACCAACTTTAGTTAAAACTGATCCAGTGGTTCTTGAGAAGAAGACAAAAAATGTGAAAAGTTTACAGACAGCTAGACATATGGATGGACACCAGACAATGGGTGATGGGAAAAGCTCACTTGAACATTCAGGTCAGGTAAGCTAAAAACGTGGAATAACATACCTACATGCATTAGGTAATTGCCTATTTTTATGCCCCGCCATGAATATGGTTGGGGGCATATAGTGTTTGTCATGTCCATCTTCTGTTCTTTGCGTTTAGCTCAGCTTCAAAGAAGCTATTCAAGATATTTTTATCAAACTTCATATATTGATACAAATTGATGAGAATTATTCAAATGCATCAACATTTTTTTTACCTTGACCTTTCCTCTGACCTTGACTGGGGTGTTTAGCTCAAATTCAAAAAAACTGTTCAAGATATTTTTATCAAACCTTATATCCTGATACATACAGAACTACTCAACTTCATCTACATTTTTTTTTTACCTTTTGTTTGACCTTGACTTCTCTTTTCTTAAATTTGTGTCTAGCTAAGTTTCAAAGAAACTATCCATGATATTATTATCAAACTTCATATGTTGATACATAAAGGTGAAAGCTATTCAAGTGCATCACAATCTTTTGACCTTGACCTTTTCTTTGATCTTGACCTAACTTAAATTTTACCTCAATTTCAAAGAAACTTATGATATTTTATCAACTTTTATATGCTCATACATATTGATCAGACCTGTTCAACTGCATTAACATTTTTTTTACCTTTGCCATTCCTTTGACCTTGACCTCACTTATCTTAAAATGGTATTAAGCAACTATTCAAGATATTTTAATCAAACGTAATATGCTCATACATATTGGTAAAAGCTTGAATGCATCAACATTATCACCTTGACTTTTTCTTTGACCTTGACTTCAAATTTGTGTTTAGCATAGTTCTACAGAATCAAATCAAGATATTTTTATCAAACGTCATATGCTGATACAAATTGAGGAGAGGTATTCAACTTCATCAACACTCATTTGAGATTTTTTTTTTTTGCTCAAAAAAAACTATTTCATATATTTTTTATGTAAACTTATGCACCGATACATTATTTGGTGAGAGTTCATCAACTTTGTCCATTTTTTTTTTTTTTACCTTGACTTTCCCAATGACCCTTGACTATACTATTTATTGTGTATTCAACTCAGTTTTAAAGAAACTATTCAAGGTATTTTCATCAAACTTCATACACTTATTTTCACAAATTTTCATGTTGCATTACTTATGAACCCTGGGTGGTGCAAATATGTCCTATGGACATGGATACCATTTCTAGTATATATCAAGAAATAAATTTATTTATCAAGAAGTATTTTTTTTAAATCTCTATTAGAAAAAAATTAAGTAAAACACGTATGTTAGTTCTAGAAATCCAATAAATTTACATGTGTGCTGATTTACCTGTGAATATTTTTGTGCTTTCTGGATGGTCTAACTGTAGAACTTTTTCTAATCCCAGGAAATATACATAATTAGCAGAGTTTATGGTTTGTGGGACTCCATATATATTGTGAGCCACTGAAAAAAATACAGATTAGATGTGTTTATTTATTTTGACATAGTAAGAATTATAAATTAAAAAAAAAAAATCTAATTTATAAAGAGGCCCATGGGCCACCCACTGCTATATTCCTCAGCAGATTTTATTTTTTTTTTTTTAATTTTCCTCTTTAATTTCATCACAATTCTAATTCCATTTTGTGGACCAAAAACTTTGCCCTCAGGTACCTATGATTTAATCATAGTCCATTCAATATGGATGTTTCATTATCAATATGATCAATATGGCCCTGCTGTCCTGGAGATTTTAATCCCTATGCATGTGCATTATGTAAAATTTGGATCTCTGATTTCTGGCCATCCTACCCCAGGGGTCATAATTTTAAAAAAAAATGATTCCACACAACTGAAGAACATGTACTGTGGTATGTTTTTCTTATTAATAATATTTAGTGTGGTCTTCCAACTTTGAAAAGATTTCTTCCCATACAATCCCTTGTAAAACTTTAATCTCAACATATTCCCAAGAGCCTTGATCCAAACAAACTTGAATCTACACTATCTGAGGATGCTTCCATATCAATGTGACTTATCACAGCTTTGCTGTTCATTAGAGGAACACGTTTAAAATTTTTTCCTATATACAGTCAAACCTCGTTATCTCAAACTGAATGGGACCAAAAAATATTCAAGTTATCAAAGGATTTGAGATATCAAGGGAAAATACTTAAAGAATAAGTGGTTGGGACTTCCAAATCACTTTGACATATCCATAGTATTCGAGATATCAGTGTTCAAGATACCGAAGTTCAACTGTATTCCTATGTTAAACTTTGATCTCCTATTATGGCCCCACCTTACCCCCAGATTTCTTCTTATGTATTCCTATATAAAACCTTGATCACCTATTTTAACTTCACCCTAACCCTGAGGGTCATGATTTGAATATATCTTGAATCTACACTTTCTGAGGATGCTTCCATATTCATATGACTAATCAGGGATTTGCTATTCATGAGAAGATTTTTAAAAGAATTCCTATGTAAAATGTTGATCGCCTATTGTGGTCCCACCCTACCCCTGGAGGTCATGAATTTGAACAAATTTGAATCTATGCATTCAATGAAGCTTTCATCATTTATGGCCTAGTGGTTCTTGAGAAGAAGAATTTTGAAAGATGCAATTAAATTTTGCTACAAAATTTGACTATGGATGACTCCTTCTACCTGATCAATACATAGGGCTGACAGCATGTGTGATCAGTCCAACAGGGGACGATTACTCCTCCTAGGCACATGATCCCACCTTAGAAATTTTGCCCAGTTCACAGATTTGTATTGTTTGTAGATCTTTTGAGATTGTTCACTGTTTGTTATCTTTACCTATTTCATCTTAATTATTTTCCCTTGAAAAGGGGTGAAGCAAAATTTAACCCCCTTCACCCAAGAAAGCTTTATAGCAAGTTTGGTTAAAATTGGCCCACTGGTTCTGGAAATGAAGTCGAAAATGTGAAAAGTTAACAGTCAACAGACTAGTTTTTTTTCTCTATCAAAATAACCTTTGGCTCAGGTGAGCTAAAAAAGTGAATACCTGGAATTCCTCTTCTTAAGTTAGAATTATCTTCAATATCATCAATTCTGCAAGTAAATGATACATCTCATTATGCAGGCTTTTAATTGTAACAAGATTAGAATATATTGACTAACCATCACTTCCATGTATTCTGTTATGATCTACTTAATATTCTTGTTAACTTCACAGAATAAGAGTTTTCCAAAAGCTAAGCCATGCCCACCCCCCACCCCCAATATCAAAGAAAAAAAATTTTCATTCAATTAATTAGCATATTTTCAACCATCATTCAATATATTTGGTGAATGAGTTTGAAGATAAAACTTTCTTTGAATGACTACTAAGAACCACATAAAGAGGCAGTGAATGTGAAAATTTTGTTTCGTAATGCAGCATTGTACAATCATACTTCAGTTCATGTTTATTTACATAGTATGTACAATGTACATAAAAGCTAAGACATTCTTACTACTCATCTGAAACCCTTCCCTGAACAAATATGTTTAAAAGGAACCCCAATGTATGTGGATCTTACAATAGACTGGCATTATGTAGCATCTGGGTGACTTCTCCAATTAATTTTAATTTCTCTTCAGGTATATTCAGCCAGCAGTTGAATGCCTATATATGTAGGGAAACAAGAAAAAAAAAGTCAATCATCTTCAACTTTGGTCACAGATATTGTATTTATCTTCCAACTACAGAGTTTAAAAGGATGCTGTTTTTACATTTGTCAGTCTGATTATCTTTGTAGGATATCACAGAAGATTGTAATTGGATTTAAATGAAATTTGGGCAGCAGACAAGCCATGGGGCAAGAAATAATTGAAATTTGAGCTGGGTCCTGTTATAAGTTCTATTTTTTTATTTCCATTTTTGTAATACTTCTGCCAACTATCAATGATGAAATTTCTAGGAAAAATTGATTTTGAGCAATAACCAATTAAAAATGCAGAAGTGGTATTTTTTTCACTTTTACTAATACTGGATCAGGATGTTAGGTAAGAGAATACATGGACATGCTGCAGCTAGGAAAGTCAAGAATTTCTTCTCTGGATGCCCTATAGTTTGACACTATTTTTGATGTAGTCAGTATTTATTGAAGACTTACTGCAGCTAGCTTGGCTCTGACTTTTTTCCCTGGTATTTGGCATATATAGTTATAGGGCTCCAACAATATCTGTATAAATTGAAAAGATTTCATATTAAAGAATACATATCACTTCAAAGGAAATAAGTTCATGATACTTTGCATTTTAGTTCATGATATTTATAATACTATTCAATTGGGTTTTTTTTTTTTTATTTTTTGTTTGCTAGTCAATATCTTCATTTTCTGAGTCAAAAAAGACTCCTCAAATAGTTGAGGTTCAGACGTTACTATACACAAAAGGAAATAACTCATTAACAAATATTTGAAGTATTTGATATTAAGTCACGTTTAACTTAATTAATATCTATGTCAATAAAACATGATAGACAATAACTTTATCATTGACATCTCCTTCTTTTCCACTCATATTTTATGAATTGGTCAGGTTTTTCTTTGGTTTAGAAGACCCCTTATGAATGACTACACCACAATCTCTGCAAGAAAAAAAAAAATATGGAGGTAGAATCCCAAAACCAATCAAAATATTTATTCATGATAGTAGATGCTAGTCTTTCTATGAGGTGAATACTGTAAATAACTTGTTGTTTGCAAGAACTTTATTTTTGCATTATTATGCGAGACCGTCTACTTGCAAAAATTTAATTCTCACACATATCTTTTTATCAGTATAGATTAAACACAGCAATAACCAGAAATCGAGAAAATTTTGTCTGTTTATAAATAAGTACCCAGTACCTCTTTCCTGAAAATGGGGCATCGCAAATATTTAGTGATCCATAGTACTCAATTTATAAACTGTCAGAAAAGTACTGACTAAAGCAACAGAATCCAAGAAAAGGTATAAAAGGTATTGTACCAAATTATAAGACAACAGTTGTTATAATATTTTGCTTTCAATTATCTCTTCACTTTTTTTTAGGGGGGGGGGGGGGTTCTATGATAGTAATTACAATAATATTGAAAAATATTACACAGAAGTGATTGCTAGAATATCATATTTTGGATATCTTGCATTCATTACAAGTCACATAAAACAATTACCAGGTAACAGAAATGCATGTAAAACTATACCTTTTTGTCATTCAATAAAAGTGGGGGTGGGGTGGGGGATTTAAGTGGTTAAAAAATCAAGCAACTCAAGACCAATAACTGTTAACTAGTACAAAATACTTTTTTTAAACAAAGGAATTTCAAAAAACTCAAATACTGGAAGTTCTGTTCAGACTTCATTTTAATTTCAAGAGCAAGATTTGTTCTTTGTTGTATCTTTGTCAATTTTTTTTGGGGGGGGGGGGGGTTGTATTCAGAAATAAGTGGCACTTTGCCAACAAATATCTGAAGAGGCAAAACTATCCCCATGTGTACAAAGAAGGTTGTAGAAAATCTTTTTTCCTTTTGCCAAAGACTCAAATGAGATTTTTTTTTATCAAACTTCCTCAAATTTTACATACTATAAAAAAAATCTTCAAAAAAAAATTGTTCTCAAGAACAGCCATTCTCACAATTTCAGGGGTCCTGAGTCCACTCATGGCTGTGGGACCCCTGACAAACTTAATTCATTTTTGATGGGCTGACTGCTTTCATAGAAATTACAAAGTCTGATTGTTTTTCTTATCTCTCGACCAATCACATTAAGCCCTTCAGTGACAAACAACCTGTAACACATGCATTGAGGTGTCAAGGGAATACTTCCTGTTTACATTTTCTGTTTACTTTTAAAATGTTCTCACTAAGAGAAGCAACCCACCCCCCCCCCAAAAAAAACGAAATTGTCAAGGGTCCCACAGATATGAGTGGCCAATGGAACCCTTGACGTTGTGAGGGTGCAGAACAACAGGGCCATGTTAGTCATTTTGGTACTGAAGCATCCCCATGTAGTGTTTAGTTCAATAATGCTGTGACCCCTTTAGGCTAGGATAGGGACATGATTTGGGCTAGAATAGGGACATGATATGGGGTCGATTTTTTTTTACGGGATAAATAAGGGGGGGGGGGGAGGTTTAAAATATCCTAAAGAGAGAGGGTCAAAGGTGACACCGGTGAGCGTTATGTCCCATGGGCCTCCTGTTGCTCGTATGAAACATTCAATGTATCTGAGAATCGGAAATGGTCTTGTTCCAATTGACAATACACACAACATCTACAGGCATAACATACATACATGTTATTCTCTTTACAGAAGTGGACAGGCTTTTTCCTAAATGAATACGTGTCATACATGCGAAGACGATCAAACTTTAATTAACTTACCGTCTGTATAAATCTCCAATTACCTATGTTTTCAAATCAGTTTCAGTTTAACTGTACTGTAATCAGGTAATAAAACAGTCTTCTTGAGATTCGTTCTTCATGAATCATGAAAAAAATGATCGAAAGATGTGGCTTCCGGCTTTTTATTGTCCACGTGTTTTCTATTTTTAGAGTACTTAAAAATAAACTCTTTTTTCTCTATTCAGGAACAGCGGGTACAGGTAAATTTCGCACCTTGTGAATTCAGCACTTAAAAGCGAATTTGGCACTTAGGAAACAGTCCCGTTTTTTCGCCGATCTATGCAAATATATTTTTTAATGGATACCCCCCCTTTCCAAAAAAAAAAAAGCATTTGATAACATAACACCGCGGAAAAAAAAATTAAAGCTATATATGGTGTATCTGAGCTAAAAAAAATAAAAATATGAGATTGGTTGTAATTGAACGTGATATTTGTTATTTACGTTCAAATTAAAATTTTCATCGATTTTGAACTTGAATAACCGCACTTTTCTATAGTTAAATTGACTTTAAACTATGTCAGATATTTTATTTTAATGCAGAGTCGGTTAATAAATCGGTTATTGTTTTAAATTTCTAATATCTATGAAACGCGATTGATTTAATTTGTGTAATTTATAGGAAAGTCCTATCTTTAAATAAAGTAATAAAACAAATACATTTGTAGAAAGATCTTTTTAATTTTAGTTAGTCTGAACTTATCAAAAATACGCCATATATGACTTTAAAATATATTTTCTACTTTAAAAAAAATGAAAATAAACAAAATTTACCATGATAAAATTAGTATATAGAAACAAACCTTTGGAAATTTTAAGCACAGAAGGAACACAATAAATCAGTCATTCAAATAACATGCAAGGATTCCCTGTAGTGCAGATTCAAGTTCAATTCGTGCTTGAAAATGGCTTCAGTATAAATATAGACAATTTTATTATGAAAATGTATGGAAGGGGGGGGGGGGGGTATTGAAGACCGTCTTTAATCAGGAATAGGGGTACTTGCCTACTTTGGACTCCAATCAGTAGAAAATCAAAGTTTTACATGGGATTGGAATATATATAGCCACAGACTTAAGGATGATATATTTTTAAAAAATACTATGAATGGACCACTTGCCTGCAAACAGGGAAAACGAAGGTTGGTCGTGTTAATGGGTTGTGTTTACGAGCCACTTGAAGCTACATTTTTACACTTTAGGAGATAAACTGTTCACTATCATGCCCCCATGCTATCACTCCGCAGCTTCTAAATACTAGTACATTATTAAAATTATGTGCACGTTCCACTTCAATCTGATTAAAATCAGATCTTTGTTATACTCCGAAATTCTGAATTTCGGAGCGTAACAAAGATCTGATTTTAATCAGATTGCGTTCAAAATGGAATCTTTATTCTATATATATATTTCTCAATAAGGAAGTTTTGCAAAGACAAACTGAATTACTCACTTTTTGGCCCCGAAGAACAAACAGCAAATTAGACGACTCAAAATACACCCCTTTCAATTCATGAGTTTCACATGTGCATTTAATAAATACAGTACTTTCGTGCAACTGTCTGTACAACTTCTCACAATTATTTTTAAAAACAACAACAACAACAACAAAATAAATAAATAAATAATATATTCTTAAGAAAAAGATGGGGAGTGGTCCACCGTTTGTCCAGTAGTTGCACAAATCTCTATATAAACATGATAAATGCACTTGTTAAAATTAAAAGTGGAATGTATTTTTAAATTTTACGTTGTCTCTTTTGGGCCAACAAAGTGTATAATTCATTTTGTATTTGTAAAACGACCTTCTTGAAGAAAGTTTAATCAAGATTTTGTTTGAGACCAAATGTTTGGAAAATTCATAAATCGCTGTTGAAAGCTTTTATATATAAAGCTTATGCAAATAATTTTCGTTTATTTCATATTATCTCATGCACCTCTAACAATTTGTTAAGAAAGTCAATTTAACTTACATCATCCACTTTGGTCAATTATTAATTCATATATAAATAAATAAGGTTGATTAAGTACATTCTGAAAAAAAAAAAAAAAAAAAAAAAAAAAAAAAAAAAAAAACACTTAAAAAAGATACAAAACATGAAATGAAAAAATCTACATTTAAAAAATAATCATAAAAAAAATACATGGAAGAAATAAAAACCATGATTTGATTTTTCTCACGATCCCTATAATAGTATTTAAATGTAATATTTTTAATTTCGTAAGTTTCTGAGAATTCGAAAATTTGACAAGTGCGCGCTAGCGAAAGGGTCGTGAACTTAGCCACATGGGTATTTTCCACCAATGAATGCAATGACATTTCACAACTGCGCAGCAATGATGCGCGCTATTAAAATATTGACAACAAAAATGCCGTCGGAAAGCCCAGCGGTTCAAGCACAAACAGAAAAACCGCAACATTACTTGTAAGTTTTATTGTACAACATCAGATGATTAGATTAACTGTCTTTTATTGTAAATACTAAGTTTGCTGTCTCTTTTCAGGTATTTAAAAGAATTTAGAACACAACAATGCCCGTTATTCCTACAACACAAATGCACACAGCATAGACCGTTCACTTGCTTTCACTGGCATTTTATGAATCAGAGACGAAGAAGACCTATTCGGAAACGAGATGGAACTTTTAATTACAGTCCAGATGTGTACTGTACCAAATATGACGATACAAATGGTCTTTGTCCCGATGGAGATGAGTGAGTACCTTATTGTCTTTCTGGCCGCCATTCAAATTTTGGTGGGAAATATTTTGGTCACTGAAACAAAACTCGATTCCTCGTTTTGTTTCGTTAAAAGGCTTCATGACAGTTGTACTTCCTGTTAGGGTCTGTAGTAATGTGACAAGAGAAATCAATTATAACGTTGTTTTGTCAGAATATATTCCCTTTTTTGAAAGAAAACAATCTGACATATTGTAAACATTGTCCGCCATTTTGTTGGAAAATGCGGAGTTGCAGAAATTGCGTTTTATTTCTCCGTTATTTACAAATTGACAGTGTATCAAACACATATACTATGTTTTGATTTGCCTTTGATTAAATTCAGATAACTTTTATGGTATACATTGGTCTAGCAAAAAAGTTTTCATTGTGTCGACGGTATGTTTACCAATCTCTTTATAAAAACAACACGTAAATAAAACCAACTTCATCAGATACCGGAATGCCCCGGGAGCAGGAGTTGTCAAAATGTTGTCATGGTATTGAAAAACCTTACTACATTAAAATTATTAAAAATGTAAGGTTACTTTTCCAATGTTTTTTTCAATCAGCTGTTTTCTTAAGTCATGCGTACTGGAGCAATAGGGTTAGTGGGTCAGTGATGTAACCTTGAACTTCACCACAAACGAAACAACAACGAATGCTAAGCAAGGCAAAATGCTGAAAAGCCGAAAAAGAAATAATTCAATAATAAATATTTCAAATGAATTTTTTAGTGAAAAGAAACCCAAATTGAATTCTACGAAATAAAGGACCTAAGGAATAAAATTCAGTATGCAGTACTGTACAGTGCCAGTTTTATGAGACAAACCATCTGATTATATGACAAATGGCTCACGTGCATTTTATGTTACCTTCAATAAAGCATTTTCAAACCAGTAATATGCTTTCAAAATTTTCTCGATAGAAAGGATTACTGATTGAATTTTTTATATATATAAAAACATGAAATAATTAAAACTATCAAAAAGAAGTATGTGCTTAGAGGTGGTAAACAATATTAAAAAAATAACGATATTGTGTAATTAAACATGAAAAAACAGAAGGTTATTAAGTGCTTTCAAATTTGTGAAATATTTTATACTAGTGTCAGTGTACAATTGTCAAGTCTGTCATGTTATGCATGAATGAAGTTAAGACGATATGGAAGAATGTCTCTAAAAATATATCAAGTAAAAAAAACTGTCAAGGAATTAGTTCTTCCCAAATAAATAATAAGGTTATATTTTTATTCATAAAAACCTTGATGATGCAAAACTATGTTAAACAACCATCAGTGAACAACTGCAATACATTTGGTATAGCAATAAAACACCTCTGTATCTATTTTAGGAAAATATGTTGCATGCATGTCAGTTTGTATTTTAAACCTGAATGTTGTGAAGATTTCACCTGTAACAGTTGAGTGTTGCTGTCAACATTGCAGGTGCCCTTTCCTACACAGAACAGCAGGAGACACTGAACGAAGGTACCACTTGAGGTATTACAAAACAGGAACTTGTGTCTATGAAACAGATTCCAAGGGAAACTGTGTCAAAAATGGGCCACACTGTGCATTTGCGCATGGAGCTCATGACCTTAGACCCCCAATTTATGACATCAGAGAGTTGCAGGCAATCGAGACCCCAGATCTGAAAGCTTCTCTCAGTTCTTCTTCAGGAACACCCAGTAGTTTGGAAAAGGACAAAATTCTGGCTGAGGACCCAAAGTGGAATGGTAATCTCTCTTTACCTGAAGGAAACATAATCATATGAATTACTGATTGTAAAATGAGAAAAAGAGTAATGACATAATAAAAACACCTGATGTTAATGATTTATATGAAATCCAAACCACAGTATCAGGTAAAAATAACAGTTTTGATAAGTTGATCACTGTTGTTATGGTGAAAATATTGATTAATTAACAAGCAAGGAAGTTCTTAATGGGAAAAAACAGCTAGATTGTAGCCCTCTGGAACTTTTGATACCAGCTAGCATCAACAGGCAGTACATTTTTCAGTAACTGTAAGTTGTGTTTTATTGTAGATACCAATTATGTACTGGCTAATTATAAGACAGAACCATGCAAGAGACCTCCCCGATTATGTAGGCAAGGGTATGCCTGTCCATCATATCACAACACTAGAGACAGGCGAAGAAGTCCAAAGAAGTGCAAGTATAGGTAAGGCCCTGTTTTGTTTGTATATTGCCAAAAGCTAAGGAAAAACATTAACCTTTAATAAGACATTAATTACAAATGCCAATGTTTGGTTTTTATGACGTCGAGCTCTTGGAGCTCGAACGTCATCTAGCGATCGGCCAAGTGAAACCGCCAAGGGATGTACGCGACCGAATGTGTCAGTGGATGCATCCGCAATAGAAAATAGCAATAGCTATAAACCAATTTCTTTTAAAACGCTCACAATGAATAATTATAGCTTGAAAATAAAATTGCATCATTTGTATCTACAATTAATTCTTTTTACAAAACAACAATATTATGTTTTATTTTCACACAATAAAAACGTGATGGTTGTTGCGGATGAATTTCTACAGAAAGGTGTGTCGAATGACATGAATAACATTTTGGAACGATAACCGTGGAACACAAACAACCCAACAGGCGGTAAAATAATTACAAAATTACATAAACACGAATACTATAAGACTGAAAAGATTGAATTTCTAAATCTTAGCTTTACTTTTACAATCTTCTGACCAACTTTATCCTAAAAACCGATGATGTTGACCAGTATTACTGTATTTCTCCATTTCCTCCAATATACCACGCCCTATCGTAACTCGATCGTACTTGTAACAGAGCAGAGTCATGGTTGTAGTTTAGATGCAATCACTAAAACAACGCTTTGACATTGGCAATTAGAAAGAATAATATATAAATTCATGAAGTCCTTCATAGTTCTTCAATTGACTGAAAAGATATTAGTTTGATATTGCATGAACATGTTCGACGGTGTCTGGTCAATTCAAACCCTGCTCCATTCGGACCATGACATAAGACCCCAGACTGTAATTGTGACATTTTCTTTAAAACTATTTTTTTATTATTATTATTATGTCACCTGAGTCACTCACTCGACCTATTGCTATCTTCAGATTCTTTTGAAATTATTTTTTTTGTTCGATGTCATTGAAGCCTTTCAGGCTTTTGATTATAGTTATTAGAGATGGAGATCAGAATTTTTTTTCTAAAAAAAGATTTATTGTCATTTGTAAAGCTGACAATAACTTAAAAGATTAAAATGGGGTCACACCATAGATTAATAATATTGCTGAATTTCCTGAAAAACCTAGACTTGTCTTTACTAATTTAAGGTGAATTTATTAACACCTGATTCCAATACATACAGATTTGATTTTTGCTCATGGTTATTTTCATATTTCTGAAACAAAATTCATTGTCTCTTCATGAATCATTTATCCCCCCTTCCAGATATCTGTATTGGTCTATTATCTAGTCATTCATCAGTAATTTTTGTTATACTGGTATTCAAGGGTCTTTTAGATATATATGTCTTTTGACAGATTCTACATGTATAACAAATGCAGATTCAAATTTTAAGAATGTTATCTTGAATAACCAGTAATTGGTCAATGATTACTTAGAATTTTTTTGCTTAGAAGCTTAATTCCTGTTCTAATGTGTAGAATGTTGGTGATTTTCATAATCCAAAGTGTCACCAGGTTCACGGGTATGTGGATGACAGTCAACATATCAGTCTCAATAGCTCATAGTGGTTAGAGCACTGGCACAGTATGCCAGAGGCCCTGGGTTTGAGTCCCGGTTGAGACTTGATTTTGCACCACCTGTGACAAAAGCATGAATGTATCCCAGATACGTCACCTGTGCATGTTTTGTTAAATTGGTACTTACTACTTAGTGTTACTTTGGCCACCAAAGTCCGCATCCAATGAATCTACAAAAACTGTCTGCCAAGATGAATTACCGGAGTCCTTACCTGTAAAGTCCGCATCCAATGAATCTACAAAAACTGTCTGCCAAGATGAATTACCGGAGTCCTTACCTGTAAAGTCCGCATCCAATGAATCTACAAAAACTGTCTGCCAAGATGAATTACCGGAGTCCTTACCTGTAAAGTCCGCATCCAATGAATCTACAAAAACTGTCTGCCAAGATGAATTACCGGAGTCCTTACAAAATAGAACAATAAACATCCACGGAATTTATGGACTGTTTAATTAATCATTAAGGATAAATAATGTAATGTAAAGTTTTGTGACAATTTCACACGATTATGGTTGTTAAATTATTAATGTAAAGATTCTAGTCCGCAAGTTGTTATGACGTCCGCATTTTTTATTTACATAGTAACATAGTCCGCAATTTTTACTTCATGTATAATCATTTCATGTATATTTGTTCTGATGACGACCGTCTCTGGTCGTAACCGGTCAACCAAATAAATTTACTGCTGCATTCTCACGAAGTGTTGGTGATCTGTTTTATATCTTCCAGATGTATTATCTGTTTGGTCAATTTAAGTTTTATAGTTAAAGTTAACATACAAAGATAAAATGGAGCATATAGATATAGGCATACATTATTATGATAGCATATTTGCACATCTGGTCAGTATAAGATGCATATCACCAGATATTGACAAACTATGACTAAACATCCAACTGCAAAATGTAGGTCCTGTAGCATTTAATGCCTATCAATAGTAGTACACAACACTGCAAGATTAGTCAATGCAGGACTTTGGTGAATGGAACATAATTTTTAAAAATCTCTCTTAGGTCGACCCCGTGTCCTAATGTAAAACATGGTGATGACTGGGGAGATCCAACACAGTGTGAAAATGGGGACAATTGTGCTTACTGTCACACCAGAACAGAACAGCAGTTCCACCCAGAGGTAAGACTGTGTACATAACGCCATTATTGTAACCAAGAATAGGAATCTCAGTAGCTGTTCATAATAAGCTCTTAAAACGAGAGTTGAATCCAATGACAAAATATGTATCTTGATGTAAAACCTGTCACATATTCGTTTTTTTTTTCCCACCAGATTTACAAGTCTACTAAATGTAATGATATGGTACAGACAGGATATTGTCCAAGAGGGCCATTTTGTGCCTTTGCTCACGTGGAACGTAAGACGTTTAAATTTAGTACATTTCAATGTAAAGATGTTTTACAGTGAATCTTTATTGGAGAACAGCCAAAACACAGTTTTGTGTTTAGAGTCTTTGACATTCAATCATAATATTAACATTTATTTATTTATTTATTTATTTATTTTTTTGTTATAGAGGAAATAACTACCCAGAGAGATGTTTTGTCAACAAGTGAGAATTCTCTGGCTGCATTTATGAGCACAGTTTTACCCATAGCTGAGAACCCTCAAACGATATACACACTTAACACAAGTGATACCCATTCTAAATCAGTAGGTCTTTGTTTAATGGAAATCCATGCAATTTCAGTAATTATACTCATTGCTCAACTTTTTTTTCCAGACAAAAAGATTCAAATGATAATTTCTTTTCCCCAAATTAATAAATTTGAGATATGAAGTATGAATTTTTTTTTTTTCTTAGAATCAGAATGGTTCTAGTAGTTTACCTAAATTACCGGTTCCTATAGGAAAAGAACGAGCCAACAGTATTCCTTATGCTACTATCACTGTAAGTAGTATATTTTTCCAAAACCATCAGAACACACATTTTATGGAACACATCATAACCTGCGAAATGTTTAATTACCGGAGTTCATTAATTACAAACTAGGGTGATAAAGAATACCAAATTGTTCTTAATGCATGACATATTAAATATCTACCAGGCAGTTAATATACGTATATGCCTTTAAAAAGTCCTCAGAATGATGAAATAAATGTGATGAAGATTTGAACTGCTGTTGTCACACAGAATTTGTTTTGTAGAGTAACAATATAGCAACTAATCAACAGCTACAGACCAGTAGCCCGCTCCCAGAGCCAATAGGAAAAGGTCGTTCTAGCAGCACATCCAGTAGTATTACATCAGACTCAGGATTCTATCAACGAGCCCCGGGGTCAGAGAGAGAAGACTCGCAAATGGTCAGTGTAAGTAGGAACTTAGATGACATCCCTCATCGTCATCTCATGTTCCTCATCACTCAGGATTGAGTTCACACCTGAGTTCACACCTGCACTACAGTTCATCTACCTTTGGATACCTTATAATTTTCTGTAGAGTCTTTGGATTGCATTTCCATCTGTTTCTACAGTTCTTAAATTGCACTTACATGTAGCTCTGTTTTGGATGACCTGTGTGTATTATGTTGGTCATGTTTTGGTTGACATATAGGTGGAATGACATCTTTTCAGTATGATTTTAGAGTTTATCTTGGCATTGAATTGACCTGACCTGAAGAGGTAAATGATATACTATTTAGTTCTATTACAACACATATGTCAGTTACCTTCATGTAAATCTTGAGTTTTGTGTTCAGTGTTGACTGTGACCTTTACCTTTGATTTAAGTGGAAATGATGTGAAAATGTGACCTTGTCTAGTTTCTTCTTTTTTGTGTGCAAGTAATATACGACTAATCAAGTGATCATAACAGGCATGTTTCATTTTATCAAATTGTGTGAATACAATCTTTCCATATTATTTTTATCATTTTTTTGCGTTCACATTATTTCTATAGTTTTTTTTGACACATGATTTTATTAAAGTACCAAAACTTTATCATATTTTAAATTTAGTTTGTTTACCACGATGCATCACTTGCCTAAGTCATACATGTACTTTCATTCAATACATTTTCTTATACCCAACTCTTGTGTTTTATTTTAACTATTATCATTGTCACATTTTCCTCATTCATTCAATCATTGATCACAGATGGTGCTTGACTTAGCTGATGCTTACATGTGATTTACTTCTCTATTTCAGATGAAATTACGTCAACAATTACAGTCTATAGATTCTGACCAAACAATAGATCTGGTAGAGAAAGCTAAGCGTAAACAGAATCTATTGATGCTGCACAGTTTAACCTTCTCCACTAGTGCTACCCCCAGCCCTGTAGCAAATCAACAGCCCAATGTGTCCACAATGTCCCCTCTGGCTCCTGCCTTCTACCCCCCAGGGGATACCGTAGGATCTGTTATAGGTAAGGATATATTTGAATTAAAAAGTAGTTGCATTTAGGTAAAAATCAGATGATTTAAAAGAACCCTTTGCAGATAAGTTAGATTATCCTTTGAAGTTTTTGGTGAAATAAAGAGCATGTGAATTGTATGAAAATTTGAATTTGATTATCTATATGATATAAAACATGTATGAGTTTTAATGTTTTCAGATTGAGGTTTTCTTTTGTACATTGTAGGTCATGCTTTGGATGACTTATGTTTAGATGATATTGATATTAACAGTATAGACCGAGAACTAGATAAAGATGAAATTAACTCTCTTAGTAGCTCTTTAAGTGCAGGGATACCAACTTCAGGTAATTCTAACTATATGTCAAAATTGCCTCAAAACATTTTACTATGGCTTACCTGTTAGCTCCTAATGGTAGAGAGCTTAATGCATATTTTATAGGTATTGTTCAACTAGAAGTTATACATGTATTTTGAGGGGGTAAATTTGGTAGATAACATCGTTTTGAGCACAAGTGCTCTTAAATTTTTTTTTTTTATGACAAATATATTATGCATGTACATTTCATTGTTGCAGGTTATGGTGCACAGTCCATACCCATTGGAATCCCAGGAGGCCTTCAGAGGGGAAGTATTGGGAGTCTTTCCCAGTCCCCACCTTCACCCTTCGGTAGCTTTTCTCATGGTCTGTTGACAGGAAATCAAAAGCAGGAGTCTGGTGAACCAGTGAGTAGAAGACTATAGTGTGAAAATCTGATTTAAAATCAATGCCTAAAGTAACCTCATTTAAATTAGGAAAGGAGCCAACTGTTGACTTAAAAGAGCTGCTGAGTATTCTAAGAAGGGAAAAACATAATAATATATTTGTAATTTCATATATAGTGATAGGCTTATGTTTTAAATCTCTAAATTTTATGTGTAAACCTTCATTTTGAAACAATTTTCTTTGTAGAATATTTCCTTGCTGGGTTACCACAATCACAACAAATTTAGTGATGTAAATTCCATGTCTCCTAGAAGTGGCCCTGGGGGGCCGCACTCTCCACTATATTCCTCCTCAAATCTATCCAATAGTTCTCAAGGAGCAGATATGCAGAAGTTACGAGAGGAATTCCAGCATTATAAGACGAGACAAGAACATTGGGAGCAAGCTTATTCTCAGGCTAAAAGTGTAAGGAATCCATTCCTCTCTTATTATATTCTGTATGTGAGTTTAAATTTGGGGGTTTTAAATGTTTATTTTTATGCCCCTCTTCGAAGAAGGGAGGGCATATTGCTTTGCTGCTGTCGGTGGGTCCACCAACAGTTTCCGTTCATTTTCTTCACAGAGGGCGTACATACTGAAATGAAATTTGGTATACAAATTTATCATAAGAACATCTAAGTCAAGTTCTGTTTTGGGTACGATCGAGCAATTTTTGACAGAGTTATGCCCCTTAGACTTAGACAAATTCCAATTATTTGCAGTTTCCGTTCATTTTCTTCACAAGATTGTACATACTGAAATGAAATTTGGTATACAGATTTATCATAAAAATATCTAGGTCAAGTTTTGTTTTGAGCATGATCAAGCAATTTTGACAGAGTTATGTCCCTTGGACTTAGAAATATTCCAAATAAATTTAGGGGGGGGGGGGGGGGCATAAGTGTTTCACAAACATCTCATGTTTCCTTTGCTACCTTGAAATTGGTGATAAGTTATGTCTTAAATGTGTGTATAATGACTTTTTTCCCTTAAATTATCCATGCTTTCTGGAATTTTGATGTTATCAAGAGCTGCAAGTTGTTTTCCCCTACATTCTGTACATATAATAGCACTTTCTCTCACCAACCTTACCTAAAATTTTCTATAATAAAAGTTAATTTACATGCATTGATGTTTGCCTTGGCCTTGATCTTTGCCCATATTCATTTCTTATTATGGATGACATTTTCTTGTTCATCTTATTGCACTATATGAAGAAAACACATTTCTGATGGTAATACCAAAGTTAACACTGGCTTTAACCTCAAAATAAATGATTTGCTATAACCTTTGTTGAGGTTTCAAATTTCATGAATACCTGTTAGTTTAATTAGCATGGAACAGTCTGAATACCAGTATTTATTTGAACGTTGACCAGGAGTTTTGAATTGGTATGTGATTTGAAGGACACACATCCGTCAATTTTTCATGGTCAATTTTTCATGTTTTATGAGATATTTTTGTTGTGTTTCTTTCATGAGGTATTTTTGTTGTGTTCAGGCATGTGAAGCATGGAAGAGAGAGGCTGAGGAATCTCTCAGAAAAGCAAAATCAGCAGAGGAGGAAAAGGCCCAGGCGGTCAAACAGAGAGACGAGGTAGGTCAATAAAGGGAGGTCAAACAGAGAGATGAGGTAGGTCAATAAAGGGGGGTCAAACAGAGAGACGAGGTAGGTCAATAAGGGGGATGGGGTCAAACAGAGAGACGAGGTAGGTCAATAAGGGGGGTGGGGTCAAACAGAGAGACGAGGTAGGTCAATAAGGGGGGTGGGGTCAAACAAAAAGACGAGGTAGGTCAATAAGGGGGGTGGGGTCAAACAAAGAGACGAGGTACGTCAATAAGGGGGGTGGGGTGAAACAGAGAGACGAGGTAGGTCAATAAAGGGGGGTCAAACAGAGAGACGAGGTAGGTCAATGGTGGGGGGTCAAACAGAGAGACGAGGTAGGTCAATAAAGGGGGGTCAAACAAAGAGACGAAGTAGGTCAATAAGGGGGGCGGGGTCAAACAGAGAGACGAGGTAGGTCAATAAGGGGGGCGGGTTCAAACAGAGAGACGATGTAGGTCAATGGGGGGTGGTCAAACAGAGAGACGAGGTAGGTCAATAAGAAGAAATAGAACAATATTGTAAGAAGAAATAGAACAATATTGTAATTGAAAAAAGGTCAACTTCTTGGTACTAATTTTTGAATCAAATGTAAATAATTATATAAAGTATTTCCCAACCCTCGCTTTGTTTAATCTTCTTGGTTCAAAGTTTTTAGGTTACTTAAACTTAATTAAGACTAGAAGGAAAATATTTTTGAATTAATATTTATATTATAGCATATAGACATTGCCATGAATTGTTCAGCACTGGGTGACTACATTCTAATTACATTGCAGGCTCTTGGTAGAATATCAAAGATACAATTAGATCTGGAAAAAATGGGTGGTGGATCCAATAGTGTAAGATTACTTCATCAGGTAAACGAAATAGAAAAATTACCTATTCCTCAGCTTAGACAGATACAGCAACAACTTAGAATGGATATGGACAAATTAGACAAGGTATGTCTGATATAAACAACATGTCACATGAAAAAAAGACCATGCATTCAGAATCATATTAAAAGTGTTTTTATTTGAAATTTTCAATTCAAGCAGTTCCCTGCAAAAAAGTTTTAAATACAGAAGATATAGTATTTTTAGAATCTGAATGTTTTACTTTAGAAGGATAAGGTTACTTGATTTAGTTCTTACTCTTTTCTCACATCAGATTTTATGTCTTTCCTGGTTATGGACATGATTGATATTAATTTACTGATTTTTTACAGGTGATCATGTATCAGCAGAACCTGAAATGTATTATGTGTCAGGATAGAAACCGTAGTATTACATGTGTGCCGTGCAACCACAGGGTCATGTGCGAAGCATGTGCTGGAAAATCCACAGAGTGCCCCATGTGTCACGTCCAACGGACCAATTACCGCTTGTAATGGCGGGAACAACTAGGATCTTCAAATTGTTTTAGTGACTCAAGTGCTAATAATGACGCTTTGTTAAGCAGGTTTTCATATTGTTAAGATACAACTAAATTTTTAAGAATTTAAAGTTTGGACGTTTCTCCCCTAAACTATGTGTAAATTATGGTCTGCTTTGTACTGATAGTATGTTATACTTGTTTGTAAGGTTGTTTCCAAATTAATCAGTGCATACTTTATTTATACATTGTACAGATTGCTCGAATTTTCATCTTTTATGTATTTCAACAAATGAAATTTCACCATTTGCAATGTTATAACTTCACTCATGCAAGCAAAAAAATACTACCCCATTTATGAACTTGAATAAATTTTGGTGATATGAACATCTGATTAACAATATGCAATAGAGAGGGAGGTTTTATGAAGAATGGGTGTATGGTGTGAGCCTTATATAAATACATGTAAATATACTTACTAGGGTTTTGTTTTTGTCAGAAGCGATTATAGTGTCTGTGATTCAGTAATGATCATTCATTAACATATTTTAGAGTATTTGTCTGTGTAAATTAATGTAGACTGTTCTTGAACTGTGTTTCTTTTATTTTTTAGTTTATGTTTGGTTTCAAATTATTTGGAGTTACTAGTGCTATGACCTGATATAATAACAAAGGTTTTATTATTCATTCCAAGAGAAATATCAGTCCATCTTTGTAATTTTTTTTTTCATTGTGAGTTGAAATGTAGAGTATATTACATAGGAAATAATATAACATTTCATTGTCTTTAGTTTCCATGGCAACAGAATGTTGCTATGAAGTGAAACATTCTGTCACTAAGCTAAAACACTGAGAAAGGGGAACTTTGTTCCAAAATGAAGTTTGAATGTAGAGAGGATCCATTCTATGTTGAGATAAATTTTAATTATTTAAAATTAAAACAGACATATAAAATTAGTCAGTACATGTACTCCACTGGGACAGCTGTCACATCTCCACTTCTATATATAGATATTTTTCATACTTTAAATTTGTTTTCATTTTCATTTTTTTCCTATTTGGAAGTCTGTTCTTGTGATTTGCTTAAAAACAAAAAGAAGATTTTGGTTAGGGAAACTTCAGGCTACTGGATAGCTGATAGGTTTTTTAAAAGTGGTTGTGTAACTCATTGTTAATGATATATTGCTAAGAATTGAGTTCATTCAGAAATAGACAGAGATCTCAGATGTCTTTGGGTTTGATGTAAATGCCATCCTTGCCTGAAAGAAAAAGGTTCTATGGAGAGAAAGAAAAACTTATTAAAGAACTTTTTGTGAAACTTTGAAATTGCATGCCCTGGCCCCTTGTTCTTGTGCATGCTGGCTCATACACTTAGAAAAATGGGTAAGGGCATCAGGTGTATATTTGATAGTTTATAAAATGTAGTTCTCATTAGTCATATTTAAGAATTTTGAACTGTAAGCCTTATCACAGTTTTTAACTCACAAATCATCGACTAGCCTTCAATGCTATGCAAAAACACACGATAGCTAGTATTTCAATTAGGAAGATAAATTCACTTTTTGCTTGGATCCATATTATAATCTTTTTTTCCTGATATTTTTATTTTCAAATTTGTAAGTGTTAAAAACTGGAATAAGACCTTGTTTTCTTGTGTTTACATAGAATGAAATATGGTTTACAATTAATAAATGTTTTTAACACCAAGTTTTGTAGAAAACTGGGATAGGCTAAATATTTATTGAAGAAAGAAGAAAATGTGTATCTTGCATTAGAGAATCATGGGAAGACTTTACCCACGAGAGCATTTTTGAGATTGTCCCAGTATTCTGGTAGTTTATTATTTAGCACTGTTGAAGCTGAGTGTTTATATCAATGTTTTGGAGATTAACACATGAAAATTAATATTACATTAAGTTTATACAAGCTTGTATATTTAGAATTTTCTCAAGATAAGAATTAATTGTAATGGTATTACAAAATGGTTTTTCCTAATTCTGGATGATGTATTTTTCTACTGCTTATTCTTTATTCAATAATGCAGAATATCTTGTTGAGGGAATTTCCTCCCTTTTTTCCCTTCAAAAAACAAATTTTGTTAAACAAATTGTAGATTCAGAAAAAATAAAATTTTATCAGAATTGAAATATTGTGTTGAACTACTTTCCATAGTATAAAACATCTTTTAGGGACCTTTGGATATACATGTACTGAAGGAAATACAGGTATGTACTTATTGGGGAGTCATTATGAAATTTGAAATATAACTCTGCCTTAATGTATTAAATTTTGTATTCTAATGCACCTTTGTAATCTGCATTTTGATTGGTTAATGCACTGTTTTTCGCAGTTAAACAAAAATTATTGAGAGTGAAAGCTTTTGATTATGTTGTTTTAATGGAAAGAGGCAAAAACACATTTCGTTTCATATAACAAAACAACAAAAGAAGGCTTAAACATCAAACAAAATGCATAAATTGCATTAGAATCAATTGTTATTTGTGACCGTCAATGCTGATTGAACAGTCACAAACATCTGTTTTAACGGCTCCGCTGACAGGTTGTTGGTAAAAGTTTGCAAACATTAAAATCAACATTAAGGGTCCCAAATAACAAATGAGAAGACAGTTATTCCTTAACATGGCAATTAATACCTGAAATCACAGGGGCAGATACTGGCCAGAGAACTAAGAGCTTATGCAATACTAGTAGTATGGTGTCTCGTCTGTTCATCTGTCTGTTTGTATGTAAACAATTCTCCTCCTACAGTTTTGGTCTGCTTTCAATAAAACTTTCTACAGAAGTATACTACACTTGGAAACATAATTCTCTTCATAGGTTATTGATTTGGATGAACGTTGTTGCTATGGTTACTAAAATTAGAAATTTCTGTGGAATTCTTATTCCAATAATACTTTACACAAGTGGACTACATGAAGATACATAATTCTGTTTATTGGTTTTTGATTTTGACCATGTTGATATGGTTACTGAATAAAGAAATTTCAGAATTTCTTTCAAAATGCTACTCCTTTAATTTTAGTTTGATTTAAAAAAAAGTTGGTACCCAAATAAACTGTACACTATGATTCATAATTCTCTTTATCAGTTTTTGACAGTATTCCCATGGTAAATAAAAATAGAAATTACTGTGAAAATCTTTCCAAATGTTACTCCTCCTACAGTTTTTGGTCTGATTCAAATTAAACTTGATTAATCTAATCAATTTAAATAAATGAGACTTTAACAAGGATCATTATTCTATAAATTGCCATTGCCTTAGTTTCAAGTCTAAGTGCTATTTTTCCTAGTAGGGCTACAGTCTCATCAGAGACTTCTGAATTAAGGTAATGTTTTGAATTTTTTGAGAACCCAGACGGGGACGGGATATATATGTGTCCAAATGTGACAGTTTTACAATTTTTAAAATAAGTTAAATATTCATCAAAAAACTAAAAAATTTATTTCACTGTGCAGTTCATTCATTTACATAAGTCAGTATAATTTAAGATGATAGAGTCTCAGAGCTGGTAGCATTTGATGGTCAGCCATGTCTAGAGTCCTTCCAGTTTCTGTGATTCTTCTTTAAGTTCTTGTTGTATTCTTTGTAGATCTTCTTCAGCCATTTCCCGTGTGATATCTGTTCCTAGTGGAATTCTACCTTCAAGTGCATCAAGGCATCTCTTTTCTTGTGCTTTTAATGAGTCAATATTTGCCTGAATATCTAGGTCATTATCTTCCTTAAAATACATGTAAATCATTAACACTATAAAACTTCCACTGAAGGATTGTAAAAGGATTCTTCTTCTTTTTTCTTTGCGGTAATTTTGTATTAATATTTCCTTTGTACTTCTTTTTTCACTGACGGGACATACAAACGATGAAGAGAATGGGTGACTTGATAATCTGAAATAAAGTTAAAATAACATTAAAGTTATAAACCAAGGCAAGACTAAAACTACAGTTTAAAAATATGTTTTTTAGGGTAATTTTTAAGAAAACCATATTATGTTTTTTAGGGTAATTTTTAAGAAAACCATTGTTGACTGAGGCGCACCCGAAATGGTTTTTAGAGTACATGTATTAACAATTTCAAGTTATCCTAAAAAAAAAAATTAATATTTTTTTGTATTAAGGAATATATTTAGAATGCATTTAAAAGAAAATGTCATGGTGAACTGTGCACACATATATTCTGCACAGTTACAGGGACCTGGACACAGTTGCACTGTTGTTTTAGTTAACAATTTTTTATTTCTATTTTTATTCAAAACATAAGCTTAGTTTCATGAATTGAACTTAGACTACATGAAAATTCTTAAAATTCAATGACAAAAGCATTCTTCATAACATCACGTCAAACACCTGTGATTGTAAACATGGGCACGAGCTCTGTTATTATTAATGTTTATGTTTACCGGGTGTCCAATTTGTTTACTCTGCACACATCACTGCATGAACAACAGACTAATAATATTGGTGAGTTGGTTTTGCCTTCTTACCCTTCTACTCTGAATTTTCTGCATTAAAGTTTTAATATTATCATAAATACAAATTTTCCACTTTTTAGCTCACCTAAGCTGAAAGCTCAAGTGAGCTTTTCTGATCACCTGTTGTCCGTCATCCGTCCGTCTGGCTAGCTGTCTGTTCGTTCGTTTGTAAACTTTTCACATTTTCAACTTCTCCTCAAGAACCACTCAGCCAATTCTGACGAAAGTTGGTACAGAACATCCTTGGGTGAAGGGGAGTTTAAATTCTTGAAATGAAGGGCCAACCCCCCTTACAAGGGGAGATAATTAAGAAAAGACAAAAATAGGATGGGGTCATTAAAAAATCTTCTTCTCAAGAACCACTGGGCCAGAAAAGCTGAAACTTATGTGGAAGCATTTTTGGGTAGTGTAGATTCTAAGTTGTTCAAATCATGACCCCGGGGTGTAGGGTGGGGCCACAATAGGGAATCAAAGTTTTACACTGAAATACATAGGCAAAATCTTAAAAAATCTTCTTCTTAGGAACCACTGGGCCAGAAAAGCTGAAACTTATGTGGAAGCATCCTTGGGTAGTGTAGATTCTAAATTGTTCAAATCATGGCCCCCAGGGGTAGGGCAGGGCCACAATAGGGAATCAAAGTTTTACATTGAAATATATAGGCAAAATGTTTGAAAATCTTCTTCTCAAGAACCATTGGGTCAGAAAAGCTGAAACTTATGTGGAAGCATCCTGGGTTAGTGTAGATTCTAAATTGTTCAAATCATGGCCCCCGGGGGTAGAGTGGGGCCGTAATAGGTATTACAAGGGAGGGGGTCTGGTGAAGAACAGCAGGGCCAAAGTAACTCAGGTGAGCATTATGGCCAATGGACCTCTTGTCTTAAATAATAAGGAAAAATTTATTTTGTGAAAGTGCAAGGATGTGTGTCAATCAAACGCCTCCAGAAATTCACAGTTTTGAAAATTTCAAGATAAAAGAAGTTTCTAAACATGATTTTATAATATTTTTTATGAAATGCTCTAGTAACATATAAGACCTTATAGGCCTATTATACTGAAAATTTTAGAAAAAACGACCTTCAAATCTGTGTCAAGGCCCCTTGAACAAAATGTAGAAATATAAATATTGAATGTGTTACTTCACATCAATGACCTTGTGGAGAGATAGCAATGACAGTTTGACCTTGTATAAGATACATACAAAATATATATAAGTAACTATATATAGAATATATTTATATACTTAATGTGACAGCCAACTCACCACAAGTAATGGAATAGCATATCTTATCAAAAAAAGTATTCAAATTATTTCTTTACCAATGTAATATGAAGATTACAAACAGTATTCAATCTCAAAAGTCCAATGAAAATTGAAATGATACAATTTTGGAGCAGAGCAAACACGGGCCTCAAAATTTAGAGGTGAGATCAGGTGCCATGGAGGAGTGAGCATCCCCTGCCGACCGGTCACACCCGCTCCTGTACTCCTTGTCATGATCGGGGAAAAAAAAACAAAACTGGAAAAATCCATAGACAGTTCGGTTTATAAATAATGGCCTAACAATTAGTATGAAAAACATCAGTCAGCATTTGACTCAATGATAGGTTGTATGTGCTGACAAGGTCATTGTATCGACTGTAAAACTTGCAAAATGATGACTTCAAAAGAGACTGTTGATATCCTTGTTTCATCAACTTGTTTGTCAATAGCTTGCCTCGTTTTAGAAATTGTTCATACGTAGAGCATGTTCTTGCATATCGAATCAACTGGGAGACATGAACCCCATATGCAGATGATAAGGGTATATTGCTACACAAGTAAGGGAAGTTGACAATTGAAAAGTTGAAGTCATCACATTTATCATAAAGCTTTGTTGTTAGGTTACCATTAACGTCTTTTTCTGGTAAAATATCTAAATATGAAACAGATGTGTCAGAATCTGTGGTATCTTTTATTTCAAGCTCACTGGTATATATCGAGTCGACATATGAATGAAAGTAACTATTGTTAATTGATAATACATCATCGATATATCGAAATGTCGAGTTGAAAGCCACAGGAAGTGTTTTCTTCTTCTTAATATAAATTCTGCTTCAAATGAATACAAAAATAGGTCTGCTAATAAGGGGGTGCAATTGGTATGCATAGAAATTCCAACTGATTTTTGGAAGACCTGATCTCCAAAAACTACATAGATATTATTAATCAGAAACTCAAGCATCTTTTTGATATCAACTTCAGAGTACTTCTGTGTACAATCACAGTGCTTTTTAACAAAATAATTTTGAGAATGACCAATAACAAGGTAAGTATATTTACGAGTTCCATTTTTATTGAAAAAGCAGCTGTCTATGATGTCAAAAAGCCTGGACTTCAATTTATCGTGGGATCGAATGGTTATATAAAGTGTTGAAAAGTCATACATTTTGATGCTATTGATTTTAATAAAATTTTGTGATTCCAAACTTCCCAAAAGTTCTTTGGAGATTTAAGTATCCACATCTGATTTACATCACTTCTCAAATATACTGTTGTACAGTACTCCTGAAGTTTCTCCTTCATTACATGTAAATATTTTAGGGCTTGGTAGAACATTTACTGGAACCCACTATGTATCTTTGTTTGTAAGGATTTTTATGAAGTTCAGGAATCCAGTAAAGGTATGGTAATACAAATTCATTTTGATTGTTGGGAATATTAAAAATATCTAAAACGGACATGTGATTTTGAAGAATTTCCTTCTTAGAAAGGGAGCTTTGGGTGTAAGTTGGACACATTCAAATAAAATTAAACATTTCTACTTTTGGAATTGAGATTCACTCTAACATTTTTTCATGCAATATTATATTTTATCTCATAACTGATTACTTTCTTTGTCTATAATTTTATCACTTTCATGCCTCTCTGTGGTCCCTTGATTGGAAATTATTAAACTATTGTCTACTGAAACTATTGTACTAAGAAACTTATTAGTTATTGATTTGAGAGAATTATGAGTAAGTACTATACCTTTGAAAATTGCCTCTAAAACATGATTTTCTAACCGATATTTTAAATAGTTTATATCCAAGATGACATTTGTTACACAACATCGTGCTCTGTAAAGTGAAAGTGAAACCAAAAAAAAAAAAACAAAAAAAAAAAAACCAACAACAATATTGGTTTGTCTAATATACGGGAAGATGGAGAAATAATAAATATAATGTATAGTCATTAATGTGGATTGCAATAATAATAACCTTTGAGATTTAAGACTAAAATAATTTTTAGCTGATAATAGAAAATAAAAATAATTTAGTAAACCGGATGTAAAGTGAAACTGAAACTCATTTTGCGTTACATTACGGTTTTGTTAATTTGAAGAGAGGCTTACATGTAGGTGCTCAGTAAAATGGTGTATGTTAAAACTTTTCTTTGTCCATAGATACACTGATTAAAATAGAAAATCGCTGAAATATGAGCAGGTTTTTTTATGCACATAAAAATCAAAGTATCGAAAGTACTGATAGATGGCGGTGTGGGTGGAGTGTAGTCCGTGGTAACTTATAATTCAACTATGCAAATACTAAAGATTTAATTTCTAAATAATTTTTATCTTTCTCAAACCGTTAACTGCGCCTGTGAGTCGACTTGTTTGCAATCGGTGTGTTAACTACAGAAAAGCGTTAATTGATGTATACATACTCGTGACGTAACGTAAACTGTGATTCGTTGATATGCCATCGTGATTCTGTGCAGCAGCCAATCAAATGATCCGCGTATATTAATTACATACGACGATATTTCGGCGAGTTTGCCCGGGTGATGAGTAAAAGACGAGATCACCCGTGGGTATCGGACGAGGCAAATGAAAGGGTTCGCGTCGTGATGGAGAGGCCCGGGTTCGATTCTCGTTCTCCGCACCGGGTCAAACCTAGGACATAAACATAGGTAGTGATTGTTCCTTTGCCATGCAACCAGCATTAGAACTGAAAGTTACGGGTCATTTATATGAGACCTTAAAAATCGAGGTCCCTTAATTGTTACGGTAGGCGTTCGCACGAAAAAGAACCCTCGCTGCTCAATAGCCCTAAGTGCAATCTAGGTCTAAATTTGAAGCTTTTCACCGGTATATGTTGACGTCTCTATATGAGTGAAAAATTCTTGAAGGGGACGTAAAGCAACATACAATCAATCAATCAGTCATGAAAGGTTCTCGAGCTATTCAGTGGACAACACTTGGTCAACTAACTGAGAGTGTCCAGTGCGTGGGAAATTTAATGATGTAATTTAAAGAATATCCATGAAACAAGATATAACATTAGGAGCTAATCTTTGCGCCGATCAGCAGAATATCATTGAAATAATTTTAAAGCAGTTGACAACTATGTGCATTTCATTTAAGAAAAAAAAAATAGCAATAGCAATAAAAACATCAAATGAAACAACAATGGAATTGCCATAGTCTTTCCAGTCTTTCTAAGCACATGGTCGATAATGGCTTACCTAAAAGCATGCATACCAGAGGATCAGAGGATTACCCCCTCCCCAACCTTAAGTAGGGTTCCTTTTTAGCCGAGGCATGGGGTTAGGGGACGCCTTCATGCCTCCCCCCCCCCCCAATGTGTCCAGGGAAGCTTTGGTGGAGGCCCGGGGAGCGAAGCCTCCAGAAGCACATGGGTTTTGGGTGTTTTAGGACAGTGATTCTGCTTTTAAATAAACATATATAGGTATTTGTGACGTTTAAACCATGAAAGGCTCATTTAGAGTGATGTAAAATGAGCAAATGAACTTTAATAAATTACATTTACATACCATATAACTTTTTAGTAATAAGTCTATAAATCTTTGAAAAGCAAGTTCTATTTTTCTCTTCTCTGACATGATCCATTTTTTTTCCTTCAAAACATCGTCAGCGCAAAGTTGACCACAACACTATATCTGTGAATGTGTGGCATGCCAAGACCACCGCACAATATTTCTGCCGACATTGTGTTTCGGCACCCTTTCAATCTTCTCAACTCTGAAAATGATCGCTTGCAGGAGCAAGACCCTACGCGTATTGGAATGGTAATAGGTTTATAGTGTTTATCGGATAAAGTTGTGTATCACAGGACGGAAGTGCTCTTTTCAACGAGTAAACCGGTTTCCAGCGTTTCTACATTTCACGATCAATTTTTCTACCTTCACTGGGCTTCAGGGAACATGGCAAGTCTCGTGCGTACTCTATTTTGATTCCTTCAACAATTTCATTATAAGTTTCTCTAGATAATACGGGACCAAGACCCCCCTCCCCAAACAACGACTGGATAGTTTGTGGAAACCTAGGTTTTAGATGAGAATTAATTAAATGTAATATGATCAAGAAATGGTAAAAAAAATACTGTTCGACAGTACCGGTTGAGCATTTGCCCAATGACGTTGTCTCTTGACAGCTTGTGGTTTGGTTTTAGGAACATGATTTTCCTGAGCATTGTCAAAACTCTACCATGAAATATGGAGATAACGAACAGTATTCAAGCTCAAAAGTCCATGATTACTTTAAACGAGATTGTCGATATTCTTGTTTCATCAACTTGTTTGTCAATAGCTTGCCTCGTTTTAGAAATTGTTCGTTAGAGCCTGGAGCATGCTCTTCCGCATCGAATCAACTGAGAGACATAAACCCCATATGCAGGTGATAAGGGGTGCTACATAAGTATAAGAGAAGTTGTCGATTGAAAAGTTGAAGCCATTACGTTTATCATAAAGCTTAGTTGTTAGGTTACCATTAAAGTCTTTTTCTAGTAAAATACCCAAATATGAAATAGATTGTGTCAGAAAAGTTGAAGAAGTTACCATTGTGTCAATTCCATAGATGTAAATGTCGGATGACATAGGGTTTTGATATAATCTTTTTAAAAAGATGATAAGAACGTATTCCTCACTTTTGATTGCTCCAATTCAATGCTGTTTACAAGTTTTAAGCTAAAAATAAAAGACACATAACCTTGACATTGTTGACATAGACGATAACAACCACGCCATAGATACAACTTTTCTTTTTCCGGCACTTACATTTTGCAGTCTTTTCTTGCTTTTACCATGCAGTTGAGATCTCAAAACTTCGCCTTATTCATATTTCACATAATTCTTAAGCTTTATGACACAATTATCTTAAAAGAAACACATGATATTGACTCACTATGTAACTTTAAATTTGGCAATTGTAAAATATGGATTCTGTACCCCTAGTGCATAGTGATTTAAGCGCGGAAAAGAATTAATAGTTTTGACCGTTCTTATAAATATATTATTAAATGATCGAAACAAATTTCATAGTAGAATCATTTATTTTATTTCATCTAAAATGCTTGTGTAGTCTTCAAATATTCACTGCAAAGTTCACTTCTGATTTTAAGAGAGCCGACTGGGGTTTTATTGTGTGAAAACTATTATAAAAAAACTCTTTAATTTTATACCACATGTACCTTACATTTACTTCAGTATACATACCAAGTTTAGTGAAAACTGGTTATTTTTAGGGACCATCTCAAAATACAGGTATATTTACTATAGGATTATGTAGAAAAATACTATTTTTTCGCACTTCGGAGCAAATTATACAAATGCTACTAAAGACTTCTTGCTCAAATTATATAATTTGATGAGTAATACTATATTGTACATTTAATGCAAGAAACACAAAATTCTACCGTCTGGTTTCCAGAGGGGGCATCTCAAAATTCATGATATTTTCCTGTTTTTATGGAGTACTACAAAACAGGACAGATATCACAAATTTATATAAAGAATATTAAAAATTATTGTAAGATTCTCAATTTCCTATGTTTAAAATTTCAAGAGCATCTATTTTATACTTTTTATTTAAGACATAATTAATGACCCCTCTTAAAGAACATCGGTTATTCATAACGTGAAAAACACACTATTACGACGTCTGTCTACCCATCATTTGAAAAAGCGTTTAAAAATAAGTTATTTAAGAACGTAATTAGATTTTCAGAGTAAGCACTGATGAAGGAAGAGGGGCTGGGGATATCCCCGAACTTGGAAATATATACCACGCGGGGCAGTATTGGTTCTGTCTCTGGTCTCCAATTAAGATGTTGCAGTTCGTGTACAAGTGGACTTGGTAAGTGGATCGATTGGGAAATTTGACACGCCTTAGCTGGGCTTACAGCTGGTACTGGCTTCAAAGAGAATCCTTTTATAGATTTTGTCCATATATTTGGACCTTTGGGAGATGGAAGGTTTGGTGGACATTGTCTTCGCGTTATAGGAGAGGCTACTTGAAGATATGATGGTCTTGCTGGAGGTCCTGTTGAGGGATTTGGAGGCCTTGCCGGTGGAAATGTTTTGACGGGGGAATTAGATGTGTTACAGGTGGAACTGAATATTTTGCTTGAGGACTTGTTGCGGGATTGCTGCGAAATCTAAAAATTTTGCTCGGGGACATGCAGACCTTGCTGGAGAATCTGAAGATTTTGCTGGCAGAACTAGAGAATTTGCTAGTGGACCTTGTGTAAGCACTGATGAACCTTGGGGACAAGTGGATTTGGGGGCATAGGGGGATTAAATAGGGGGATTAAATGGTCTTAATAGAACTTTTGTTTTTGTGACCATTGAGCATTAGAACGATTGGAATGGTACATATATATATGTATCTGACGTTTTACAGGCGTTCTTTCACGATTGTGATGTTTGACGTGCCAGGAAAACGTCAGAACCAGCGCCATTATGAAAATTGAAAATTTTCCCGCCCCCAACTGAACTCGAATATGGCTTAAAAGAAGATGTCACTCCATATTTCGATATAGGTCTTTACGAAATTCCAAAATGCACGAAATCAGAACGAACCTAGAATGTTTTCACCAGACACTTTATATTACAAAGGAACAATAAAAGAAATATTTCATGAAATCTTTATTTCACAAGTTTCACGCGCAAAGATCCTTCTTAAACACTCAAACACCAAATCTCTATAACATCAAATATTCAGTACAAAAAGATATTACAATAAAAAGGTTTCTTTTTCATATTTTTTTCTGATAAAGAGACAAGTGCAAAGTGTCACCAATTCTCCCTTATTACAAGTCAACATAAACGTTTCTTACTCCCTTTTCTGTAATTCTGAACACTGT